ATTATGTGACTTCAGGATGCTGCAGCCGTCATAAATATGGGTCAGCTGCCAAGCATCTGAATTTTGATCATGGGATGCTGCAGTGGTTATGTCTCTTTTTTTCAGTGCGGTTGTAACTCTGAGGAGTCACATAATAATAACAATAACAACAACAACAATAATAATAAAGAATAGATGAGAAAGAACTGGAGAAGATAACAAAATACAAAGACCTACAAATAGAAATAGAAAGACTGTGGCAAAAGCAAGCAAGGGTAGTACCAATAGTCATAGGCTCCTTGGGTGCAATCCCAAAACAACTGGAGCACCACTTGAACACCATCGGCATTGACAAATTCACCATTAGTCAATTGCAAAAGGTGGCCTCACTAGGAACTGCCTCCATCCTGCGACGACATCTGTAATACCATCGAACATCCACATCTGCTTATCCCAGGTCCTGGGTAAGGACTCGATAGGTAGACAAAATGCCAAATCCAGTCTGAACATCTGGTTGACTGCGATGATCCATAATAATAATAGTAAAGTTGGAAGGGACCTTGGAGGTCATCTAGTCCAACCCCCTGCTCAGGCAGGAAACCCTATACCATTTTGGACAAATGGCTGTCCAGTCTCTTCTTTAAAACTTCCAGTGTTGGAGCATTCACCGCTTCTGGAGGCATATTGTTCCATTGATTAATTGTTCTCACTGTCAGGAAGTTTCTCCTTAGTTCTAGGTTGCTTCTCTCCTTGATTAGTTTCTTGTCCTGCCTTCAGGCGCTTTGGAGAATAGCTTGACTCCCTTTTCTTTGTGGCGGCCCCTGAGATATTGGAAGACTGCTATCATGTCCCCCCTCGTCCTTCCCTTCATTACCTGTATAAGGAGACACAGAGAATGGAAGCATTTAATAGTTACCAATGGGTACTTATTTCTATATCCATAAATTAGAATTTCAGAAAGTCAGCAAAATTTTCATACATACAGGATCTTCCCTCCCTTGCCTCATTTGGAAGAAAATGAAAAATTCAGCTAATTGTGGGAAACATGCTGTTTTACACGACATAGTCTTGTACGATAGTTGGCTGTCCTTTGCCTAGAAGTTATCTCATGTAATGTTTTACGCAAACATTTTTTTGTGTGAATTTTCATATTCTTTCAAATTACACGCCACTGGGATGGAAACTAATTGAAAAGAAGTAAAGTTGTCCTTGTGTGCTCTTAAAATTGTAAAATGGTTGCTATAAATTGGAAGGAAGGAAGGAAGGAAGGAAGGAAGGAAGGAAGGAAGGAAGGAAGGAAGGTCATTTGTTGATCAGTTCTACAGTTCAAAAAAAGTCTTACTAGAATTGAACAAGCATTCATTCAATTGCAAAAATCTTGCCTTGAAGACTTGTTAGAATAGTGGTCTTTTGGTCCATTTCTTCCCTAGTTTGTTACTAAAATTAAGTAACGTGTCTTAACTATGAATACATTAATTGTACATTTGAGCTCATAAATACATTTTTTATTTTATTTTTTGCAAATAATAAAGCAATAAATTGTCTCCAAAGTTTCAACTAAGTTCATTTTTAGCTTTAATTGGAGAAAAGGTTTTGAACTTGGGACCCTGAACACACTAGCAAGGCATTCTATGGTAACATATCTTTCTTCTATTTTTTTGTATTAGAATATATTTGAATGAATTCCTTTTAGATTTCCTTCAAAACAGCATCCAAACTTTTTTCCCAGCTGCTCTTCCTTGTCCTCCAGATAGATAATGAAATTGTTGACTCTTTATAATTAGCAATATTTTATTGCCTCTGTTGCCCCTCAATAGCTCTAAAGGAGAGACAGCGAGACCTTTTCATATATCTCAAATATTGAGGCCCTCATATATCAGCTGTAAGAAATCTCAACTTTGATCTGAAATATCTACTATCTAATATGTACTCTTTGCATAAAATTACATTAAAACTTATATTTATTGTTTATATGCAGGCATACCTCTAGTAATACACTCACACATGCATATATACATATATCCATTCACACACACCAAATAAAAGAAGAAGAAAAAAAGGATTTGTGAACCAAAATACCCATGTTGGATATGGAGAAGAAACAGAGCAGAATCACTTTGCTTAATCTTTTCATTGCATTCAAAGTTTGGGAGTGATTTTTTTTTTTAATTTAGAATTTTAACTGTAAAAGTCCCGTTCCCTCCCCCCTCAGGAATATAAAATTATCTTTTTAGCTATACCCCCAGTGTTTTCAGAGTTCTTGGATTTCTAAACTCCCAAGTTATCAGTCTATAACGCAGCATCATATTAACACCCCCAAACGTTATTTCTCTTACGCTAGCAATAATATGGAGGTTATTAGAGAATTCATTTCATGTATTTGAGTCCCTAAAATATAATACTAAAATATATAATCTCCAGCATAAAAAACTGATCCCCAGCCATTCTTAAAAATCTGTTGAGATATCAGATATGAACAGTGTTCACCTTACAGTATTTTGTATAATTACTGTATGAAATAAGATCATAAGAAATGTAAGTGTATTGATTCGTTAAAAATAATGTGTTCCAAAATTCTTGCGGTTTGCCATTATTTCTCTTAGTAACTATTCTTGAATTACCGGTATGTATAGAAATAAGCTTTCAAAAAGCTTTCCATTAGAAGAAACAATTTAGCAGTTTCATAGGCTGACATTCTGCTGGGGACATGTCCACATAATAATTGCCCTGAGCAAAACTTAGAAATCATTTTAGGAACGCCAGGGGAATGGTCCATTAACAAGAAATCCACTCTTTCCTCATCCACTCATGCTTTTAAGGAGAACATTCGATTGAAATACCACAACTAGTAAATGGAACAGTGCAGCAAAAACCTGTGCAACTGGTTCTTTTGAATCTTCCAAATGGGAACAAAGATGATCTTGCAAAATGATGTGATCGTACCTACCGTTAGCATTATAAATGGCATACTATCTGTGCATATCCTGTGAGAGTTATTGTACTGTGTGGAACAGTCACTATATCAGCAAAATAACTGACTAATATAATGGCTGTCTGCCTAGATTACCCATATAATAATTGGATACTAGAGTTCAGTCTCCCCAAAGATCAGAATCAACCATGTAGTGTTCGTTGAAGCAAAAAGTGGATTGAAAACTGCAGTGATTTAAATCTGTGGCTGTGGTTTTCGTCCCAGATGAAATGAACCTGTCTGTGAGGATTAAGGGTATGCCTTTTATGCAATTTATTTCGGGCAGATATCATAACTAGCAATGCCTCACCTGTGCCTTTCTGCCTGTTTTCAGAGGCAAAAGCATATTTGGAACACATGATAGATGGAGCTCTTATAAATTTAGCCTGGATTAGCTCAGATTCTCATAGGTTCTTATATTAGCAAAACTGAACTGTAAAGCACTAAGCTTCACATCTTTGCCTTTATGAATATCATTTCCACAAAAAAAGTTTTATACCCTTTGGTTGGCAACTTGAGCTATTGCATTGGACATTGTTTGTGCACAGATATAGATATATTTTATTATTCCATGTTAAAGAGAAATAAAGAGTAACTCTGAGTTATTGAAAAATCCTTGACTTGTTCATTGGGGATATTATTTATCTTCAAGCATTGCATGTTATGTGTCTTGGTGGAAAATCGGATTGTTAATGCTTGCAGAATCTATGTTAGGCCCTCCTGGGGTAAAGACGCAGTAGCTACTGTGTCAGCAAATGGAAGGGTAGACGGAAGCTAATTTGCCAATATTTGTGAATAGAATTCTTTTTTTAAAAAAAAAAATTTTTTTTTTTTAAATTTCAGTCTAAATCAGTGGTTCTCAACCTGTGGGTTGGGACCCCATTTGGGGTCGAATGACCATTTCACGGGGGTCGCCAAACAACGCAGTCCGCCATTTTCCCCCCTTTTCCTTAGCTGTGCTACTCCCTTTTATTCTATTGGCTCTTGAAAGCCAATAGAATAGACTCTCTTGAATAGAGTCTAATTCTATTGGCTTTCAAAAGCCAATAGGAATTGTCCAGGCTGTCTCTGCCTTGCTGAGCCCGCCAAAAGCCCCAGTCTGCAAACGGTGCTGCACCAGTTGAGTAGTCCTCGACTTACGACCAGTTGAGTAGTCCTCGACTTATGACCAGTTGGGGATCGCGGCATTAAAAAGGTTGAGAACCACTGGTATAAATGCTTGCTCTACTCTCACTAATCAAAGTATGATCTGCTCTCAAACAGAGAGCCTATCCTTACTCTGGAGATGTCAGTAGCCTTGATCCAGTTGCAAGATTAACATCCGTAATTTAGCTGGTGCTTTTCAAGGCTGATCTGTCTGCAAAGTCATGCAGGCATCATAGATTGTTTTTGAGCAGTACTTCATTCCCCAAACACGTCCCTTTCCCAGTGAGCACTTTGGCCCTTCTCTGTCTTGGGAGGTACTACTGGTGCTGTTAACATTCATGTGGACTGGACTGATGCATTGAGAAATCTAAATCAGAATCCTGTGCAAAAGATCTTACTCAACCGGTACAAATAGTCCTCAACCTATGACCGTGATGGCAAACCTTTTAGAGACCGAGTGCCCAAACTGCAACCCAAAACCCATTTATGCATCGTCAGGTGCCGGGTGGGTGTGGCCCATTGGGTGGGCATGGCTGCAGTGGTAACGGCAGACTGGGTGGGACTAAAAAGTTCAATCAATCAATTCCAATCTTGCGAGATCTTTTTTTTCCCGCGAGAAGTTGAAATTGACTGATTGATTGAACCTTTTTTTTTTTTTTTTTGCACACGGCGGCAGAGGCCTAAAGCGAAAAGGTTTTATAAAACCCATCTGAAGGCCTAGGACTGGGGCGATGGCGCGTGTGCCTACAGAGAGGGCTCTGAGTGCCGCCTCTGGCACCTGTGCCATCGGTTCACCACCACTGCTCTAAAAGCATTGTTATACCAAATTGTTTCTTTCAGCCTTTCCTCTTTCTAGAACTATTACTCTGAGTGATTTCTAATTAGCTCTCTTTCCTTCCCGCAGGTGAAGAGTAGCCTGGGGATGTGAACATAATGAGTGTAAACCAGCAAGCTCACACGGGGCCATCTTATGGACAATCACAGCCTGGATATGCGAATTACATGCAGCCGGACTATGGAGGACACCAAATGCAAAGTGTTCCTGCCTCTCAGTACGGTCCTTACAATGGCCCAGTGACAGGATACCAACAAGCAGGCCCTCCCCAAGGTAGGAGAGGACGGTCTTTAGTGAGTGGCTTTGAAGAAGTCGCGAGCACGTGGCGTTTGGAAGTGACAGGGCAGGAAGTGAGCACGCAAGTGGCGTTGCCCCTCTGGGGATGCCCTGGTGATGGCAAGGGATTGGCCCCCACTGCCCTGGCTTCATCCCCGCCTTGCCTTGCCTTGCCCTGTGGCAATGGCACCCCTACCCTGCCACCTGTCTCACCATGTAGGAGACCCCCTAGATCTCCCCCAACCCTGCCCGGCCCCCACAGGCGTACTCCCCCACAAGCAACATCGAGGTGGCCACACCCACCCCAGCCATGCCCACCCAGTCTGCCGTGACCACTGCAGCCATGCCCACCCAGTGGGCCACTGTCCCCCACCCTCCAGGGCACCACAATGCTGATGCGGCCCTGGCACATTGCGATAAATAAGGGGGTTGCAGTTTCGGCACTCAGTCTTTAAAAGGTTCACCATCACTTTTTTAAGCTAATAACTTCCGCCTTCAGGATTGCAACACTGTTTCCTCATTGTGAAATACTGGGAGATTGTAAAGCTCTATATTATGCAACACTGCTCTGTGATGTTTGATAGGTTGCAAATGCTACATTACAGATTAGCAAGCATGTCAGGAGGCTGGTATAGGGATATGCATAGGTATGTGGCCAGTCAGGAAATGTGGAAAAAAATTACACCTGTCAGCAAGAAAACTTTTCTGGAAGTCTGTTTGAAGGACTAGAGATTAGGTTCTCTGCTATTGTACACGAACCTTTGTTTTACAAAATTTGATGTGGAGAAAAGCAAAGTTTTACATTTAGGCAGGAAAAAAATCTAAGGTATAAAAAGCAAAGATATACAGTACAGATTAGGCGAGACCTGGCTCAAAAAATGTAACTGTGAGAGGGACCTTAGAGTCCTAGTGGACGATCACTTGACTATGAGCCAGCAGTGTGCAGCAGCAGCCCAAAAAGCTAATACAATCCTGGGTTGTATAAACAGAGGCATAGAATCAAGATCACGCGAAGTATTAGTACCGCTTTATAAAACCCTAGCAAGACCACACCTGGAATACTGCAGCCAATTTTGGTCACCATACTACAAAAAAGAAAAGGCAAGAAAATATCCAAATGGCAAAAGCAGAAGACAAATTAATTTATCCACTCTTTTAACTAGAAAGAGTACAGATAAGAGCAACAAAGATGATCAGAGGACTGGAGGCTAGAACATATAAGGAACGGTTGCTGGAATTGGGTATGTCTAGTTTAACGAAGAGAAGGACGAGGGGGGACATGACAGCAGAGTTCCAATATCTCAGGGGCTGCCCCAAAGAAGAGGGAGTCAAGCTATTCTCCAAAGCACCTGAAGGCAGGACAAGAAGCAACGGATGGAAACTAATCAAGGAGAGAAGCAACCTAGAACTAAGGAGAAACTTCCTGACAGTTAGAACAATTAACCAGTGAAACAACCTGCCTCCAGAAGCGGTGAATGCGCCAACACTGGAAGTTTTTAAGAAGAGACTGGACAGCCATTTGTCCGAAATGGTATAGGGTTTCCTGCCTGAGCAGGGGGTTGGACTAGATGACCTCCAAGGTCCCTTCCAACTTTATTATTATTATTATTATTATTATTATTATTATTATTATTATTATTATTATTATTATTATATCACTATAAAGTTGTTCAAGTAACCGGAGGTTTTATCTTCCGAGCTTTCGGATTTGTGCTGGACCCCATCCTCTTCAGGGAACTTTTCTCTAGCTAGGATGGGCTCAGGTTGGATCCGCCCGCTTTATCCCGGGACATGCCTTCATTCGTGAAAGAGATGGCTGTTTTGAGGATTTGCAGACAGGTGCTGCATTCATCTCTCCGTTCACTATAAAGGGTTCTTTTGACTTTGAGTTCAAAGTCCCAGTAGAACGTTTTAATGTGTATTGATTTGTAGAAACATAGCTTCTCTCTTCCCTCCCTTCCACGTGTCTACTCTAGTTTAAAATAAATACCGTATTTTCCGGCGTATAAGATGACTTTCTAAACCAGTGGTTCTCAACCTTTCCAATGCCGCGACCCCATAATACAGTTCCCCATGTTGTGGTGACCCCCAACCACTTATACATCACCAGGTGCCAGGGGTGTGGCCAAAGAAAAGGGGAAAAAAATGGCGGACAGCCTTGTTTGGCGACCCCCGTGAAATGGTTGTTTGACCCCAAATGGGGTCCCGACCCACAGGTTGAGAACCACTGTTCTAAACCATGCAAATCTTCTCCAAAGTCAGGGGTTGTCTTATATGCCAAGTCGTCTTATATGCCGGAAAATACCGTATTTTCTGGCGTATAAGACGACTTTCTAACCATGCAAATCTTCGAAGTCAGGGGTCGTCTTATACACCGAGTCGTCTTATACGCCGGAAAATAAGGTATGTTGCTAAACCATTAAATGCCAGTACCACACAGCCCTACTCTGGCTAGGCTTTATTGTTGCCTATGCTGCTTTTCAGTCACACGCGTGTTAGGTAGGAGGGAACAGGAATGATTTATCATATGTAAGTCATATGTTTGTTTTTCTGGTTTTGACATCTGGCATAATACATACTAACGGGCACATGCAAACCACATTATTATGCCTTTGCCTTTCTAGGTTACTATCCTTCCCTGGGGTTTCCTTCTAAGAATCCTCCTGTCTCTCTTGATTCTGATGCTTCCTTTGCTCCTAACTCCCTAGGTAAATGCTTTCTGTTTATCATGTGAAAAAAAAAAGAATTTCTAATGCATTTGCGTTAACTATTATACTTCATCTGAATATTAAACTATTGCAGGGTAGAGAAATGAATGTGCCTATAAGACATTTGCAGATATTTCCTACAAATGTATGACATCAGGCCAAAGCTTTTATGCCGCAAGAAACAATCCTAATACGATCACAGATAACTTTCTAGTAACAATGATGTTTTCCAAAAATAGTAGAAACACTAATGGCTAAAATAAAGCTGGGAAATAGTGGGCTATGAAAAAAGTGCTATTTTTTAAAATTCTAATTCTGGCCTTTATGTAATTTATCTGAGCACAGTATTCATATGTACTAGATTCTAGAACTTCTAACTTGCGGTGCTAGTCTGTTCATTGATCATCAACATTCATTTATCTTAATAATGTACCAACCCGCTGAAGGAATTTGGCCTTTGTGCCTCTACTGAGTAACAAGACTTCGTTTTCCTTTCTGTTATTGGATATTGCATTATATCAGGGTAAAATAACGGGAGGGACAAGCTAGAATCCCTCACGCACATGACATACTGAATAAACCATCTGAAGAGCTATAGTTTATTAGCCATATTTGTCTGCATGCGGAATGGCAGAGTTTAAATAGAACATCTTCTGTTCATTGCTAAAGTGTCATTAACATAGACCGCTTTCTCTTTCTTAAAACAAGAGCATTTTCTCCTGTTATTTGGTGGGTCCTCTGCTAAATGTCATATGTACCTAATTTGTCATTTTTTAATGTTCTCTTTCTCATAATGAAATTCTTGTGTAGCATAAAGATATACTATGAAAAGATAAAATAACTACATTTAATGTTGTGGGTTTGTTTCATGTTGTTTTTATGAATGGTCATGCCAACAATTTGGATAACCGATGTGTAACTGACGATGTAATTCCATACTTCTAGGTTCTCTAAGAGCGCCCCCCACCTCATCTGGAGCATCTGCATCAACATCTGGAACGTTAATCCCTTCTGGACAGCCTGCCTGTAGTCAGCTTGGACAAGGAGATGTACGAAATGGGATACCTGCTTCTACAGTTCCCTTGCAAAGGTATTTAAGAAAAGACTACTCAGGACTTGAACCTGATATTTGTGGGACAGGAGCACAGAAAATATGCCACATTTTTGCCCGTAAGTTCTAGATTTGCCTATATACAATGCTTGTGGAGATTCCCTATCTCCCTTGAAAGATGATGGGGAAATTGGAAGCAAGCATTTTCTGCAGGAACTCTTGTGCAACAATTACTGATGAGATAAAAGTTTGGTATTCTCACTCTTGACATTTAAGAAGTTCTGGATGATCCAAAGAGCATTTGAGGCACTAGAGTGAGAGATTGCATTTATAATGAATAGTGGTGCTGCTAGTATAAGCATGAATTGGAATTATTCATGCCATACTCATTGGTTTTATAGTCTAGTGTTTTATTGGTTTTTTTATATAGTGTTTTGTATTTTTAAGAATGTGCAACATTAGCTGTATGATAGAAGCTGCAAAAGGCACTCCCTAAATCAATAAATAAAATTTCCCCTTTATGTGAAGCTGCTAAACAATAAACTTAAAATGTGAATGGGCATTTCCTCTGATTGAGAAAGGATTGTAATAGTGATTGAGAAAGGATTCTAATAGTATTAAATTACTCCTAGGCCAGAGGTAGGCAACCTTGGCTCTTTTATGACTCGTGGACTTCAACTCTCAGAATTCCTGAGCCAGCATGGGGGAACTATGGCCCCCTCATGACTCGTGGACTTCAACTCCCAGAATTCCTGAGCCAGCATGGCTCAGCTTGGAAACCTCTCCATTTCCCCTCAGCATGGCTGGATCAGGAATTCTGGGAGTTGAAGTCCACGAGTCATAAAAGAGCCAAGATTGCCTACCCCTGGCCTAGGCCCTTAATAAATTGGGAGATACTGACTATAAAAATATGCTTCTTTATACTTGTGCATATTTCAGCTTAAGTTCCTCCTGAAAAAAAAAATGGCTATGATCTCCGGCTAGTGTGCATATACTTAAAACTAAATCCCTTTGACTTTAGTGAAGCCTATGCTCACTTAAGCATGTATGAGATGATGGATCTCCGCTTTTCATGTTTCTTGGTCTTATTTTCCCCATCTTCTTAGATGTTTTTATTACTTCCTCATTTAATTTTCTCATCCTTCCCAGGATCCTTTTCCATCTGTTATAGCCAGATTCTGTTCCTCATGATGCATGATAATTCAAGTGCAGACTTGTGCTGTGGTCTAGAAGTGGAATTTATTATTCTCTGAGTGATGACTCTGCACTCAGCTGCCGTTCAAGGCTCTTTAGATTAAAAGGAACAGCTTGGCTTTTTTTTCCCCCCATTCCCTTAGACCAGGAGTAGATAACCTTGGCTCTTTTATGACTCGTGGACTTCAACTCCCAGAATTCCTGAGCCGGCATGGCTCAGCTTGGAAACCTCTCCCTTTCCCCTCAGCATGGCTGGCTCAGGGATTCTGGGAGTTGAAGTCCACGAGTCATAAAATTAAAACCGAATGAGAAATTATGAGGAGGTATTGAAGAAATGAAATCCATTTTTTTCATTTGAAATATTATTTGGGAGGAATACTATTCATTCTCACAGATCTGCCATTTTACCGAAATCTATTAGGTTCTTCTTTGAGTTGTGAGCCTGTCAGTTCAAAGTCTGTATATATAGGTGTTTTTTGTTTTTTTAATTGCAAGCTACCCAGAATCATTTTGGATTTGAGTGGTCTTTAAATATCAATAATAATAATAATAAATATAAATAATAATAATGTGCACTATTGGAATCTGGCATGGTTGTCTTCATTGCATGCGTCAGAAGCCAGAGCTTTCTGATCTCAAGAAAAGGTTTGGCTTTTTAAAGGAGCTGCCAATAGGTACTCTAAGTGTGCCCCTACCAAACCTATTTGTACATATGAAAGGTGTGCAGTACAGTACATGGATCTATGTATTGCACAACTTTTATATGTACAAATATAATTGACATTGTCTGAACAGACAGATTATTTCCTTCTAGTTAAGTTCTCTCTGAAAGTCGTTTCCTGAAATCTAGATCCAAATTTAAAACACTTCAGATCAGCAGCCCCCAACATTTCAATCTTGGTGGCCCGGCCCAGCGTGTGTGTATGAATGGTAGGTGCAGGTACACACGCACAACTCCAGTGGTGCGTGCACCCTCCACTCACGCGAATGGAGCTTTGCACGTGAGCGGAGGGCACTTGAACTCACTTGTGGAGCTTCGCTCACACTAGCGGCAGGCACTTGCCCTTGTGTGTAAAGCTCCATTCGCGTGACTAAAGCTTTGCACGTGAGCGCCCTCCGCTCGTGCAAGTAGAGCTTCGTGCACAAGTGCAAGTGTCCTCCACTTAAGCGCCTTCCGTTTGCAGGAGTGGAGCTTTCCGCACAAGCGCAAGGATCCATCGCTTGCACAAATGGATCTTCCACGCACACTTGCCTATCACTCCTGTGGCCCGGTTTGAAACAGTCCGCAACCCCGTAGTGGGCCGTCGCGTGGGGGTTGGGGATCCCTGCCTTAAATGTAAGCACCTTAAAAGTCATTTCTATAATGGCCCCTTGTGCTTTATCTTATCCAGTGTCCATACATAATATTGTCAGAAAGTGACAAAGTATAAAATTATTCAAACTTCCAGTAATGTGGTCAATTTCTGAACTGAAAAAGAGTTTTAAGTCCACCACAATCCAAGAACTGCAAGTATTTGTCTCTTTCTAGGGCTAAGTATAAGCAATAATGTAGTGCCAGAGGTGGCACTCAGAGCTCTCTCTGTGGGCACTCACGCCATTGCCCCAGACCAGGGTTAAGCAGCCAAGGATCTTTTATGATTTGTGGACTTCAACTCCCAGAATTCCTGAGCCAGCCATGCTGAGGGGAAAGGGAGAGGTTTCTAGGCTGAGCCATGCTGGCTCAGGAATTCTGGGAGTTGAAGTCCACGAGTCATAAAAGAGTCAAGGTTGCCTACCCCAGACCCACCTCCCCCCCGGGCCCCCCTCCTCACCAGCAGGCCCTCCAGAGGAGAGTCGCCCCCGAGCACAGCCGGTGTGGAGCAGCGCAGCCAAGGACATGGCAGCGGGGCAGCAGGGACAAGACTCTGCCCTTGTGCCCCGTCGCATGCAGATGATGCTGTGGGGCGTGGGCAGAGGGCATGGCCGCCATAGCACTGCTGGGCCACCTGGGCAATCTGCAGCGGGCCGTAGAGGCAGTGAGTGGCCCTGCGGGCGGGCAGAGGCGGAGCGGAAATGGAGCGGGGGCAGGCGGGGCTGGGTTTTGGGCACTCAGTCTCTAAAACAGTGGTTCTCAACCTGTGGGTCGGGACCCCATTTGGGGTCGAACGAGCATTTCATGGGGGTCGCCAAACAATGTAGTCCGCCATTTCCCCCCCCCCCTTTCCTTAGCTGTGCTACTCCCTTTTATTCTATTGGCTTTTGAAAGCCAATAGAATAGACACTCTTGAATAGAGTCTAATTCTATTGGCTTTCAAAAGCCAATAGGAATTGTCCAGGCTGTCTCTGCCCTGCTGAGCCCGCCAAAAGTCCCATTCTGCAAACGGTGCTGCACCAGTTGAGTAGTCCTCGACTTACGACCGGTTGGGGGTCGCGGCATTAAAAAGGTTGAGAACCACTGCTCTAAAAGGTTCGCCATCACTGATGTAGCCTAAGTGATCCCTATTCATAAAGAACTTTCTTCATTCTCTTCCCTCCAGAGCCTCTGCTTCTCAACAGTTCGTGGCAGGCACAGCACCTCCTTCTGTGGCTCACCCTCCTGCTTTCCAGCAATACGGACTGCCTCCAACTAGCACCCAACAGCTGGCCAATCAGATGGCAGAAATGCAGATAGGCAGGGGGTCATCCTCTATTCCATCCCCAGCTGGATTGAACTATGGTGAGAAATGTAACATTGGCATGTTGCAGGTGGTCTGGTTTGGGAATTTCTTCAGGCAAAATTATCCTCCTAAACATACACATTTGTTGTTGTTAGTTGCAAAGTTGTGTCCGACCCATCGCGACCCCATGGACAACGTTCCTCCAGACCTTCCTGTCCTCTACCATCTTCTGGAGTCCCTTTAAGCTCATGCCTACTGCATTAGTGACTCTATCCAGCCATCTCATTCTCTGTCGTCCCCTTCTTCTATTGCCCTCCATCTTTCCAGCATTAGGCTCTTCTCCAGGGAGTCCTTCCTTCTCATTAGGTGGTCAAAGTACTTGAGTTTCAACTTCAGGAAAACATACATATACTCAGTGGCTTTTCATATTATAAATACCATGAAGAGACAAGTATCCTGCAGTAGTACAATATTACAAATCACTGAACCTTGATTTTTACTCCAGTTCAAGTTTAGGAGCTGTTCCCTAGTGCAAACGCTTCTTTTATATTAAAGCTTGGGTAATTAAGGTAATCAGTAGGGATACATATGTACCATATTATCTTTGTTATCAAATGAAAATACATCTTTGTGTGTAATGAAAGTAACTCTAGCATAGGAAATCAGTCAAGTTATTTGTTAAGGAACATCACACAATTCCATCATCAATATATGCTAACCAAGATAATGGAAATAGTTATTAAATTTTGTTTGATGTTTCTCCTCCTCAGGTCCTCCAACGTCAGTTATACCTGCCTCAGGAAGTTTTATTGCCCCTGGATCTGGGCAATATATGTCACATTCAGGCCAAGGTCCACCACCTCCGAATGTTTCTCATGGATTGCCTCCTACCACTTTGTCTCAGGGATCGGGTCCCTCGGCCCTGCATACTTCCTCTCAACCCCCCCTATTTGCTCCCCCACCTTCATCTGCTGGGGTTGGAGCATCCAGTTATCCTCCCGCTACGGGGATTTCAAGGCCTCCCACAATGCAGGGTGCGTTGTTGCCTGGACCACCAATTGCTGGGCTGCTGACTTCCCAGCCAAATCATGTGACCTCACCACCACCTCAGCCACTTATGACAGGACCGCTTCCTAGGCCACCAGTAACAGGACTGCAGGGACCACCTCCTGTCCATCCTTCACAACCAGGATACGCGCTGCAGCAAAATGGTACGTTGTAAAAAAAAAAATGACCTGTGCATTGGTCCCCACTTTACATCTCAGGAAAGGTCAATGGGCTGTATCCAAATCCTAGTGAGACAGCTTCTCCCTGTACTTTTTCTCCTGCAGCATTTGATTCAGAGGCTCCCCTTAACCCTCAGAATTGGATGTGAACTGATGGATGGGGTGGTGTTTGTTAGAATCTTAGTATTTGATTTGAGTTGTATGATAGATACTGGTATCTGGATTTTTTTTTCCCCCTCAAAACTCAATTTCACTGAGGGCCGCATCAGCATTGCGTTTGCCCTGGGGGGGGGCAGGTGGGTGTGGCCAGAGTGGGTGCAGCCTACTGAGTGGGCGTGGATGGAGTGGGTGTGGCTACAGGGTAGGCGTGGCCAGTTCTACATCATTCGCGTCAAGGGTGCCTATGGGGGCCTGGGCAGGAGTGGGACAGATCTGAGGGTCTCTGGCAGAAGGAGGTGGGACCAGGGCAAGTGCCAAGGCATGGTCCACGGGGGCAAGTGCCAAGATGGCACAAAATTGTACATTGGCTCCCGGCTGGCTTGGGCCAGGGCCAAGGCAGCAGGGGCCGTTCCCTCACTGTTTCCAGGATGGCTTCGCAGGCCACATGAAACCACTTTGCGGGCCGCATCCGGCCCCCGGGCCTTGTGTTTGACATGTCTGCTCTAAGCTGCTGAATAATAATGTCATATCATAAAATATCCATTTATTCCTTATCTAAATCTAAGAAAAACAATTCCCAGTGTAGTATTTCTACTTTCTCTAGATCTTTCAGTAGCATTTTTTTCATATGACTTTTTTCCTCTGCCAATTTTGAAAACTATAAAAAAAAAAATTGGCATTTTGATCACTAGTGTTTTTCCTACATTAAGATATGATACATGTTTCCATATATAAATTAATTTGCTTCCAAGCGTAATGAACAGTGAATTAGTGGTTATTTTCATAGCTGCTAATTGCTGCCCTTGCAATATTTTTTTAACAATTGAGAACCGTACTTTTTTTTAAAAAAGTTTTAAATCTTATGTGTGTTAAATGTAATTAATCCTGGATGTGAAACTACTAAAACAGGAACTTAATATCTTTCAACAAAAAGCACAGTGGGATGAATCCTAAGAAAGGGACTCTTATTTGTCATCTCATTAAAATTAATAGGTTAAATTTAATGCTATTTGCTTGCTGAAATATGTGAAGTTCTGATAATATGAAAAAGTTCAGAAAATCCGGATGGAAGCAAATATTCAAACACGGACCTTTTTTCAGTATTTTCTGCTGCTTTATTCTTTAGAATGTGTGGGAGATTCTGTATGCCGCTTTTCTGACCCAGTCTGAAATTCCAATTTTACAAAGCTTTTCTGTGGAAATATTATCAAACTGTATTAAGGTAATTAACATACTGGAGGGATTTTTAAATTTCAGAGACGATCCTGAAAAGCATTATTCAATTAGGGTTTATTTTAGGACTCTGAATAAAATTGTTCACATTGAAGCTTTGAGTGGTATAATCAGAATTAGTCAAAGCAGTTGAGAGGTTAATATTAATCTGGACCCTTCAAATTCTGTTATGCGTTCAAATAAAGGTATATCTCTGTATCTTTTTTTTTTCCAGGTTCTTTTGGGCAAAATAGGGGAACTCAACCAATGTATGGTGCAGCTTTCCCCGGACCAGCAAATTATGGAAGTCAGCCTGCAGCACCACCACCTCTTCCCAAACGACTTGACCCAGACTCTATTCCTAGCCCAGTAAGTGAGGCAGATCACATTTAGAATTTAACATCCTTTTGTAGAAAGTGATGTGGGAGGGAGAACAAGACTCTTGGTTCCTCTGCGTTTGCTTAATTCATAGTCATTTCCTACAGCCAAAGGGCATTTTTTTGCACATTACTTTTTGTATCCCTCTTGGCGTCCTAACTGCTTCCAGAGCTGTGCTTCTAAAGAAATACTATATTGATTAGATTATCACAAATTAGCCTACAGCCTTTCTTGTGGTCATACCAGAGCTGGAAAAGGGTTACAGGAACTAGTGTGAACGCTCGTGTTTAATCCATGTTTGTTTACATCCGTGGTTCTCAACCTTTCTAATGCCGCGACCCCATAATACAGTTCCCCATGTTGTGGTGACCCCCAACCACTTATACATCACCGGGTGCCAGGGGCGTGGCCAAAGAAAAGGGGGAAAAATGGCGGACGGCCTTGTTTGGCGACCCCCGTGAAATGGTTGTTTGACCCCAAATGGGGTCCCGACCCACAGGTTGAGAACCACTGGTTTACATGAATAATCTTGACAGCTTAGACCCAGGGGTAGGCAACATTGGCCCTTTTGTGACTCGTGGACTTCAACTCCCAGAACTCCTGAGCCAGCATGGCTCAGCATGGAAACCTCTCCCTTTCTCCTCAGCATGGCTGGCTCAGGAATTCTGGGAGTTGAAGTCCACGAGTCATAAAAGAGCCAAGGTTGCCTATCCCTGGCTTAGACTGATTCTTTGAATATGTGGAAAGCATATTTGAAATAGGGGCCGGTAATCAGACTAGGCATGTGATTGGCTGTTTCACAGTTACTAAAGTGAGGCATACTGACATTAATCTGCTTTTTAGGGGGGCCCTGGCTAGCATACAGCATGTTGTAAACCTACAGTGCTGTGGACTGGATTCTAAGAACCAGATTCAGAGGGCCCAAATCCTTCACATCACTACAAGCTTATCTTTCCAGAACAATGAATGTTACGATGCTATTCTGGGTGTTGTTAATATCCAGTGGTAGTTGCAGTGGCTCTCCCCAGTGTACCTGAAAATGCCTTTTCGGTTGCAATGCCAACTTAGCTGGTGAAAAGAAGTACAGTCTTCTACATTTTAAAGCCAACAAGAAAGTGGTTAGCAGCTCTGCTTCCTTTTCTGCTTTTCCTCTAAAGCAGTGGTTCTCAACCTGTGGGTCGGGACCCCATTTGGGGTCGAACGACCATTTCACGGGGGTCGCCAAACAACGCAGTCCGCCATTTTTTCCCCCTTTTCCTTAGCTGTGCTACTCCCTTTTATTCTATTGGTTTTTGAAAGCCAATAGAATAGAATCTCTTGAATAGAGTCTAATTCTATTGGCTTTCAAAAGCCAATAGGAATTGTCCAGGCTGTCTCTGCCCTGCTGAGCCCTCCAAAAGTCCCATTCTGCAAACGGTGCTGCACCAGTTGAGTAGTCCTCGACTTACAACCGGTTGAGTAGTCCTCGACTTACGACCGGTTGGGGGGGGGGTCGCGGCATTAAAAAGGTTGAGAACCACTGCTCTAAAGGACTTGAGCATACCTCAGTCTGCAGTTCTCCTGAAAACACTTACTGTAAGCACGAGAATTGCTAACTCCCTCTAATGCAGTGTTTCTCAACCTTGACAATTTTAAGGCATGTGGACTTCAACTCCCAGAATTCCACAGCCAGCATTGCTCTAATGTACTTTCCTGGAAGAGCAAGACATGGAGATAAAATGTGAAAACATAGGAGCCAAGGTGGCGCAGCAGTTAGAGTGCAGTACTGCAGGCCACTTTAGTTGACTGTGTTCAGCAGGTCAGCGGTTCAAATCTCACCAGCTCAAGGTTGACTCAGCCTTCCATCCTTCCGGGGTAGGTAAAATGAGGACCCAGATTGTTGGGGGCAATGTAAATATATATATACATTGCTTACTGGTGTACACCGCTTAGAGAGTGCTTGCACTTAAAGCGGTATATAAGTCTCATAAATAAATAAATACCCAAGGATTATTCCCCTTCTTTGCATGAAGACTGTCCTGATGAATACATTTAACAGTGGTAGAAGTAAAGACAAGACAGGATAACACTTGCTTGGTACTTTTTATTTTACTACTCTCTCTCTCTCTCTCTCTCTCTTCCCCCCCCCCCTTTTTTTGTGGCCATTTTACTTCTTTTTTTTTCTCTTTTAAACAAACAAAAAAGCAACTCAATGAGCTGCCACCTCAGCAGAAACCCAGGCACAGAATAGATCCTGATGCAATTCCTAGCCCAGTAAGTGCCTTGTCTCTCTCTCTCTGCTTTTGTCTGCATGTCAATGGCTGGCTATGTGTATCCGCCAAATAATTCCCCTTGTTAACCACCCTGGTGTTAGTCCCATCACCTTTCCTCTTCCTCTGTTTCTGCTCACATTTCGATAAACAGAATAACACGCCAGAAGTGTTGAAATCATCTGTACATCAAAAATGAAGGGGCAATAAGAAGCTTGGCATTTAAAACCGCAAAAAGATAAGCCGGTTATATATTTTCCTTCCAGCTCTAGGCTTGTGTAAGCAAATAACCGCTGGAGAAATCGTTACATACTTAGCACATGCTTAGGATGAATATTTAGGAATAAATTGGACATGTGATGCATTAAGTACCTGCTGTAGCATGAATTTTAACAGCTACCTTTTTTAATTAATTCATTTTAATTAAGCAGCAGGTCAGTTCCTATTATTGTTTTCATGAACACAATGAATGTCACTTGCCTATTGCTCCTATATTGTTTTGTCTTGGGAACGGGCTGAATTTGGTCACAACACATAAAATAGATTGGTGATGTTACCAACTTCGCTTAATTTTTTACAGCTGGAACAAAACAGAAATAAGTCTTCTTGGTGTGGTCACTTCAACTTTCCGTGCCGTCTCTTTATAAATGTGTTTCAGATTAAGGGAAACAGTCATTTTCACCATAAGAGATATTGTTCAAAATAATTGAAATCTATAGGGAAAGGAGGTTGAATCATTCCAGTTTAAAAGGTGAATACCATGCTAATATTTACAAGCAGTTGAATTGGTTCATAAATTAAAAGGTTCCATTTCAATTGTTTTGGATAACATTATAAGTAATAGATTTATAATCCAAGTATTGGAAAGTAGTTAAGTAGAATATTGTATCACAAGTTTAACTTACCGTGCTCTTTGTTGAATGATTAGGAATAAAATCAGTTATCAGGTGGTACCAACTAATTATTATCCCTGCTCTTCTTAACCTAGAATAAAATTTTGAAATAGCTTTAGTGGAGCCGGATTTCAAGGTGAAGGAGTAGTATTGGTGTTGAAAAATCTGGCATAAGATTTTTCAGAAACACTTTTCAGAAGTATGCAACAAAAACATGGATTCTTTTTCAGGGATTGGATTGCTGCATCCAAAATACATTAAATGTATCTAGGCCAGGGGTAGGCAACCTCGGCTTTTTTATGACTCGTGGACTTCAACTCCCAGGATTCCTGAGCCAGCTGGCTCAGGAATTCTGGGAGATGAAGTCCACGAGTCATAAAAGAGCCGAGGTTGTCTACCCCTGATCTAGGCCTATAGCAGGGAAGGAAGCAGATGGAAGAAAACTAGGATACATATTATTAATTTTGAATTTGTTTTTTCTCTAACAACTAGTTTCTCTAGATTGAGGTAGGCAACCTTGGCTCTTTTATGACTCGTGGACTTCAACTCCCAGAATTCCTGAGCCAGCCACAAGTCATAAAAGAGCCAAGGTTGCCTACCCCTGCTCTAGATGATTATTTTAGTTTCAAGGATCACTTCTTCTGATTTAGGATAGCCTAAGCATATCTCGGTGAGAGCCAATTTCTTTTCACATTTTTTTACATAATGCCTTTTTGTTGATTATCATCCAATTTGAAACTCCTAAAGCAATATATTTAAATACACAGAGAGAGTAAGAGCGAGAGAGAAAACACACCCGATAAACAAAAATGGCATGTAATGCTCCAGCATAAAATTCTCAGCTGTAACTTTGACTATCCAGTTGCCAAAATAAAAAGGTGTAAACAATGACTTAATAAACTTTTATAGACAACATATCTTGGAAGTCGACACTGCAAAATATATAATTTATGAACTACACCACTAATTTTGGACTGTTGGTTTCAAACCTAGCAAAAGAAGCCGAAGGGTAAAATGGATATCCTCCTTTAGGGATTAAAAATGTGTTAAGTTATATTATCACAACCTTTGCTAAAACTTTCGTAGTGCTAACTGGTGGCTTTCCATTTTAGATTCAGGTCATTGAAGATGACAGGAATAACCATGGGTCAGAACCATTCATCACAGGAGCACGTGGACAAGTCCCACCTCTTGTTACTACAAATTTCTTGGTGAAAGATCAAGGTAAAATAGCAATCACGAAGGCAAAGATAACTAACTCACCGTCAAAAAAAGAAACTTGTATAGCTGTTTAGCATAAACACTTGGATTAAATTAGTTACGTTATACAGTGAAGAATTGCAGTTTTTTCTGTTCAGAATTTCATTATGGATTCATATTGGGCTCTTCAGCCACGGAGTTTGCCATGCTGTGTTTCCATACTAAATTTCTGAATACTGTTATATAAAATAATATACATAGCTGCAAAAGAATAGGGAGGTCAGATCTTAAGCCTTGAATTAATGATAAGCGGTTACGTTGGTCCTATTCAGGTTTGGCTGCTATGAGTTCTATTGTGCAATGATAGATAGATAGATAGATAGATAGATAGATAGATAGATAGATAGATAGATAGATAGATAGATAGATAGATAGATATGCACACAGCCCAGGTTCGAATCTCAGAAGGCTATGTCTGGCTGAAGAGAGTTAAGAAGCTTGAAATAGCTATTCCAGTTCTCCCTTTATTCTTTGTTAGCAATCTAAAAACATGTATATAGATAGATAGATAGATAGATAGATAGATAGATAGATAGATAGATAGATAGATAGATAGATAGATAGATAAGGTGTACACAAGCATACATTCATACCTACACATACCAATACACAAATACATATTCATATTCCTGAAAACTGCTTTATAATGTCAAAATTTGGACCGCCTGTTTACTTATCTGATTTGTATCGTACCTTCCCTCAGGTGCTCAAGATAGTGACCTTTTAATTTAAAATAAAAATTTAATTTTAGAAACATAGAGCTTATGGCATCATGCTTCTGTGGACTTATTAAAACATTTATACCACAAGCCCTGGACCAGGAGGCCCCCACTTAACTGTCACCCAGGCCCTTGTAATCTCCTGCTTAGTTTACTGTAATGCGCTGAACTTGGGGCTACCCTTGAAGAGCATTCAGAAAATTTAACCGGTGCAAAATGCAGCTGCACAGGTAATAAATGGTCCCAGCTGTATGGCCCATGTCACACCACTCCTCCGTAAACGGTACTGGCTCCTGATGTCTTTCCAGGTACAATTCAAGGTGCTGGTTCTCGTCTTTAAAACCCTATGTCACAGGTTCCGACTAATGAAGCACTTCAAAGAACTTTCAGGCATGTTTCCTAAAGTCTTTATTACAGAGCTACAATTTTGCCGGTCACCATCATGGACGTATTGATGCCAGAATCTGACTTCCTCTCGCTGGCATCAATCTTTTCTTGCTAAACCCCTCCCTTGTCTTGCAGTCACAAGTCACATTATCCAATTAGTGTGAAGGTCAAAAGTTTACTTCCTCTTTCTTTTCTGGGCTTCCCCCCCCACTCTAAGCTATGTATTAACCCAGTAATTACCAGACAGTTTTGCATATTGTCAAAGCAAGAATATACAGTATTTGCAGCATTGACATCCTACCTGGCTTGGGGCCGGTTTACCTGAAGGACCATCTTTTTCCAAGAGTTTCTAACAGTCCAGTTCGACCCAACAGATTGGGCATGCTGCTGTTGTGAGTCCTGGCCTGCCAGCAGATCCGGCAGCCGAGTCAGATGAATTGGATGAGGGGGAAGGGTTGCCTGGAGTCACATCGGAGTCTGTGGAAGGCTCAGAGGAGCACGAAGACTTCAGAGCTAGATGTGACACCGGGCCCGTCTACTCACGCTCGGGCAGAGAGACAGCTGGGTTGAGGGCCTGAACTGAGCGAAGGCGAGGAGCAGCTGGAGCCTGTTCCAGATGCACGGATGCACAGGGAGGAACAGTGTGCAGGACCACGGAGGGCGGTGGGGTGACTCTCCGGGAAAGTAAAAGATTCTTAAGAAGCCACGTCCAGGCTGGGTTATAAAGAGGAGAGGCGTGGGAAGGGCTGGTTGCCAAAGGCGAACCATTCATGCTACAGCTTTGTGCTTCTGTCATTGGATTTCCTGCCTCAGGATTTTTGGATATTTAACCAAGATTTGTCAGATTTCTCTGTGTTTGAGGAACTTAAACCTTGAGCATTCCAGCTGAGAACTCAAGAGACTGACACTTGCTCGTTTCAATAACTAAAAGGCCTGGTTGGAGTTTTGTTGCATAAAAGCTGTTTTGGAATAAAAGTCCTGCCTTGTTTAGTGCAAAGGGGTTTTTCCTCGTGAGTAAGTGGTTGAGCAGTATTCGCGGAGGCTGGGACAGAACAGCTGAATATCCCTGTCAGCCAGAATGTGTCAACTGACAGGAACTAGAAGATGGCCTTTCTCTGCTGTATCCCCTGCATGATGGAATATTCTCCCCTCGGAGATTATAATGGAGCCAACCTTTTTGGCCTTCCACGAAGTTCTAAAATAATCTGTGTACCCAGGCCTAGGGCTCGGAATGGGTTAAGGGTCTCATTGCCTGACGTCTTATTGGTTAACCATCATGGCTGCAAGATTATTTAGATGAGAGGCAACCATGACACATCTGGTTTGCAGGCTAGATTGGGAAATAAAAAGAAAATGTCCAGGAGGAAAGCAATAGCAAATTAATTCTGTATTAGAAAGCAATATGAACATGTCCATCTAATTACCAACTGTTAGATTTCACAAATGAAGGTAAATAGATGTGTTCCAGGATAAGGCTGCAGGATCCAACTTTCACTTGAAGTAGATTATGTTTGTGTTATTTATATTATTTGGTTTTTTTTTAATTGTTTGGCGTACTGTCTTGCTTGTGATTGTTCCACTTCAAAAATAGCAAGACAGTGAAATAGATAGATAGATGGATGGATGGATGGATGGGTGGATGGATGATGGATAGATGGATAGAGAGAGATAGATGATGGATAGATATAGATAGATATAGATAGATAGAGAGAGGGATGGATAGAGATAGATAGATAGATAGATAGATAGATAGATAGATAGATAGATAGATAGATAGATAGATAGATAGATAGATAGATGATGGATAGATATAGATAGAGAGATAGATAGATGGATGGATAGGGATGGATGGATGGATGATGGATAGATGGATAGAGAGAGATAGATGATGGATAGATATAGATAGATATAGATAGATAGAGAGAGGGATGGATAGAGATAGATAGATAGATAGATAGATAGATAGATAGATAGATAGATAGATAGATGATGGATAGATATAGATAGAGAGATAGATAGATAGATGGATAGATAGATAGATAGATAGATAGATAGATAGATAGATAGATAGATAGATAGATAGATAGATAGATAGATGATGGATAGATATAGATAGAGAGATAGATAGATGGATGGATAGGGATGGATGGATGGATGATGGATAGATAGAGAAATAGATAGATAGATAGATAGATAGATAGATAGATAGATAGATAGATAGATAGATAGATAGATGGATGATGGATAGATATAGATAGAGAGATAGAGATAGATAGATGGATGGATAGGGATGGATGGATGGATGATGGATAGATAGAGAGAGAAAGAGATAGATAGATAGATAGATAGATAGATAGATAGATAGATAGATAGATAGATTATAGATAGATTAACGTTAATAAATTTATTGAAGAATATATAAGTAAAGTTTTGATTTCTTCTTTTAAAGGTAATACAAGTCCCCGCTACATAAGATGTACTTCTTATAATATTCCCTGCACTTCAGAGATGGCTAAACAATCTCAAGTTCCTCTTGCTGCAGTTATAAAACCGTTGGCTACACTTCCCACAGAAGAGGTAAGATTGATAGATAAAAGAGCAACATATTATTACAAGATAATGGACACCGGGCAAAGAAAACCTTCCCTTGAGTTTTTTCTCTATTTATTCAGTTTTTTATTTACTCCGTCCCAAGATTTAACTTTGATGCTTTGCTCTATAGACAGAAGGAATTACATACTCTGGACATGAATACTAGAGGAGGATGCAGAAAACACACTCTTTGATATCATGTGTTGGAAAAGAAAGGGGAAATGTAAACAGTGCCAATATCCAGTGTTTTTTTTTTTTCTTTCCAGGCCCCTCCTTATCTGGTGGACCATGGGGAATCGGGTCCCATTCGGTGCAATAGGTGTAAGGCGTACATGTGCCCCTTTATGCAGTTCATTGAAGGAGGAAGACGATTCCAGTGCTGCTTCTGCAACTGTGTTACTGAGGGTAAGAGCTTCCTATCAAAAGGGCCCTTGTAGAGAGGAGAGAGAGAGAAAAGAGTAAAGGAGGGGAGAAGGAAGTAGGAAGGTTGGAGGAGAAGAGGAGAAGTGGGGAGAAAGTGGAGGAGAGTGGTGAAGGAAAGAGAAGAGGAGAGGAAGAAGAGGGAAGTAGGGAAGAGAAGAAAGGGAAAAAGGTAGAGAAGAAGGAGTGTGGATACAGTGAAAGGGGAAATGGGTGAGCAACATCAAAAGTCATGTGTATGTATTTATTTCATTTTATTAAAAGTATCTTATATAAGAATGTAAAAAGAATGTATGTTAACATCTGATAAATATCATGGTATATGTATGGGGGGAGAGTTTGGAAAAATAAAAAATTATTAAAAATAAAATTTTAAAAAAGGGCCCTTGTAGAGGGTGAGGACAGTCTGCTGCCAAGCAGGAATTCCACCTGGGGAATCATCCTGGGAAAACTCAAGAACAGATTTATATTTAAATGATGAAAGCTATACATCAACCTTTTGCGCTAAATTTTGGGCAGTTGCTTACAATTGGCTTACTGAGGAATTTGCCTTTATTGAAACGAAACATGCAATATGCAGAAAATCTTATTTTTAAAAATGCATATTCAGCTTTCTCTCTCTCTCCAAAAAATGAGAAAATGATTATATTAATCCTTTCCACTATTAACAGTTGTGCAAAAATTGTAGTGCAAGAACGATAAATCCAAAATAAAAGGCAATATGTTTGTGGTTTTTGTTGGAAGACAATGCCATCTGGAAATTAAATTTTTATGGCATAGGACAAGGGTAGGCCACCTCAGCTCTTTTATGACTCGTGGACTTCAACTCCCAGAATTCCTGAGCCAGCCACGCTGAGGGGAAAGGGAGAGGTTTCCATGCTGAGCCATGCTGGCTCAGGAATTCTGGGAGTTGAAGTCCACGAGTCATAAAAGAGCCAAGGTGGCCTAGCCTTGGCATAGGAAAATTACTATTCATTACTGATTGGCTGCAGGGTCTATTAATGTGTCTTAGAATGTAGGTAGCTACCTCACCCAGAAATCTAAAAACTGATCTGTAGCCATGATCTATGAATTGTAGCCATGAATTATGAAAACAAAACGTCCAAAATCCGTAGGTGGGTGATATCTTTACAAGGACCAACAAGTAGCACAAAGAATTTTCCAGGTTTTCTGTAATGATGTCACAGAAAAGTACAGATAGGGAAGGTGTTGATACAGAAGTAAAGCAGATCCAGATGTTTCAGCTACAAAGCCTGCAATCCAAAGGCAGCCTCAAGGGAAGAGAAGGCAGATTCAGTACATTGTAAAATGGTATTGTTGCCAAATTACATGCAGCATTTATAAAGAGAAAAAAATGGTTGTTCCCCTTGCTCTGAACGCTGAAGAGCCGTCTTGACAATTGAAAGAAATAAAATTTGCAGGTATTTTCACTCCTTTCCTTCTTTTTTTTTCTCCCCCCCCCCCCCCAGTGCCATCTCATTACTTCCAGCATTTGGATCACACAGGCAGGCGAGTGGATTACTATGACAGACCTGAATTATCACTGGGCTCCTATGAATACCTAGCTACCGTTGACTACTGCAAGGTATCTCCACTTGCATTTATTATTTATTTTATTTACACTGAGACCAGTGGGCTAAATAACCAAATTCTTGAAGAAAGTCAGCCTTCAGTGCTTTACTTTTAAAAGTTTGTGTCAGAGCACAAACAAGCAGGCCGGAATTATATAGATTTCTGTAAGGAATTGATATTGTCAGGATTTAGGGCCAAGGAACAAAATCTTAGAAAATGATAAGAATATTTAGCCGTGGATTAAGATTAGTTCACTGGCTAAGGTGAACTCTGAACAATATAAGTATCTTCTTGTTTTACTTTGTAGACCGATTAAGCCAGAGCTTTTCAACCAGTGGTACGGGTACCACCTGTGGTACATTGTGGTATGCGAGCATCCTAGAAAAGCGGTAGTGGGGGAGAGGAATGAGCTGAACCGGTGGCAGCACCGCACAAGCCTGAGCGAGAGACGGCTGGAGCTGCAGGGCTGTCAGAGCTCAGTGGAAGCACCAGGGTCAGCACCAGGCTCCAGCTGGTGATCCTGGCGCTTCCGCTGAGCCCAGAAGAAGTGCCAATCAGCTGGAATGTTGCAGTATCTCCAGGGTCTTGTGATTTACATTCAGATGCTTGGCAACTGATTCATATTTAAGTCGGTCACAGTGTCCCAGGGTCATGTGAAGTGACCAAAATCTGCTGCAACCAATAAATAAAAACCAAACACCCCCCCCCCCACTCCACCCCTGCTACCAATCCCCAACAGAAATGCTCACAACAATGAAAACCTTGGACAGGAGGAAGAGCGCCGCTGGGCGGGCAGGCAGGTGTCTTGTTCAGCTGTGGCTTGGGGGGCACTTTTTTCAATGCCATTGTAACTTCGAACGGTCATTAAGCGAAGTGTTGTAAGTTGAGGACTACCTGTACCTTATCACTTTTTGGGGGGGGGGGGTCATCATGTTTTTGACGCCTTGCTAGGCGATTGGTGGTACTCAGATACTGCCATATCCTACAAGTGGTACCATGGGTGAAAAGGTTGAAAAGCCCTGGATTAAGCTATCACTTATTAATGAACTCTTCCTTTATTTCTGGATTGTGTCCAACACACCTTTTGTACTTTCTCAACTTTGCCACCACTTCTCAATAGTCTTTCCGGTCTGCATTCAAGTTAAATGGGCAGAGAGACCATCCATCCTTAACATTCATTACAATGTAAGTAATTGTCTTCAAGGATTTAGGAAGGCATAGATCCCTTCAGAGAGGCTGATTTTAATCAAATTATCGTAAGCCTCAGGTTCCAGAAACAAAAGAACTAGCTACAACATACTAAGAAACACAAAAGATTGCTCTGATGAATTTGGATTAGCCTTTTATTTTGGGGAGATATACTTCTATAACATCAGATCTGCAGAAACACTTTAAATAAAAATTAAGGGCTGCCAGGATAAAATGCAGTGTTTCTCCACTTCGGTAACTCTAAGATGCGTGGACTTCAACTCCCAGAATTACCCTGGCCACTATATTGGGGAATTCTGACAGTTGGTCCACAATATGTTAAAGTTGCCCAAGTTGATAAACACTGATATAATGCTAATAGTACTGGAAAACTGTAAGAATTGCATTTGTCTTTGGTTAAATCTGGGCAGAAACATTGTTCAAGCTTGTTTCTTTCAAGGCATAGATGATGGGGAAATGACTCAGTAGTGTGAGATGAATAATTGTTCTCGTATTCCTTTCTTGCAGAATAACAAGTATCCCAACCCTCCTGCTTTTATTTTCATGATTGATGTGTCGTACAACGCAGTGCGGAGCGGCTTGGTCAGACTGATATGTGAAGAACTGAAGACCCTCCTGGATTATCTCCCCAGGTACCGGCTCACATAGGACAGTGGCCACAAGGGAGATCCTTTGAAGTTAGATTAATGCTCAAGCAACATTTTTACAATAAATGTTGATCATAATCAACCTATTTCAGTGCTTACTTATGGAATTATCTCAGTAAAACAGTTCAATCAGTCTTTCAATCAAGTAATGTGTAAAATGAGAGGACTTCCCAGCTGCATCCTCAAACTTGGAATTTGGCCAGTAGATATTAGGGTATCTTCTTCTGTTGATGCTGCTGTACTTCTGCTTTTCAGTTTGATTTTTACAAGCCTGTTTTTTACTATCTTTAACGCCTTTTTTTTTTCACAGAGAAGGAACTATGGAAGAATCAGCCATCCGTGTGGGTTTTGTCACCTACAACAAAGTTCTACACTTCTACAATGTCAAGAGCTCCCTGGCACAGCCGCAAATGATGGTTGTTTCCGATATAGCAGATATGTTTGTCCCTTTGCTTGATGGCTTTCTTGTAAAAGTGAGTGAGTCTCGCGCTGTTTTTACCAGGTAAGCAAAACTCAGCCTATGCCAGGGGTAGGCCACCTTGCCTCTTTTATGACTCGTGGACTTCAACTCCAAGAATTCCTGAGCCAGCCATGCTGAGGGGAAAGGGAGAGGGTTTCCAAGCTGAACCATGCTGGCTCAGGAATTCTGGGAGTTGAAGTCCACGAGTCATAAAAGAGCCAAGGTTGCCTGTCTCTGGCCTATACCATGAACATTAACAAAGTGATGCAGATAGACCCCAACCTCAGTTGGGACCAGAATTTCCATTTTTAAGCAAGTCAGTTGCTAAGTGAATTATGCTCATTTTTACTTCCTTTTTGCCATGATTTTTAAGCAAATCACTGCATTTGTTAAGCGACCATGCAGTCTTTAAGCAAATTCAGGTTCCCTGATTGACTTTGCTTACCAGATGCTGGCTGGGAAGGTTGCAGATGGTGACCCCAGGACAGTGCAACTTTCATAATTACATGTATAAGGACCTGTCTCAATTAGATCTCCCAAGAAAGCAAAACTCTTGAAGTAGGCATTGTCTCAAAAGGAATTTTTTTTTATTGAGAGTTAGTGATGGCAAGAGAGCAAAGCAGGGTCTGAGGGAGGGCATCTTGCACAGAGTAGAACGAAGCAGATAATAATAGGCAGGAGCAAAAGAGAGAGAAAAGGAAGGATTAAAGGCAAATACATTTGAGGGGCTCTGGCATTCGCCCCCCCTCCCTAATAGAAAGACAAATCCACCTGAAAAAACAAAACAGGAATACAAAAAGAAACACATTAATCAAGTTTGTCTGGATAAGACACCTAACATGTTTCTTACAAACCCACTCATTCTGTGCAGCAGACAGGTCTTTCCAGGCCACTAAATACTGTGTGGATCCATGATGTTTGCGGGAATCTAAAATATCCTTGATTTCAAAGTGTTGCTCGCCCTCCATCATAATAGGCTGAGGAGCCGGGGCGCTCATGAGTCTTAATTTGGAGGTGACCTCAGGATTCAATGCTGCAATGGAAAACTGGGCGGATTTGTCTCAGGCTCTTAGGGAGCTCCAGCTTCACCGTAACAAGATTGATAACGCGTTTAATAGGAAATGGACCAATACATTTCAGCCCCAGCTTCTTCGATGGTTGCAATGACTGTAGGAACCTAGTGGAGAGATAAACTTTATCTCCAACATGGAAAGGTTTAAGTTCCATTCTTTTCTTGTCAGCCTGTGCTTTATAAAGCTTCCCTAGCCTCATCCAGGGCCTTTATAACTACTGGCCAGATGTTCTGCAATTGGTGAACCCGCTGTTTTTAGGGAAGTAATGGCAGGTTTGGTGGCAGGCAATTCAGGCACAGGAAGGAAACTCTGGCCATTAACCACTTGGAAAGGAGTGCTGGAGTGTCCTGCATTGTTGTAAAGCCACTTCAGCAAACGAAGTGGTACGTGATTGCAGAGATGTCTTTGGATAGTGCTGGCTCAGTAGCCTTGAAGCGGAGATAAGTGCTGTCTCCTACAGTCAACAATGGCTAGTGGAGTAAAATCCACAAGGACTCTACATGGGGCTACCCTTGAAGGGCTTTCGGAGGCTGCAGTTGGTTCAGAACGCAGCCGCGAGAGCGATTGTGGGCGCGCCAAGGTACGCCCACGTGTCACCTATCCTCCGCGAGCTGCACTGGCTTCCTGTGGGTCTCCGGACGCAATTCAAGGTGTTGGTTATCACCTTTAAAGCCCTTCATGGCATAGGGCCAGGTTACTTACAGGACCACATTCTGCCGCACAGCTCCCAGAGACCGGTGAGGTCCCATAGAGTGGGCCTCCTTCAGGTCCCGTCGGCCAGACAATGTCGGCTGGTGGGCCCTCGGGGAAGGGCCTTTTCTGTGGTGGCTCCGACCTGGTGGAATCAACTTCCCCCCGAGGTTCGAACTACTCCCACCCTGCCGGCCTTTAAGAAAGCCGTTAAAACTCTCCTGTTCCGGCAGGCCTGGGGCTGATGTCCCCAGGGGGGGGGGGGGATATGATCGGACTCGTGGTATAACTGTATTATTTTATTGTTTTAGGATTGTTTCAACTCTGTACACCGCCCTGAGTCCTTTGGGATTGGGCGGCATATAAATAAAATTAAATACAAATACCTTACTCCGGAAATAGGTGTGTTTTTTTCCCCCTCAGAAGTTCTAATTGGCTTGAAAGCATTGACGCTCATTGATAAGAAATAACCTGTTGAGGTTTCTGCAACCTTTGACTTTGGTTTTCATCATTTTGCAGCCTGTTGGATCAGATCCCAGATATGTTTGCTGATACAAGAGAAACAGAAACAGTGTTTGCTCCCGTGATTCAGGCTGGCATGGAAGCTCTAAAGGTTAGTTTTTATGCTCCTCAGCACCTTAATTTGACTTGATTTTTCCTTTTTCCTTTTTTTTTTTTTTTTTTTTTTTTTTTGAGTATTCTGTAAACGTCTCAAGACAGCAGCCGTCTATATCAAGTGCCGAATCCAATTTATTTATTATGTGGTAACTGAACCATTTTAGGTAATATTTATCAAGCAGAAAAATCTGTAATGTGAATGCAGAGGATCTTGAGCAGTGGTTCTCAACCTTTTTAATGCCGCGACCCCCAACCGGTCGTAAGTCGAGGACTACTCAACCAATCGTAAGTCGAGGACTGCTCAACTGGTGCAGCACCGTTTGCAGAATGGGACTTTTGGCGGGCTCAGCAGGGCAGAGACAGCCTGGACAATTCCTATTGGCTTTTGAAAGCCAATAGAATTAGACTCTATTCAAGAGAGTCTATTCTATTGGCTTTCAAAAGCCAATAGAATAAAAGGGAGTAGCACAGCTAAGGAAAAGGGGAAAAAAATGGCGGACTGCATTGTTTGGCGACCCCCGTGAAATGGTCGTTCGACCCCAAATGGGGTCCCGACCCACAGGTGGAGAACCACTGATCTTGAGCAATATAGATGAGTTAAGCACTTCAGATGTTGATATTTGGATTTTTTTTTTTTTATTTTTGCAGCAGCAGGTTGGGAATAAGATCAGTAAGTTAAGTGCCGGTTGTAAAAAGATGGATCACTTGAAAAGATGTGAAGAGCTACATTTGCTTTTCATTTCTTTTACATTTTAATACAAATAGTGGCACGGAGAAGGGGTCTGTAAGGCTCTTAAGGACAAAAGAGTCTCAAATGGTCATTTCAAGGACCCTTCCATGTTTGTTTACAGGCTGCAGACTGTGCTGGCAAGCTTTTCATATTTCACACATCGCTGCCTATCGCAGAGGCTCCAGGGAAGCTGAAGAACAGAGATGACAAGAAACTGATGAATACCGATAAAGAAAAGGTAAAGGATCGTATTCCAAACAGAAGTAGGCTAAGGCAGGAAGTCTGGTTATGATTTCTTATGTCTCCTTAATTGCTTTGTGCCTCCCCCACCCCACCCCAACTCTTCCCACTGCTATGATCTGTCCATCATCCCAACCTGCATCAGGTTGATTTGTTTATTATCACCTTTAGAAATCACTTATCTCCCTCACGGAGGGAATTTGGGTGGTGTACAAACAAATGGAAAAAAAGAACCCCATAAAATCTGCATATAAAACATTAAAATACAGGCAAAGATAAAGTTAAAATTGGATATTGGATAATTCAAAGGAGGGGGGGGGGTTCTTCAGATTGCTAACCAGCCCCACGGCTGCATGCTCCTCTATGAGCTCAAGCGAGGTGGCAGAGCCAGGTCTTCAAATGTTTTCGAAAGGCCAGGAGAGTGGGGGGCCTCTTCACCTCAGAGTTGAGGGGAGGGGAGAATGTTCCAAAGGGAACCCAAAAAGAAGGTTCTCTTCCTGGAAATCTTCACTGATTAAAAATTAAAAATCTTCACTGTAAAAAAGATGCTGAGACTCTAGAAAGGGTGCAGAGAAGAGCAACAAAGATGATTAGGGGACTGGAGGCTAAAACATATAAGGAACCGTAGCTGGAATTGGGTATGTCTAGTTTAATGAAGAGAAGGACGAGGGGGGACATGATAGCAGTGTTCCAATATCTCAGGGGCTGCCCCAAAGAAGAGGAGGTCAAGCTATTCTCCAAAGTGCCTGGAGGCAGGACAAGAAGCGATGGATGGAAACTAACCAAGGAGAGAAGCAACCTAGAACCAAGGAGGAATTTCCTGACAGAACAATTAATCAGTGGAACCACCTGCCTCCAGAAGCGGTGAATGCTCCAACACTGGAAGTTTTTAAGAAGAGACTGAACAGCCATCTGTCTGAAATGGTGTAGGGTTTCCTGCCTGAGCAGGGGGTTGGACTAGATCAGTGGTTCTCAACCTGTGGGTCGGGACCCCATTTGGGGTCGAACGACCATTTCACGGGGGTCGCCAAACAAGGCTGTCTGCCATTTTTCCCCCCTTTTCTTTGGCCACACCCCTGGCACCCGGTGATGTATAAGTGGTTGGGGGTCACCACAACATGGGGAACTGTATTATGGGGTCGCAGCATTAGAAAGGTTGAGATCCACTGGACTAGATGACCTTCAAGGTCCCTTCCAACTTTATTATTATTATTGTTGTTGTTATTATTAAAGCCCCCCTCCCCCACCATAACATAAAGAAAAATAAAATTTGCTCCTTCTCTGAATGAAATTCCTGAGACAGGAAAAGCTTAGAACTTTTCATTCCTTCAGCTGTCATAACCAAGTTAAAGAAAGCTAATCTGATGGCCAAATACAAATCATGGACTGAACGCCAAAGAAGTGAAATTATAATGTAAATATTCAGAAGACCAACTAAAGGCCTTCATTTTCATAGCAAATACACGCATCCTTTTGATCTGCAGTCCTTTAAATAATAGGTTGAGATCTGTTCTCTGAAAGCTCATCCGGTTCCTTTTTTTCAATCATTTTCTTCTTTATTGTGCTTTCAGCAAATAATCTAGTTGCCCAAGACCTGAGCTTAGTAAATCAGAACGACACAGTTTGAAACAGTATTTTATTCGGATTTCAGCCCTGCATTTTTTTCTGAAAGGGGATGCCAGGTAGGATTAAAATAACAATAAACTGGTAGTTTGATGGCATCTCCACCGTAACCCCCTCTTCTGCTTTTTTTGCCTAGAGATCGTTCTACCTAACTCTTTTCAGGAAAAAAAAAATAAATGCTAAGCTTTTGTTATTGGGAGATAATTGTGGCTTCTTATCCATTAAAGAAACAAAAATTCTAAAACAAAGAACTATTATTAGGAAAAAAATTAAAAATCTTTTTTTTTGCAAGGTTTTCTTAAGAAATTTCTAAAAAGCAGATTGTTGATGCAAATTGTAATTTGTGCTGATTATGGTATTATATTTAAATTTAATTCAACCAGCTATATGGTAACATTGAAATGTGAGACTCTTCTTTCTTTATTTATTTTGTATACCACCTTTATTATTTTTACACATAACTCAATTCAAATGTATCTAACACACCTTCCTCCTATTTTCCCCACAACAACAACAATCCTGTGAGGTGGATTGAGTTGAGAGAGAGGGACTGGCCCAAAGTCACGCAGACAGCTTTCATGCCTAAGGCGAGACTAGAACTCAAGTCTCCTGCTTTCTACCCTGGTGCCTTAACCACTAGACCAGGGGTAGGCAACCTTGGCTCTTTTATGACTCGTGGACTTCAACTCCCAGAATTCCTGAGCCAGCCATGCTGAGGGGAAAGGGAGAGGTTTCCAAGCTGAGCCGTGTCAGCTCGGGAATTCTGGGAGTTGAAGTCCGCGAGTCATGAAGGGGCTATAGTTCCCCCATGCTGGCTCAGGAATTCTGGGAGTTGAAGTCCACAAGTCATGAAGGGGCCAAAGTTTCCCTCATACTAGCTCAGGAATTCTGGGAGTTGAAGTCCACGAGTCATAAAAGAGTCAAGGTTGCCTACCCCTGCACTAGACGAAACTGTTTCTCGTAGACAGGAAATAATATGCTACCTAATTGGTTTTACTTTTATTTTTGCTTACATGTTTAGGACAAAGGAGATATAGAGATAATTCTGAGCTGGGATTTTTGGCATGGTTCAACATATTTATCCTATTTCCTGCTTTCTCTGCTTATTCGTTTTCTCTGCTTTAGACTCTGTTTCAGCCTCAGACCAATTTCTACAACAACCTAGCCAAGGATTGTGTGGCCCAAGGGTGCTGCGTGGATCTTTTCCTTTTCCCAAATCAGTATTTGGATGTAGCTACCATGGGGGTCGTTCCATATCAGACTGGTGGCTCCATTTATAAATACACATACTTTCAGGTATGATTTGTCTTGGCTTTAACACCTGTTCATTTATATTATTTTATAGCTGCCGTTATAGTCTCAAAGGAGAGAGAACAAGTAATAAAACTATTTCAGGAGCCAGTTTTACTAGCACTAGCTTAGGTTAGTTAGTTCAACAGGAGTCAATATACACTTTAAAAAGTAAACAGCAGTGAAGCTGATTATTTTTCACCTCACAATTTTGAATTCAGATGGATTTCTGTTTAGGTGGTTTAAGGCACCTTGCAGTGAAAAAAATAAAAGTTCTGGACTTGTAGACTATGGTATATACTGCAGATTATTCTTTTTTAAAGCAACAACAATGTGTTCTCTGAATTTCTAAGTGATTTAGAGTTTAGATCCTGCGTAAACTGGAGATACGAGGCAATGGTCTTATTTGGCATGCTGTTCAGCCTCTGTTAGATATCACCTGCGCATCCACCATGTGAAGCATGTTGACTGTGTATTTTAGGTGGAAACAGATCAGGAACGCTTCTTGAATGATTTACGTAGAGATGTTCAAAAAGAAGTTGGATTTGATGCGGTGATGAGAGTGCGTACTAGCACAGGTGAGCACATATCTGTATATCTATTGTTGTTGTTAGTTGCAAAGTCGTGTCCGACCCATCGCGACCCCACAGACAATGTTCCTCCAGGCCTTCCTGTCCTCTACCATCTTCGGGAGTCCATTTAAGCTCACGCCTCCTGCTTCAGTGACTCCATCCAGCCACCTCCTTCTCTGTCGTCCCCTTCTTCTCTTGCCCTCCATCTTTCCCAGCATTGGGCTCTTCTCCAGTGAGTCCTTCCTTCTCATTAGGTGGCCAAAGTACTTGAGTTTCAACTTCAGGATCTGGCCTTCTAAAGAGCAGTCGGGGTTGATCTCTTCTAGGACTGACCGGTTGGATCGCCTTGCAGTCCAGGGGACTCGCAGGAGTCTTCTCCAGCACCATAGTTCAAAGGCCTCAATTCTTTGGCGCTCAGCCTTTCTTTCTTATGGTCCAACTTTCACTGCCATACAACGTCAGCCCTTTGAAGTGATCCAGAGAAGAAACACCAGTTATGAATACTGATATTATCCTTATTGCGAGGTTACAGTAACAGAATTGTTCAAGTCTGCAAGTATCTCTTGCTTCCTTTATTTTTGCCCTTCAGAAAAATCAGGAGGGTCCCTTCTGAGAAGCTTTCTCTTCCCCCTTCACACCTCCTTCCGACTCAGATTTCATTTTTCAAGCCATTGTCTAGGCCAGGGGTAGTCAACCTTGGCACTTTTATGACTCGTGGACTTCAACTCCCAGAATTCCTGAGCCAGCTTAGCTGGCTCAGGAATTCTGGGAGTTGAAGTCCACGAGTCATAAAAGAGCCAAGGTTGCCTACGTCTGGGCTAGGCCTAGGTCGCTTTATGACTCGTGGACTTCAACTCCCAGAATTCCTGAGCCGGCATGGCTCAGCTTGGAAACCTCTCCCTTTCCCCTCAACATGGCTGGCTCAGGAATTCTGGGAGTTGAAGTCCACGAGTCATAAAAGAGCCAAGGTTGCCTACCCCTGGTCTAGGCTCTTGTCTTTCCTCCTGTCTCCCAAGGTCATTCCCACATACCATTACAGTGAATGAGAATACCCAAGGTTTAGCTGCAGACTTTGTGTATTTACCCTGCAGTGTTCCTGCCTCTCAACCTTTGCTTACTCACTGGACTGACTTATATCGATAAGACAAGATAAGATAAAACATAAGATAACCTTTACTGTCACTTTTCTGTATGCACAATGGCACACCTAAAATGAAATTCCAATGCCTGCTCTCAGAAGTGTGTGTGTGTGTGTACACATATATACACATAGAGTTAACACAGTTGATACTATATGGAACAAAGCTATTACAGAATCTACGTGTTGTGCTTCAGATACCTCAAAGCCTCCTCCTAGAACAGTGTTTCTCAACCTTGACAATTTTAAGGCATGTGGACTTAAAAAGAGCTGAGGTGGCGCAGCAGTTAGAGTGCAGTACTGCAGGCCACTTTAGCTGACTGTGTTCAGCAGGTCAGCGGTTCAAATCTCACCGGATCAAGGTTGACTCAGCCTTCCATCCTTCCGGGGTAGGTAAAATGAGGACCCAGATTGTTGGGGGCAATGTAAATATATATATATATATATATACATTGCTTACTGGTGTACACCGCTTAGAGAGTGCTCTCACTTAAAGCGGTATATAAGTCTCATAAATAAATAAATAAACTCCCAGAATTCCACAGCCAGCATTGCTGGCTGTGGAATTCTGGGAGTTGAAGTCCACATGCCTTAAAATTGTCAAGGTTGAGAAACACTGTCCTAGAAGGTGAGAGAAAACCAGTCATGCAGAGGATGTATAGCATCCCTGACAATACCCTGGTCAAGCAGCTCTTATATGCCATGTCCTGGATAGAAGGAAGTGAATTTCCAATCATCTTTTCCACCATCCTCACCACCCTGCACAGCCTTCCTGTATAAAACAGTTAATACTTCCCAAACCAAACAGTGATACAACGTGACAGTCTGCTTTCAATTGTCCCTCTATAGGAAATGGTACAGATAGGGGGAGGACTATGTGCTCTTCTCATATGATGCAAAAAATGCAAGCACTGCTGTGCCCACTTCACCTGTATCTTACTGTTGAGAGGCCAAGCTAACCTGCTCGTGAGCTGCACACCCCGAAACTTGATATTACTAACTGCCTTCACAGTTAAAGTTGTTAATACACAGAGGCCTATGGTTGTGCCTGCCTTTTCTGAAGTTGACAATGATCTCTTACTTTTCCTGCATTTAGAACCAAGTTCTTATTACCCCAGTCCACCAAACCTTCAGCCTCCTTCCTGTAAGCGCCTTCATTGTTATCCTGCATAAGGCCCACTATGTTGTATCATCTGCAGACTTCACAATATGGTTGGCAGCAAACGTAGCATAACTGTCATAGGTAAACAGGATGAACAGCAGTGGACTTAGGACACAGCCCTGAGGAGAACCTGTGCTCAAGAAAGTGGTGTTAGAAATATTAGTCCCAGCTTGCATATACTGGGGCCTACCAGTAAGAAAATCAAGAACCCAGATGCACAAGGGGTATTAAAACCTAACAGGTTCAGCATTTGTCTGCTGAATGCTGAGGAATGATCATATTAAATGCCAAAACTAAAGTCAACAAAACAGCATTCGCACATGGGTATTTCTTTCCTCCAAGTCTGCCAAGCTCAGTTGGAGGAAATAGCATCCTCTGTGGAGTGATTACCCAGTAAGCAGACTGAAGTGAGTCAAATAGTGGAGGGAGGCTTGATACAATAAAATCCTTTATCAGCCTTTTAAAGCCTTTCATAATGGTGGATGTAAGTGCAACCTAACGATAACCATTTAAGACCTATAATCGTAAACTTTTTATGCACTGACAGAATAATTGCAGTCTTAAAACAGGAAGGGCCACTTGCCTGCTGCAATGAAAGATTGAAAATATCTGTAAGAACACAAACCAACTCATCTGCACACTCCCTAAGAATTCACCAGAGATATTATCTGGGGCCTGCCACTTTCCGAACGTTAACTTTCCACAATGTCCTCCTGACAGAGGTAACATCAAAGCTAAGCACTTGTTCATCAGTACTTTAGGGCAGGGGTAGACAACCTTGGCTCTTTTATGACTCGTGGACTTCAACTCCCAGAATTCCTGAGCCAGCATGGGGGAACTATGGCTCTTTTATGACTCGTGGACTTCAACTCCCAGAATTCCTGAGCCAGCCATGCTGAGGGGAAAGGGAGAGGTTTCCAAGCTAAGCCACGCTGGCTCAGGAATTCTGGGAGTTGAAGTCCACGAGTCATAAAAGAGCCAAGGCTGCCTACCCCTGGCTTAGGGCCACAGCTTTCCTTGCAGGGGTGCTATTTGATGCCTCGAATCTTCCCAAAAATGTCTTGAGTGAGAATTACTGATTTCTCCACCACCCTAAGCCCAAGGTTGACTTCAGTGTGATATACGAACCCAGTCTTTAAAAGATTTCATCTTGGATAATTTTTCTCATTGTTTTTCTCCAGGTATTCGAGCAACAGATTTCTTTGGAGCTTTCTGTATGAGCAATACGACAGATGTGGAATTAGCAGGTTTAGACTGTGACAAAACAATCACTGTGGAATTTAAACACGATGACAAGCTAAGAGAAGACAGTGGAGCCTTACTTCAGGTAAATTCCTGTCTAAAGGAGGCTGTTGGGTATGCAGGCTGTGGTTTTTGGGGAGGATATCTTTTTTCCTGTAGTCCAGTGGTTCCCAACCTGTGGGTCGGGACCCCATTTGGGGTCGAACGACCATTTCACGGGGGTCGCCAAACAACGCAGTCCGCCATTTTTCCCCCCTTTTCCTTAGCTGTGCTACTCCCTTTTATTCTATTGGCTTTTGAAAGCCAATAGAATAGACTCTCTTGAATACAGCCTAATTCTATTGGCTTTCAAAAGCCAATAGGAATTGTCCAGGCTGTCTCTGCCCTGCTGAGCCTGCCAAAAGTCCCATTCTGCAAACGGTGCTGCACCAGTTGAGTAGTCCTCGACTTACGACCAGTTGGGGGTCGCGGCTTTAAAAAGGTTGAGAACCACTGCTGTAGTCAAATGGCAACCAACTTTCTTTAGGATAAAATTCACACTTTTTCTTGCTGGGCAGGTGTGGGGGGCTAAAAATGACCCATTCAGTGGGTAAGTTTAAGATCTTAGGCTCTCTTTTTCCTGGTGCAATGCGCCCCCCCCCCGCCAAATAATTTAAACATATTTGAAGTATATCTCATTAGTACCCATTGAAATCACTGGTACGATCTTGGGCCACCCAAGAACATAGGAAAAAGATTGCTGTCTTCCCATCTGATCTAACTTTTGCTTAGAGATGGAGGGTTTGATCCAGGAGTATCTAATGTTTGTTCCTAAAAGCAATACTATCCATAGAAAGTGATGGGAAACTAGGAGTTGACTGAAATCTTCAGTGTTCAAATTTTAATAGCTCTTGTTTATAAATCTCTCTCGTGTAGTGTGCTGTATTGTATACCAGTTGTGCAGGACAGAGGCGCCTGCGCATTCACAATCTCTCCCTGAACTGCTGCACACAGCTGGCTGACCTTTATAGGAACTGTGAGACAGACACACTGATCAACTTTCTGGCTAAATTTGGTAAGGACAATCTTGTAATTGTTCCGGGAAGGGAGGGAAACCTTGAGGTCTTTTGAGAGCACAAAAAAAGTTTTAATAACAGGCTGCCAGAAAAAAAAATCTTCCTGGATTCTCCCAGTGCTGCAGATAAGAGTTGGAAATAAATCATTGATTTCAAGAGATAAGAGCACACTGGCAGTGAAACTCAGTGTGAATACAATTGGTTGCCTTTATTATTTTATTTTGTTGTTAGTTGCGAAGTCGTGTCCAACCCATCGCAACCCGATAGACAACATTCCTCCAGGCCTTCCTGTCCTCTACCATCTTCTGGAGTCCATTTAAGCTCACGCCTACTGCTTCAGTGACTCCATTCAGCCCCCTCATTCTCTGTCGTCCCCTTCTTCTATTGCCCTCAATCTTTCCCAGCATCAGGCTCTTCTCCAGGGAGTCCTTCCTTATCATTAGGTGGCCAAAGTACTTGAGTTTCAACTTCAGGATCTGGCCTTCTAAAGAGCAGTCAGGGTTGATCTCCTCTAGGACTGACCGGTTTGAACGCCTTGCAGCCCAGGGGACTTGCAGGAGTCTTGTCCAGCACCATAGTTCAAAGGCCTCAATTCTTTTGCACTCAGCCTTTCTTATGATCCAGCTTTCACAGCCATACATTGCAATTGGGAAAACCATGGCCTTGACTATACGCACTTTTGTTGGCAGGGTGATGTCTCTGCTTTTTAGCATGCTGTCTAGATTTGCCATAGCTTTCCTCCCCAGGAGCAAGCGTCTTTTAATTTCTTGGCTGCAGTCCCCCTCTGTGGTGATCTTGGAGCCCAGGAAGATAAAATCTGTCACTACCTCCATTTCTTCCCCATCTATTTGCCAGGAATTGAGAGGGCCGGATGCCATGATCTTGGTTTTCTTAATGTTGAGTTTCAAACCAAGTTTTGCACTCTCCTTCATTCACATCAAGAAATTTATTTGCTCCCTATTTCATATCCAGTGACTGTTCGTATTTTCCTTTAACAGATGAACAGCTTACCTTAAATGTTTTTCTAATCGGGAACTTTTTTTTTTTTCCTGAAGCATATCGTGGAGTACTGAACAGTCCAGTCAAAACTGTGAGAGATACATTGATCAATCAGTGTGCCCAGATCTTAGCATGCTATCGGAAAAACTGTGCTAGCCCTTCTTCTGCTGGACAGGTAACTCCTCAAATGCGATGTGATGATGGATACTAATCTTGAATCAGGACACTGAGATTGGTCCTAAGCCATGTCAATCCCTAAGCAGTTCATCACACGATTGCACCTAATTTTATAATCTTTTTTTGTGAAAATGATTAACTGAATCACCATGGTCATTAAGCAAAAGCCCATCATTAACATGGCAGTTTTTTAAGCAAATCTACAGTGGGTTTTATTTTGCCAAAAATAAATGGCCAGTTTTTGGTAAAAAGGGGGGGGGGTAAAAAAATCACGATCAAGTAGGATACAGCAAACAGCCGTAAATGCGGACAAGTTGCTGAGCACCCCAAAATGCAAGCATGTTATCATGGGGAGGGGGTTAGCCATTGAAACTTCAAATCCAGGGGAGATCTGTCAGAATTTCAAACAGTCACTAATAAATATTAATTGGAAAAAACTGGGCACAGGCTGCAATAAGGTTGGCCACGTTAATGATGGATAATATTTGCTAAAGAACATTATTTCCCATGCCATCGTTTCCCCCACCCCCAATTCCTAATTTTGGACCCATGTAGATAGATTCTCGTTCTGGGCTCTTTCAGCAGAAATGTTTGTGTTCCCCAAAACTAAACAGATGCTTACTGTAACAGCTGCAAGTATAGCTAGTCCTCAACTTACAAACCCAAAGGAGCCCAGATTTTATGTTGCTAAGCAAGACGGTTAAGCGAATTTTGCCTCATGTTATGACCTTTCTTGCCACAGTTGTTAAGTGAATCACTGCAGTTATTAAGTTAATAACACAGTTGTTAAGCAAATCTGGCCTCTCCCATTGACTTTGCTTGTCAGAAGGTCACAGAAGGTTGATCACATGAGCCTGGGACAATCTGCAACCGCCATAAATATGAACCAGTTGCCAATTTTGATCACGTGACCCTGAGGACGTTGCAATGATTGTAAGTGTGACAAATGGCCATAAGTCACTTTTTTCCGGTGCCGTTGTAACTTCGAAGAGTTGCTAAACGGAGGGTTATAAGTCAAGGGCTTCCTGTATCTAAATACAGACTTATGAGATAGCTGCAGTCTTTGATAAATTGCAAGGCTAGAATTGAATTCAATATTAGCTTTAGTGTGCGTGTGTTTTTTTCATTGAAGCCAAAAAGTGGCGTGGATGAATTTTGTACCAAACCAAAAGTAATATACTGTCCTTTTCCTGCCCCATGATTATTATTTTTTTTAACTTCTTGTCGCTTTTAGCTGATCCTTCCTGAATGCATGAAACTTCTCCCTGTGTATTTGAACTGTGTTTTGAAAAGTGATGTGCTCCAGCCCGGATCTGAGGTCACCACTGATGATCGGTCCTACATCCGCCAGCTAATCAGTACTATGGATGTTGCAGAAACGCACGTTTTCTTTTATCCCAGACTGTTACCACTGGTGAGTGCTTCTAGATAAGATAAGATAAGATAAGATAAGATAACCTTTATTGATAAGATAACCTTTATTGTCATTTTTTTTTTACTGTGGGCACAACGGCACACATCAAAAATGAAATGTAGTTGCCTGCTCTCAAAGTGAACACATACATGACACACCTCTAAACATACTATATACAACATATACATATTTGTTTTCTGAGGTTTTCGCGGGTGTTTGTATATAGGTCTTTGGTTATTCGGGTTTTCTCCCACGTCACATTAGAAGTGTCTTGGTGACGTTTCGACAAAGTCTCATTCATCATCTTCAGGCTGGTGTTTTCGGCTTCGTGCTTCTGGGAGCAATGTGTGATCATAGCTGTTTCTTCCTTTTAACTTCCAGTGTGGGTATGAACTGATTGGGTGAGAGCTTGGCTGTGTTCTGATTGGGTGGAGGTGTGTTCTGATTGGTTAGGAGCTTGGTTGTGCTCTGATTGGATTGGTGGTTGGCTGTGCTCTAATTGGCTGGGAGAGTGTTCTGTTTGGGTGGGGGCTTTGTTGTGCTCAGGTTAATCTGAGTTGCAGGGGGATGTGAGATGGTGAGCTGCATTGCTATTGTTTGGCTTCGCGTTCGTGGTCGTGCTTCATCTTCATGGTGGGTGTCAGTTTGCTTCATGTATGGATTGGAGGGGTTTAAAGTGGCTAATGATGCAGCTGTCGTCTGGCTTCTGGTTTGTGGTCGTGCCTCATCATCGGTGTGGCTTTGGGTTTGCTTTTTGCGTGGATGTGTGGTGGTGACATCCTGTGTGGTTTTGTGAGTGTGGGTCTGGTGTCATTCTTTGTGTTAGGGACTCATTTGTCAATAAGGGCGGGTTTCCAAATGGCTGGTAGGCGGGAGGAGGTATCATCTCGTTTGTTCATGCTGTGTGGCGTTTTTCTAGCTCGATGGCTTCTCTGATTATTCTGTTATTAAAGTGTTCAGTTTTGGCGATAGTTCTGGTCTTTTTAAAGTCAATTTCATGTCCTGTGGCTTTAAGGTGTTGGACCAGGGAAGAAGTTGGTTCCTCTTTTTTGACTCTTATGTTCTTCAGTGTGTGCACTTATTCTTCTGTTGGTTTGTCCGATGTATGTGGTGGGACAAGCGGTGCATGGGATTTCATATACTCCTTGATTTTCTAACTCAATTTTATCTTTGGGGTTTCTTAGGATGGTAGATATTTTTCTGTTTCTGCAGAATGCTGTCTTGATGTTGTGTTTGTGGAGAATCTTGCTGATTCTGTCTGTGGTGCCTTTTATGTATGGGAGGAGGGCTTTGCCGTTTTCTTGTTCTCTGTCTTGGATTTTAGTGGGGATTTCTTTTTGGATTAGTTTGGTAATCTTATTTCTTTGGAATCCATTGGATATAAGTACATTAGTGAAAGTGTGTAGTTCGGTTTTTAGGTGTTGTTCATCAACTAAGCATTTTGTTCTAGAGATGAGTGTCTTGGCTACGGAGTTGATCTGTGCTGGGTGGTGATGTGAGAGAGCGTGCAAATAGCAGTTTGTGTATGTTTTCTTCTGGTAGATGGTGTGTCCTAGGGGATGTGAGATGCAGCTCACCATCCCACATCCCTCTGCAACTCAGACTAACCTGAGCACAACAAAGCCCCCACTCAAACAGAACACTCCCCCATCCAGTCAGAGCACAGCCAAGCTCCTAACCAATCAGAACACATCTCCACCCAATCAGAACACAGCCAAGCTCTCACCCAATCAGTTCATACCCCCACTGGCAGTTAAAAGGAAGAAACAGCTATGATCACACATTGCTCCTAGAAGCACGAAGCCGAAAACACCAGCCTGAAGATGACGAATGAGACTTCGTCGAAACATCGCCAAGACACTTCCAATTTGACGCGGGAGAAAACCCGAATAACCAAAGACCAACATATACATAGTATATACAACATATGTATAGATCTACATCTAAATATGAATATTAAACTGTCCATCTTGAATATATAATGGAAGGAGAAAGCTTGAGAGTTCACAAGGTTTATACTGTATGGAACGAAACTGTGGCTGAATCTGGATGTTCTACTCCGGATACCACAGAGCCTCCTCCCAGAAGGTAACAAGGAAAACAGGTCATGGAGAGGATGTGCAGAGTCCCAGATAATCTTATGGATCCTGCTCAAGCAACGCTTCTGTGCTACGTCCTGGATGGGAGGGAGGAAACTCCGAATCATTTTTTCAGCCATCCTCACCACTCTCTGCACCGCCTTTATTTATTTTATTTATTTATTGCCCTTTCATCCTTCACCCCCTGGCTGCATCCCACAACCAGGCACCCTGAGAAATGCTTATGAGGCGCCAAGCCAAATCAGGCAGAGCTGACAAATACCGTATATGCCGGCGTATTAGGCGACCCGGCGTATAAGATGACCCCTGTCTTTATCACCGAGCCGCACTCCTAGAACATCGTCTTATACGCCGGAAACTACCAGTATTTCCGGCGTATAAGACGACTCGGCGTATAAGACGACCCCCATCTTTGGCGCCGAGTTTAGCGCTTCCGGAAGTCGTCTTATACGCCGGCATATACGGTCATTTTGTGTTTTGCATCTGAATTTGTGTAAGATTCAGTGTAAAAAACAAAAAAAAGTATGTGTAATGCATATTCCAAATTCCCCAATCATGGGAAATAGTGTATTGTCAGTTTATTCTTCAATTCTTATAATGTCTTTTACATTTTAAATGGGGCCTTCTGAAAATTATTTAGCTCTTTTTTAAAAGTTCCATGGCTACATGCCAAGAATTATTCCTGGTCAAGTTCTGTTGTGAAGTGTGTGTGTGTGTGTGTGTGTGTGTGTGTGTGTGTGTGTGTGTGTTTTTATATATGCTCAGGAGATAGTAACTTGCATTGTGTCCTACAGACCAAAATAGATTACAACAGCAACGCCTTACCAACAGCAATCAGAAACTCAGAAGAACGTCTCTCCAAGGGTGACATTTACCTACTAGAAAATGGCCTGAATATATTTTTATGGGTAGGAGTAAATGTTCAACAAGGCCTGATCCAAAACCTCTTTGGAGTCTCATCATTCAGCCAGATCAACAGCTCTATGGTAAGTTAGGATTGGATAAAGAGAAAATTGCCTTAATTTTAGTATATGTCGTATCTGACCTTGGATATCTCAGTTTTCTATATAACGACATTAAAAATATAAAGGTATTTCAATGAATAATAACATTTTGGCAGGTTCATGATCAAGGGAATGAAAGGCCAACATTGAAGAAATATTAGCCTTCACTGAGGCTCTGTTCCTCTCCTTCATTTTCAGCATTGTGAAACATTCCAGACTGTTTCAAGCATCTTCACACTTTGCAGTATGATTTGTGTAATGCAGGGGTAGGCAACCTTGGCTCTTTTATGACTCATGGACTTCAACTCCCAGAATTCCTGAGTCATATGTGCTGACTCAGGAATTCTGGGAGTTGAACTCCATGAGTCATAAAAGAGCCGAGGTTGCCTACCCCTGGTGTAATGTAACTGATGTGACCTACATTTTTAACACTCGTTTAATCAATGAATTAAATGGTCCCTGATCTGCTGTGCCATAACTTTGTTACAGTGTACACTACCAGTTTTGGACAATCCCTTTTCAAAAAGAGTGCGATCCATTATTGATACGTTCCAGGCTCAAAGATCACGCTACATGAAGGTAACTAGTTTTGATTTTATGATTATAACAAAAAGGATTGTCTGTTACGATTCCCAGGCATTAAAAAGCGTATATAAATCTGATTTGAATGCCTTAAAAGAAACAATAGTAGTCTCAAATGGGCTTGGGGAGGTTCAAACCTGGGCATGGATTGTTCCATTGCTTTCACTGTCAGAATATGGCTGCATTAAATTCAGATGGCAAAAGACTTATTTGCCAATTGTATATCTTTTTCTTTTCTTTTTTGCTTTCAGCTTATCATTGTGAAGCAGGAAGACAAACTAGATCTGCTGTTCAAACACTTCCTGGTGGAAGATAAGAGCATGAATGGGGGGGCTTCGTACGTGGACTTCCTCTGTCACATGCACAAAGAAATTCGCCAGTTGTTGAGCTAGAGTCAGAATTATGCTGGATGCCAGCATTGACATCTGTCAGGTTCAGCTGATTGACTGCTCATAAGCGAACCCATCTCCCTTTGGAAGGACTATAGAAAAACCTGTATAATTTCATAATTTTAATATACTTCATAAAGTTTCAGCATCTCCCAAAATCTTTTAGAGAGAGACATGAATGATCAAAACACCTACTTAGGGTGATGAAAAAAAACAGTATGATTCTGGGTCCTAAATCTACGCCACTCACTAAGATTGGCAGAAAACGACATCATTTTTCTCCTGACAGAAGAAAAGCAATCACTCTCCAAGATTAGATGGTGATGCAAAGTTTGTGTATATGATAAGTCTCTATGAAAAGAAAATAAGCCAAATAGGAAAAGGTGGTGGCTGGCCTACTCAGCTGGGACGTGGATGTCAGATAGGGTGGTCACTTCTTAAAATTTAAGGATTCAATATACTGTAATCAAATTGTAGAATGGTGTCTTTAAAAAAAAAATCCCAGATTTTGAGCTAGAGAAAAAATTGACTCTGTAATTGTGTTGCTACACAAATTTGCCTTGAAATAAGTAAATGGAAACAAGCAGGTCCTGTCTCTTGGAAAGTTAAATCTGTCTTTTGGTTGGTGTGAATTGGTATGGCCATCATCCTTTGAGAAAAGAAGCATCTTTTTGCCAGTATCTTGTTTTGTCTCTTTTTTCCTATTTGCATGCTAGGTTTTAATTAAGTATCTTGAAGATGACCATGATTTTCTCCTTTAAAAGAAATGTTTTATAACAAGATGTCAAAAAGTGGCATAGAAATATGCTTGGAGATGGTGAGGTTGAGTTGTATCCAAGAAGCACTGAAATATCTGAAATCTCCATATGGAAGAAATGCTCATAATACAAAGTTCAAATCATGCCACTGATGTTCAGACTCTTTAATAGCTCCAGATAATTTTGGTCATTGATTAAAAATAACAAACTGGTTTGTTAGTGTAGGATAGTCACAACTGAATTTTAGTCTTCAAGCTCAGACATAAAGTTGGCCTAGCGCAGAGGTAGGCCACTTTGGCTCTTTTTATGACTCGTGGACTTCAACTCCCAGAATTCCTGAGCCAGCATGGCTCAGCTTGGAAACCTCTCCCTTTCCCCTCAGCATAGCTGGCTCAGGAATTCTGGGAGTTGAAGTCCACGCCTCATAAAAGAGCCAAGGTTGCCTACCCCTGGCCTAGCTGATAGGCAATTTTTCCATTGATAAACCATTACTCTGGCTTCCAAGAGGCCAAAGAAATTCTGACAGAAAAATGAAATGCATTTCACAGACTGGATATAAAGGCTCGTTAATTTGCAGGAGACTACTTGTTTTTTTTTTAGAAAGACTACACTTAGATTGTCTTGCAGTGTTCAGGATGTATTAGGAGAATAGCAACGTGGAATTTTGAGAAAGGATGGGGGGAAGAGCAGGGAAAGAGGCTTTCTTAGGCAAATTGTGGGTTGAGACTGAATATTTGAAATTGAAACCTTTATGTACATGATTAAATATTCAGGAGTATAGTTTCTTAATTTTGTGTCTGTGGGCGCGCACATCTATGTGTGTGCCCACGAGAAAGAGAAATTGTAAATATTTTGTTTGATCCATTGCAGTTTTCCCTTTCGTCGCATAGCAATGTACACAATTCGCTGTCAAGGAGTTTTCCCAAAAGATTCATAAAGATTTCATGTGTGCTTAAGATTGCCCTTCTCTCCTTCTTACTAAATATATTATCCCAACCAATCCACAAAACAAACAGCATCCATTCCCAGAACAACAGTCAACAATGAAACTTTCAGAATTCTAATTTCTAGGATTTAAATTTTAAAAAGTTAATGAGTGTATTTTCACTTTTTTTCCATTCATCTTTTAATTTGTAAAAATTATATAAAGATGTATTTTATGTCATTGTTAGCAAATAAATACTGATTATTTTTTTCCCAAGCCCTGTACTTTGGAGGGGAATGAACCGGTGTGCAGGCTGACTCTGTCAAGCTCCACAGTGGCAAATAAAGTATAATTTGTAATAGTCTACAACAATATTCTATCAGATGCTTATAAACTTTTCCTTATCTACAAAAGCATTTTGTTTTCTAATCCGTGAACCTAATTTTTCATTAGTGCTTGCTGAGAAAAACTAGCAGTTGTATGAAAAGGCACAAGCATGCTAGCACTACTTTGAAATAACAATACATCCCTTCCTAAAGCTAAATCACCTTTCTTCTTGACTAGATAACCTTACTGTAAAATTGAACTTTTATACTGTGATCTAGAATACATTATATTGAATTTCTTAAAATCTATTTCTATTTTTGTGTTATTGCATATTCTTACAGGTGTGTGTGTTACTGGATGGAAGGTTTGTTTCTTAAAACTGTGTACTGTCTTTCAGTTTGGCTGGAAGAAATAACTGTCATGTTTGTTATTGTTTACCACCAAAAAGTGATGCAGTAATTGCAGAGAGTACTGAAATAGCTCCTTGTAGGCGCCAAATCATGATTACCGTAAAAAAAAAAAAAAGCAACAGATAGAAATCCACTCAAGCTTTCTTCAGGAAAGAAAATATGGAAGAGAGGCAACATAGATTCTTTTGAACCCTGGATAGCATGCTAATATGGGCACATAAATAAGGATGAGACAAGATTCCAAAGATAAACTTTATTTAAAATAAAATTTAAAGAGAAATCCACGTTAACAACTGTGGGCATTTATTGTCTATTACTGTTTGTGGTGTTGAGAAGAAGCTGGGCTAGTTGGACAAATTTATGCTCCCCAATACTCTATAGAACTCTTGTGTCCTTCCCTCTGTCATTCTTTCCATCTATACTCACAGCCCCAGAAAATGGGGTTCATGCAGGCTTCTATCACAGCAAGTGTCATTTTCCCCCAAACTACCACCCCCTTCTTAATGTTCCCCACTCCACAGCTGCTAGGTATATTCATTTTTTTTTCTCTATCCCAAATCTCAGCTGATAGACAGACTATTTCTGGCAATGTATTTAGATATTAGCCAGCCCCTTCCCTGGCTATTTATTTCACTAGAAGTTCAGTGCTTGCTCACCCATATTATTCCATACACTGAATTTGCGTTTAGAGATGTTGAGGCACCTGTCTATATTGTAGTGTAATTTCTTCAGGCCATTGAAACTGGGCACTTGCACTAAATAGCGTGTCTTATTAGTACTCATCTCACCAAAATAGAAATGACTGCAGCTTTCTGTACTGCAAAGAATGTAAACCTGTGTTCTTGTACGATAAACATATATTCCAAGATTCCTGTCTTTTATACACTTTACATACAAGATTTGTGAACACATTCTAAAAAAATTAAGCTGCTACGTATCAGAATACTTCCCCGAGCAAAAGGCAAATACTTCTTGACTGTAAAACTGTAAAAAAAAAAAATGGTAACAAAAGGATGTTTCTTTTTGTGCCTTTGAATCATTGTTGATTTCTGGCAACTTGTCTGGATGAGTCACCAGAGTTTCCTTGGCAAGATTTTCAGAAGTTGCCTTCTTCCCAGGGCTGAGAGTGAGTGACTTGTCAAAGGTCACCTATCTGGCTTTGTTCCTAAGGCTAAATTAGAACTCAGAGTTCTCCCTGTTTCTAGCGTTGTGCCTTAGTCAACACTCCAAACTGTCTCTCAAAAAAGGAATTAGAAATTGTTGGTTGTATGAGAAGATGCTAATGCTTTTAGAGCAGCGTTTCTCAACGTTTGTGTGACGGCGACCCCCGTCACACAAACGTGCCGCGCATGTGTGGTGCTGCCCCCATGCGCGGTGCGCATGCGCGGCGCCGCACCCTGAGGGGGGAAAATGGCGGATCGCATTGTTTGGCGACCCCCGTAAAATGGTCGATCGACCCCAAATGGGGTCGCGACCCATAGGTTGAGAACAGCTGTTTTAGAGCATTGAGTGTTCCCCAATATAGGAAACTGAAACTGTGAAGAACAGATGAGTAGTGTAGGAAAACATCCTCGCCTAGCCTTCATCTCTCATTTAATGTTACAAAGGATACATTTGGTGGCTTAACAATTGCAGCTTTGAGAAATTACACATTTCAGCTTTGGCATAAATTATTTTGCCATTTGTTAAGTGCCTGATTTGCCCCATAGGGACAGTATATTTGAGTTGTCTTGGATTCCATTTTCAAACAATTCTGCCAAGATTTCTAGAGGCATTTCACTTTAATTCCTGGCTTTTTAATTCAGTCCTTACAATGTTGAATATATTTCTTCACCTACTTTTTCCCATCTTTTCTACTCTCTTTTCCAATGCCTGCTACCGGATTGAGTTTTGTTTATAAAACAATTACAAACCACATGGAAGACAAACGATTTACTATAAAGGTATTCTTGTGCTAATGTTTTTAAAGTTATTCTGGGAGAAACAATCCTGGAGGTTTTATTTAAATAATGATTTATTTTCACACGATGGCGTTTCACTCTCCTAATTTCTGACTTTTATTACATAATTCAATCAAACTGATCAAATTAAAAAGCCATTACAAACAATTAGAAATTATGATTCTTTTTAATATGGCAGAGGCATGGCTCTTTTAGTCAAAACTCAGCTGTGGTTATACCATTATGGCTGCAAGGTCTGGCAAATACTGGAACAAAACTTCCATTTTGATACTGATTCTCCTGATAAACTTACTTTTTGTAATAATTCCATCTGGAAATCGTTTTTGTTTTTTCTATTTAATTTCCGCCTGCCACAATTAAGACTTCTTTAGAATTATAGTAATAAAGACACAAAATCAGTATAATTTAAAAAACATCCTAAAATCATATTCCTGATCATCTGGCCTAGGCATTATTGATCATACTGTAAATCCTTTTTAAGTTCATGGACTAATACTGACATTGCATTTTGGAAGTTTTTAAAGCATCTGAAAGGATATTATGGTCCCATTAAAACACCTTTTGATTTCATTTGGTTTGGAGGCTTTGGCATGTTGAATGATTCCAAATCTGCAGTATTTTACTACAAACAGTAGATATAAGTTATTTGAGTAGAGTTGGAGTACCCCATATAACCGAACAATTGTTTTGTTTTTCTTAAATCTTAAATATTTCTTAATTCCTAAATCTTCTTAAATCTTAATACTGAATAACATTTTTTGTGAACATAAAGAGTTACAAATGAGGTACATAATAAGGTTGGTGGCCATCATAGTTCTGCTGCAAGTGCAAAATAGAGCGAAAGGAAACTTACACCAAGAGTTTTCTTTCCTGTGGTCGCAATAGGGTCTCGTTATTTTGTAGGACGGTTAATATGATTTTGGGAAGAGAAACTGTGTTTAAAAGATGTTAATGCTAGACTGAATTGCATGCATTATTAATATATGAAGATAATTACATATTTTACTGTGCAAGAAAAGATTGCCAAACAGGACCGCATATGCTTTTCTCTCTAACTAACGAAGTGGCTGGTCGGCGACAAATAATATTGGAAAGTGAGCAAAATTTCACCGTTCATGTTTTAACCCGAGCGATTTTCTCTACCTCTCGGAATGCTGGCCGGGCGGCGAGACAAAGGGCCCCCCCGGAGTCCTTCTTGGGGCCCGACCAGGAGGGCCGTATTTGAAGGGAGAAGGAAGCGGGCGCGGGAAGCCCCCCGTCCGCTTCTCTCCCCGCCGGGGCGGAGCGGGGAAATGTCCCCCCGCCCCGGAGACGACGGCCGCCCGGGGCGCGCCGAGGCGAAGCGGCCATGGCTTTCCTCCGGCTGGCCCAAATCGCCGCTTGCTGCTGCTGCTGCTTGGCGACGCTGCAGGCGGGAAGCGGCGCCCTGGAGGTTCCTCCGGGACCCGGGGAGGCCTCGGAGGAGTCGGGAACCGCCGCCGCCCGCTTCTTTCAGCCGGCGCAGCTGCACGCCGGGCTGGCGGTGGCTGCTGCCGTCCCGTCCTTCCGCGGGCCCGGGAACGGCGACCGGCGCGCCAACCGGGAGCTGCCCATCTTGCTGTGGTGGAGCGGCGGCCTCTTCCCGCACTTCCCCGGCCAAACGGCGCGTATCGACTGCCGGCGGGGCTCCTGCTTGGCCACCAAGGACCGCCGCGTGCGAGCTCACCGCAGGACGCGCTCGCTGCTCTTCTACGGCACGGACTTCCGGGCCTACGAGGCGCCGCTGCCGCGGCTGCCCCACCAGACCTGGGCCCTCTTCCACGAGGAGTCGCCCATGAACAACTACTTGCTCTCGCACGGCGCCGGCATCCGCCTCTTCAACCACACCGCCACCTTCCGCCGCGAGTCCGACTTCCCGCTCAGCCTCCAGTGGCTGCCCGACCTGGCCTACCTGCGGCGCCCGCCGCCGCGCGGCCTGCCCGAGAAGGATCGCCTGCGCCAGCAGGGGCTGGCCCCGCTGCTCTACCTGCAGTCGCACTGCGACGTGCCCGCCGACCGCGACCGCTACGTGCGGGAGCTCATGAAGCACATCCAGGTAGGAGGGCTTCGGCCTGGGGCGGCGCTTGGGGGTTGTGAATCGGCCGCTGGCCTTGGACGGGCCTCGTGGCGCTTCAGGAAGGGGAAGCCAGGAGCTCAAGACCCGGCCCTGAACTCGGCGAAGGCGGCGATGATGGGGAAGAGGTTGGTGGTTCGATTAACAAGAGACGAAGACTAACCAGGCCTGGGGTAGGCCACCTTGGCTCTTTTATGATTTGTGGACTTCAACTCCCAGAATTCCTCAACCAGCATGGGGAAACTATGGCCCCTTCATGACTTGTGGACTTCAACTCCCAGAATTCCTCAACCAGCATGGGGAAACTATGGCCCCTTCATGACTCGTGGACTTCAACTCCCAGAATTCCTGAGCCAGCCTAGCTCAGCTTAGAAACCTCTCCCTTTCTCCTCAGCATGGCTGGCTCAGGAATTCTGGGAGTTGAAGTCCACGTGTCATAAAAAAGGCAATGCCTGTATTTTGACGCGGGGTTCACAGTTGCCCTCAAAGATAAGCTGTGCTCAAGGCGGAATTCGCATGCACCCTGGAAATCCGTTTAACGTTTTGTTATTGTTGAATAACAAAGCTAGAACGACGGTGGTGGTGTTGAAGAGAAAATCTTCATCAGGGCCCAGTCCAAGCTGGGAATAAGCAAAATGGAGACTGCTTTAGAAAGAAGGTTGTAGTTCAGTGATGGCGAACCTTTTAGAGACCTAGTGCCCAAACTGCAACCCAAAACCCATTTATGCATCCTCGGGTGCCGGGTAGGTGTGGCCCATTGGGTGGGCGTGGCTACGGTGGTAATGACAGACTGGGTGGGACTAAAAAGTTCAATCAATCAATTCTAACTTTGCAAGATCTTTTTTTTCCCATAAGAAGTTGAAATTGACTGATTGAACTTTTTTTTTTTTTTTTTTGCACACAGCGGAGGAGGTCTAAAGCAAAAAGGTTTTATAAAACCTAGCTGAAGGCCTAGGACTGGGGCGATGGCGCATGTGCCCACAGAATGGACTCTGAGTGCCGCCTCTGGCACCCGTGCCATAGGTTCGCCACCACTGTTGTAGTTCATTGAAAAGGAGAGCCAGACAGAAAGATGGCTCTGGAACAAACTGGCTACATGTAGTAGAGAGTGGTGGGTATTTATACCTTCTTGGGCTTTTGTTTGGAGTTCTTCTGTGGCATGAACTTTGACCTGAGTCTGAGTGTGCCTTCCTGGTATTCTGATGGTGGTAGGTTAATCCTATTATGTCCCAAGGGTCATATCCTGCTTCCCTGGGGCTGATGACTGTTGAATTTTTTGGTGTGAGGGATTGTTGATTCTAGGGATCGTTGTAACCCCAGCTTCCTGACTCCAATCTTTCTGACAAGATTATCACACCTGCATTTCGGCAGACCTGGTTTCTGTTTGGGTGGTGAGAGAGACTTGGGTGGTGGTGGTGGTTCTGCCTTTAAAATCCTTTGGGGAAATATATTCTGCCTTTTTAATATTTCCCAAAATATTTCTTTCTCTGGATTCTTCCCACAGTGGCGTTTATTTTATTTAGTAGACTTACACCCAATATTTTGTTTGCTGTATTTATTTCTTCTTCACACAAAAACATGAGGTAGGTAGCAGAAAGAGCAGTCTCCAAGGGGTTGGAAGCTAGCTCTCTTTGTTCCTAGTCAAGCACTTCAGCCACTACATAAATTGGCTTTTAAAATACCTTTTGCTAAATAACTTGTTTTTTTCTGTGACATTAAAAAAAATAGGTTTGCTGTAAATAGATTGTTCAGTGTTTTTCTTTGCCAGGCTAGTCACATTGGGTTGATCTCAGTGACTGGTATCTACATGGTTATGTCCATGTGTCCAACTTATTAGGATTTCCTGGTGGTTTCCTATCCAAATATTAATTAGGTCCTGTAGATTGTTTAACTATACTACACTGCTTTCCCACTTTTTCACCAATAAACTTTTGTTTAGGGACTCAGCAGCTTACATCTGCTTATCCTCTTTTTAATCATTTATATTGTGTTATATAAGTCATGCCTTACCATTTGCATGCAAGTCACATTGCAATTCTGTGCGGTTCTGCGTAGATTGGAAGATCATTCAATAAAATTCAGTGAGACTTCCTTCGATGTGTGTGAAACCTGCTTCTCCCCTATTATCTGGAAATTACTTCATGTGAAAATTGAGTGTGAAAAATAATGACCATTAGTCCAAATGTTGTATCTTTAAATATGGCAGAAAAGTTAAAAACTCATCTGTTTTCTTCATCTTAAAAGCATAATAGCTTGCAAATGACATCATGAATGAGAAGAGAAAATGAATGTGTGGAGAGATGTTGTGTATGTGTATACACGGGGGGGGGAGATGGGCAAAAAAAATGTAACTGATAATTATCATCACTCTTCTAGGTAGACTCTTATGGTAGATGCCTGAACAACCGAAAACTTCCCAATATGAGATTGATGGACACTTCTACAGCCACTACAGAAGACTCTGAATTCATGATTTTTATTTCTAAATATAAATTTCATCTGGCTATGGAGAATGCCATATGTCCTGATTATATGACAGAGAAACTCTGGAGGCCAATGCATGTAGGGGCTATCCCCGTATATCGAGGTTCACCATCTGTACGAGACTGGATGCCGGATGACCATTCCATTATTCTTATTGATGACTTTGGAAGCCCTAAAAAACTTGCAGAATACATTGATTTCTTGGACAGGAACTCAGATGAATATTTGAAATATCTCAAGTACAAGAGTCCAGGTGGCATTACAAACCAGTTCTTGCTCGAGAACATGAGGAAGCGTGAATGGGGAGTAAATGACATGTCCCTACCTAATTATTTAAATGGATTTGAGTGCTTCATCTGTGACCGAGAAAATGAAAGACTTAATGCAGAGAAGGACCACAAAAAAACTCATGGGAAATCACAAGCTCCAGAAGTTCACATAGCGCAGACTACACACATGGGATGTTCTTCACCAGCACCCGGCTATGGCAATATTGAAGACATTCCTGATGGAGACAGGTAGTTATATTTATTATTAAGGGTATGAAGTTAATTCAGGGTTGTGATTTATTTTTGAGTTACTGAACTATAGAATGCATTCTTACGTAGCTAGTGAGAAAATTGCAGCATATAAGTGATATAATTGGACTGGAAAGACTTGACATGATTATATTATTGAATACATTGTACTCTAAAGCTATTTTAGTACAATCTAGTATTACACTGAATGGCTAGATTTAAATTAAATTTAAAATACAATTATGTAATTAACATTCTCACTATATCCCACTATAACAGTGTTTCTCAACCTTGACAATTTTAAGGCATGTGGACTTCAACTCCCAGAATTCCACAGCCAGCATTGCTGGCTGTGGAATTCTGGGAGTTGAAGTCCACATGCCTTAAAATTGTCAAGGTTGAGAAACACTGCACTATAACAAAATTAAGCTTAAAGAATGGGTAGTTCTGATCATCCTCTCAAGGCAGACATGACAACATAATATTGCAGAATATATAAACTACAGAATGCCAACTTTTCAACCAATATCAGTTTTTGTGCTTTTAATAGAATATGAAGCACTTAACATGCTATAACATTTGTCTCTCACATGGTAGCATCCACCAGTTAAAACAAGAGTTCTCAAGCTATGCAAAGTCATGACCAGTGATGGTGAACCTTTTAGAGACCGAGTGCCCAAAAACTGGCCCCACCCCCACTCCAACCTCTGCCCCGCCCCCACCCCGCCTGCCCACAGGGCCATTCATTGCCTCTAGGACCCGCCACAAATCGTCCAGCAGTGCCATGGCAGCCACATTCTCTGCCCGCGCCCTGCAGCATCAACTGTGTGCGATGGGGCATGAGGGCAGAGTCTTGTCTACGCTGCCTGGCTGCCATGTCCTTGGCTGCACTGCTCCGCGTGGGCCACGCTCAGGGGTGATTCTTCTCCAGGAGGGCTACTGGTGAGGAGGGGGTCACAGGGGGAGGCAAGCCTGGGGCAACGGCACGTGTGCCCACAGAGAGGGCTCCGAGTGCTGCCTCTGGCGCCCGTGCCAGAGGTTCGCCACCACTGACCTAAAGAATAACATGCATCTGTGTGACACACAACCCTTGAATAAAAATAATGATTTCATTGGGGCATTACGCAAGGAAAAAATATAGCACTTTTAATAATTACATTTAAGCGATATATCAAAAGAAAACAAACCTTACAGTATTATCATATGAAATTAATGATAAGCAAAAAGCCCTGATAAAATTTAAAATTGCAAATTTTACTTTTGCATAATTACTGAAATTTTGAAAAGCAGCTTGTCTCATCAATAAAGTCAGGAAAGCAAAGAGGAGGCGTGTTTCCTTGCCTTAAATCTGCTTCTCCTAAAATGTTACAGTTTGCAAAACATTGGCAGGTGATTAGATACATAATACAGTACAGGCAACATAACAATAAATATGTAGGATGACAAAAACTACTATATAATTGTCATATTTAGTCTTACCGATCTTTACAGTCTGCAAAAATGATTGATATATGGTTTAACTAACTTTAGAAATAAATATTCTATGGAGTTCCAGATCAATACCAAAATGTTTGCCCAAAGTCTTGGCAAGTGAGTAATATCCTACTTCATTTTTTATCTTCCCACTTATTTGCAAAATAATGCTTTATTCTGACCATATAGTCACTCTCTTACGACAAAAAAAAGATTTAAAGAATATTTTTGTTCTGTATGTTTCAGCTGGAAAGAAATGTGGCTTCAAGATTACTGGCAGAGTCTTGATCAAGGAGAAGCTCTCACAGCTATGATTCACCATAATGAATCTCATCAAGGGAAGTTTTGGGATTATATGCACAAAATCTTCTTGAAAAGAACTCAGCATTAACTAACCAATTAGGATTCTTTCATGTTATATGAACAATGGGCAGAAAATGTACTTTTACCAACTTGCCTTACATGACAACTGAATGTGTTAATCAGGCATAGATACTAGACACACCATTCTGGAAAAAGACAATAACGTTTTTGCTGAAATATTTTAATCGATTAGAATTGAATCAATTGTTTTTATAAAATATTTTTGTTAAAAAAGTGACTACCGCTGCAATTCATTACATACTATTTTTAATTCTGTGAATAAAAATTCTTTGTACCTACTGAGAATTGAAAGTACAATGGTGCTCTCATGGTTAAGGTGGTGTTCTGGGACCACGGAGAATTAGGATCAAGTCAACCCTTAATGGTGGAATTTTAGGAAAACTAATTTTTGCTAAGAGTTGGTATGTAATATCCAAAGCTTAACTTTCGCTGCCATTATCTATATCCAAACATAAAGATAACTATGTTTGAATATTGTAGCAAGTTCCAAAAAGAACATGAAATTCAACCATTGTGCTTTCATGCTAACATCTTACCAATATGAGCATAAGGCACATTCCCTGGCTCTCTGCTCCTCCAGGATGAATGGCTATCCATCCATATCTTTTTAATGTACAGGCTTGTTTTTCCTTACCAAAAGCAATTATTTTAAGTCTTGAGTATCCTTCACTTGTAATAAATAAATCTAATAGGATTCAAGAAGAAGAATTAGAAGAGGAAGACTCTCTGGTGCTACTTAAAAAACACCGTATACAACTTATCAGACATAAAACGAATGTGTATGTTGAGCCAAGATGATCCATACTGCTCATTAAACGCTTGAGCAGACGCTATGTCATACCTGGCACTAGGAGGCCAAAGGACGTACTGAAAAAGGAAATAGTGACAGGACTGCAAATAATTGTTTCAGGCTGCATTAGACATACTGAGCAGTTCTGGATTCTGAAATTGTTGGAACTGTGTGGAGCCTTCCAAAAATACAGAAACCATCAATCCCGGTCCTATATCTTAGCAACCGTAACCTTATGTCAGCCAACAACCAGTTAGTCTCCCAAGAGATTTTTGGTAGCCAGAAAGAAGAGTGAGACTAATCTGATGAATGGCATGAAACCACAATTTGTTACTGTAAAGTTTTCATCGGAATATTCAGTGCGGCTGGATGACTACAGAGATAGACATTGAAGCTAAGGGGCCCAAAGATATCTTCATTTAAAGAAATTATTCATGATCGGCAAAAGCATGCATTAATAAAAAGAAAGAGGTCATGCATTAGAATATATCTACAATGAGAAATTGACTTTATTCACGTGCATTAGATTTACAAGTTCAGAAGAATATTCCTGTAATCCTAAAATCCTCATGACAAAGAGCCATTTAACAGGCATGGCTACATACGATAAAAGGAGAAAATTTTGAAAACCTGATTTCCGGATCTGTGACTTTTTTCACTCTGATTGCAACTGCCACACGGTTCCTCTGAAACAAAAGTTAATGCTCGTAGGCAACTATACTGTGTACATTACAGAAAGGGAAATACATTAGCTAAGAAATCACATTAAATTTGTTTCCAGGCCATCCCCTTCAGTCTCTACAACAGGATGAAACAGAATAAATCCATCAATAAAGAACCTGAATAAATGTAACCTAAATTGGCATTTCTTAAAACACTATTATTGTATTAATATGTAAATTCAGTAAAAATATTTAGACCAGGACCTCATTGAAGAATGCAAATATATATAGATAAGATAACCTTTATTGTCATTTTTTTTTACTGTGGGCACAACGGCACACATCAAAAATGAAATTTAGTTGCCCGCGCTCTAAGTGAAACATACATGATGCACACCTAAACATACTATGAACAACATATGTATAGACCCACACCTCTACATACACGTAGCAAATAAATATTAAATGCTGTCCATCTTGAATACATAACGGAAGGAGGAAGCTTGAGAGTTCACAAGGTTAATGCTGTATGGAATGAAACTATGGCTGAATCTGGATGTTCTACTCCGGATACCACGAAGCCTCCTCCAGAAGGTAACAAGGAAAACAGGTCGTGAAGAGGATGTGTAGTGTCCCAGATATAGAAATATTTATTGAAGAATGCAAGAATAAAGCTATATATCCAGTGTCATAGCTAAAGTGAATGATTTCCATCTTTATGGGTTATGTTTTTTATACCTCAGTTGTCTCAGTAGTTTTCAAGCAGCTATGTATAATGTTCTGCCTCTTCAAATAAGTTTTAGCAGCTCTTTAAATGAAATCCCTAAGATATGAATAACTGGTTTATGAAAGAGACAAGATTATGTTGAATGGCTGTATCAATAAATTTCTTCAATGATTAGAACTCTTTCAGGTGTGAAATTACAAAGAGACACATTCTCATTTAACTGGAAGATACGTTTGCTGACCAATGGATTGCTAAGAAGAAGGCTTTAATCATATATACCCAATACAGCATGGCTGAATCCTACAGACCTTAATGCAGAACTAAATTACACTGACCTCATTGGTACAGAGTTCAAGAATCTCTAACCATATCTTTCACTGAACAAACCAAAGATGGTCTTTCCTTCCATTAAGGCTATAATCCTAAAATAATGTAAACATGCGAATAGAAAAAACTCATTTTATATAAACAGAAAGATTTCAAGAACCTGGGAGGCGGAAAAAATAGCGACACCTAATTATTTTTTCTACTATTGTATTTTTAACACTATTATACCATACAACATTAGATTTATGAGTAAGCCTAATCGTGTCACATAGGTTTCATAATATTTCACAAGAATAAACCAAACTTTGTCGTTTAATATTAAGTATGTGCGCCAGACACTCAGGTAATTTATTTTAACAATGTATACTTAGTTCTGTTTGTCCCTTTATATGGTTTGATAATATAGTTTAACAATGTTGGACAGAAGTAAAATAGTGTTTTCTGGTGTTTTTTTTTATTGTAAGAAAAGTTATTTTAGAAATGAGAAGGCTGCATGTAATTAAAATCTTATTAACCTCTCCTCTGTTTAAAAGTTAAAAGCAGCTAAGCCTTCCAAAAATATAGAAACACAAACACAGAAAACTTAGGGCAGAAAAATACTCAATGGACCACAGAAAGATCTTTTGAGAGGGGTGGTTTGTTTTTTTTTTTTGGCTTGTCTTCTTTTAAATTATTTTAAATTATTTTTTATTTTATTATTTTATTTTCTCATTTTTGTTGGGCGATAGACATGTTTGGGATAAATTACTATCGACTGGCCCACTGCCTCCACTGGAAGTTGGTTCCAAGCTCCCAGTACTCTTTCTGTGAAATAATACTTTCTAACATTACTTTTGAACTTCCCGCCTATCAGTTTAAGGGTATGCCCCAGTATTCTTGATTTTTGTTTAATATTGAAAATACTGCCTTCTAGAACCTTATACAGTAGTGGCCAAAATTGTGGAAACCTTTTGGGAAAAGTGTATTTTTGAGGTTTGATGGCTAATTTGAGCTGGCCACCAACAAGGAGTGTATATCGGGGGTGCTGACTCTTTGAGAGCTGTATGCAGTGAAATTTCATTTTGATGTATGCCGATTGGTGTACTGTCAAAGTGACAATAAAGTAGTTATTATTATTATTATCACCACTTTTTTGGAGTAGTACCATAAAATTATATATCAATGGAAAGATAATTGAATCAAGAATGTAATGCAACAAAGTTTGTTCAATTATCTGTACTGTATTCTATGGAAAGTTATAGCCAAATAACCAGAAAAAGGAAGCACAACTTGCTTAAGTTGATATCAGGGAGCTTTCCTTCATCTGATGGTAGCCAATGAACATGAGTGTTTAGAGAGCCAATCGGGTGTCATCTTGTTTTGGCAATAAGCCAATCAGATCACAGTAGGATCCAGTGATTGATTGTCATGTATTGAAGCTGAGAGGAGGGCATTTGTCAGTGTGTTATGTGATCCCTATCAAGTTGGTTGGGGTTTTTGTGTTCTTTCAATGAGTGAGCTTGTCAAACGTAATACATTTAAAGTCATGGTGCAAAGAGTTGACTGGTCGCCCAGAAAGCGATGTAGAATAGTATTATGAAGTGAACAAGGCTACTGTTATAAAGAAATTAGAAGAAAAATGGGTAGAAACTTAACCAAAGGTGGCATTTCTACTACACACTTTTCCCAAAAGGTTTCCACGATTTTGGCCACTACTGTATATTTAAAGGTTTCAATCATGTGCCCCCCTTTCCCTTCTCCAGGCTGCACGTATTCAATTCCTTTATTATATACTGGGCGCAACGTCACTCCTCCTCGGCCTACTCCAGCCCTCGCCCCACTAGCCTTCAAAGGACTCCGCCTGCAAAGGGGTCCCCACCCGCCTCCTCACGTCCAGCTCACGCGCCACTTCGGGGGACTCGCGCGAGGCGGCTGCTCCTTCCAGTCTTCCCCCCTCCCGAGCCAGTTTGGCTTCGAGCCCCATGTTCAGGATCCAGGTCGTTGCGCGCCCGGCCGCTCCGTCCGTGTGAGCAGCTCCGACACGCGCCGTCCGCCGCTTTTTGGCCGGAGGGAGCCCTCGCAGACCCGAGAAGAGTTTGGCGCACACCGGCGCAGCTCCTCGGTGGCCCTTGAGCAGGGCTAGGCCATCTCGGCCTTTTATGACTGGTGGACTTCAACTCCCAGAATTCCTGAGCCAGCCACGCTGAGGGGAAAGGAAGAGGTTTCCAAGCGGAGCCATGCCTGCTCAGGAATTCTGGGAGTTGAAGTCCACGCGTCATAAAAGAGCCGAGGGGGCCTACCCCTGAAGCCTTGGGCATCGGAAGAGCGGCTCTATGGTACGAGGTGCGCCATGGCCGGCTCGCCTGGTCGTTTAACGTTCTGGAGGAACCGCTACGCCGACTTCGTGACGATCCCGGGCAGGCGTCGCCCGATGAAAACAAAACTGCCTATGGTGCTCGCCGACCGCGTCTCGAACCGGCACCTGAAGCTCGGAGGTAGGCGAGGGCGAGCGGCGCCCAACGGTCCCCGCGCACAAACCCGCCTGTCCATTTTTATCTCTCTCCTGTCTCGCCCGGGCGCTTGGTTTGTGGGGGGTCAGTCGAGCTAAGCGAAGGTCGTTTTCGGGGTCCAGCGGCTGCATTGCTATAATGCCTGTGGAAAAGGGGGGAAACGGCCAGGAAGGAGGCGGCGGCGGCAAGTCCCTTGGCTTTCGTGCCTCTCGACTTGACCTGAGTTTCTGTGGGCTTGGTGAAGGGCGTATGATTGACAAGTATATATATTTGAACAGAATTATCCGTATATGCCGTTATGTCTCCAACTTCGACAACCTTTAAGGTGCGTGGACTTCCATAATTCCTTGGTATAGGGCAATGTTTCTCAACCTTGACAATTTTAAGGCATGTGGACTTCAACTCCCAGAATTCCACAGCCAGCATTGCTGGCTGTGGAATTCTGGGAGTTGAAGTCCACATGCCTTAAAATTGTCAAGGTTGAGAAACACTGGTGTAGGCAACCTTGGCTCTTTTATGACTGGTGGACTTCAACTCCCAGAATTCCTGAGCCGGCATGGCTCAGCTTGGAAACCTCTCCCTTTCCCCTCAGCATGGCTGGCTGAGGAATTCTGGGAGTTGAAGTCCACGAGTCATGAAAGAGCCAAGGTGGCCTACCCCTGGATATAGGCCAGTGGTGGCGAACCTATGGCACACATGCCAGAGAAGGCACTCAGAGTCCTCTCTGTGGGCATGCACGCCATGCCCCGGAGATGACAACCATCCCTCTTCAAACAGCCGCCTGCTAACTCGCCAAGGTCCCACGTGGCCAGATGCATCCCAGCACAGTTGGTTTCCCTCCCCCCCCCCTCCCATCCCTCCTGGCCTCTTGCATGCTCTCCTTTTCCCGGGCACGACCCACTGCATCGCCTCCTCAGCTGTCCGTCGGCCATCGAGCTCAGGGGCGACTTCTCTGAACTGCTGGCAGCGGGCTGTGGAGCCCCAGAGTGTGCCGGTGGAGAGGTCAGTAGGCTGTGGTTGCTGACGGACACCGTCGGCCCCCATGCACTTGCTAGCCTCTGTGCGGGGGCCAATGGTGTCAGGCAGCAGCTGCCCTGCCCCCTGCCTCGCCTTGCCTATGGCAATGGTGCCCCTGCCCACTGCCTCGCCTTGCTTCACCTTGCAGGACGAGCCACCTGCCCCCTGGATCTCCCTCAACCCTGCCCGGCCCCCATAGGTCTCCCTCCCCACGAGCAACATCAAGGTGACCACGCCCACCTTGGCCACACCTACCCATTCTGCCATGACCACCACAGCTACGCCCACCCAGTGGGCCACGCCTACCTGGCACCCGGCAATAAGTAAGTGGGTTTTGGGTTTCAATTTGGGCACTCAGTCTCTAAAAGGTTCGCCATCACTGATATAGGCTAGAGAGGGAAGCTTAGGAAGTGGATACATCTGGCTTTTGTGTATCCCATGTACATATGTACTGACATCCTACATGTATGTATGTACCGGTTCACACAGCTTCTACCCATTCTGCTAAAATCTGTCTGATAGATTAACATCTGTCTTGTGCCAGGCATTACATCCAGGGATCTGGCTCACCTTGATCAGATGTCTTCTTATTGACCGGTGACTGTTTCCTTCATCCTCCTTCCCATTATAAGTACTATTTAAGAATTTTCAATTCCAAGGGAAGTTAACAGCCTCTTGGAATAATATACCAGCAAACAGTGCTGCGATCGCCACCTGCTATATGTTCTCCCTTGTTTTGTGTTATTTCTTTTGCAGTAGATTTGTAGAAGCTGTAAAAAAACTGGATAATGGGAGTTTCTTTCTTTTCCAGAGGCAAGCTGTGTTACAGAGATGGCATTGATGATGGCTTGTTGGAAGGAGAATGAATTCAGTGACAGTGCTTGTGCTAAGGAGATTAATACATTCTTTCAATGTGCAGCAAAAGCAGAAGTAATTGCATTTTTTTTCCAATCTTCTTTAAAGAAACTGTTTCCCATTGTGTAATGCCTTAGAATCGCCAATTGTTTTAATTGCATAGTATTTTATTTAAAATTTATTTAATATGCTTTCATCTAATTAAAACGAGCAGCAATGATAATTTAGCAAATATAAGCAGAGACAATTGATGTTTCAAGGCGCATGAAATCCTAAATGAACTGCTCTTGAAATAATTTAAAATACTTGTCAGCTGGGGGAAGTCGCCAGTGGTGATGCTGCTGAATCCCATTATATTGCCATTCACATTATTAAAATGAGAAGACTAGGTAACTTCACTACCAATATTGTCATTTCTTCATTGAGAGAAGAGTCTGCTTTAACTCTTTGTTATCCTCTATGAACCACTTAAAAAAAAACTGTGTAAACTATGTAGAACTCAGAACAACCCTGGGAGGTATATAGTATTTTAGAAATATTTCTGTGTTGGTTCAGCTTGGAAATGACTTAATTGGGAATGCTTATTTTGATCTGTGAACAGGGCCATGATGAGACCACATTGCTTCAGATGATGTTGGAACATCCCAATTTAAGCATGAAACTTTTAAAAAAAACTTTTAAATTGCATTATTTTTTGAATCTCTATTGTTATCTGCCTTCTGCATCAAAACTTTAAAATTTATGCTCCGTGATATGAGAGAAGAATAGCACAGAGGCAAAATGCTCAATACTCAAAGAGCTAACTTTATTGCTAACAAAGCAGAATAAAAATGGGGGAAGCATATGCCTAATTGCTTAACTATTGTTACAAAACAGTCACATTCCCATACTAAGAGTACCATGAAAGTATTCTATGGTTCATTAAATCATAAAATTGGAAGTAGTCACGAGGTTTCATAAAAAAGGAAACATTTAAAGAAAAATAATTGTTTAAATGGTCCATACATTACATATTTGCTTCTCATTGTTTTCCCTGTGGTTATAGAAAGTATGAGCTAGCTGCATCAAGTCAAAATAGCTTATATTGAACTCATCTTAAAAATCATATTGCCAGTTCTGTTTTTTTAGTTACATTTATTTGTAGAAAATAATATATTCTTAAAAAACAACTAGCAGGATAAGACCAAACTAGTCACAAAGTATGACCAAAATAATATATTTTTCTCATATTCCTTGGAATAGATTTTAAAAATCCAACTATTCTGCATTTGTCTTAAAGTTAATTGTTATAGTTAGTTTGAGGAATAAATGAGGAATAACAGACATTTGACAATACCAGTTCCGTTTGCCAAAATTGACTCTAGTCATTCAGAAATTCCGGTCCATCGCGTTGGAAAAATCAATGAGAATTTGCATTGCAGTTCAATAACTGCATAAAATTATTTGTGCTCTTTTCAGGCAAAGAATAAGGAGACAAGTCCAGAAGAATCTTCGGGAACTCTTGATTCACACCAAGTCAACAAATTACTTGGACGATACCCAAATATTCGACATTATTATTAACAAAACTTGTCTCTGCAAATATCTGGTTATTAAAACCTGAAATTAGATCGTCTCTGGAAAACTCCCCCCACCCTTGCTTGTTAAAACTGAGGAGAAATAATCTTCAGAATTATTTCTGAATAATTATTTTAGACTTTGTCTGAAAGGACCTGCTGCCAGTAAGGCCAAAGCTTACATTTTCTCTGATGTGAAGATTCTTCAGACAGAAAAGTTCTTTATGATTGTTCAGTTATTGTCATGTTGAGTCTTGGGTGAAATAAAATCTTATAATGAAACATGCTACATACATACTAAAATTAAATTAAATTATAAAGTAAATAAGTAGTTTTTCGTGTACATTCAAGCTCTTGCTAATGGAGCAAGTTTTCTCTTTTAAACCCTGGCTAAAACACTTTTTCTGGCCTACTAGGTGATGATTAGTAGGTCTGCTTATCTTATCCATAATATTTCCAGCCTGATTTTTATGGTAGCAGGATCAAGCATTTAACTTCCTTTGAAACCCATTATGGATATTCTTAAGACACAATCTTTTTTTTTTAATATATTTTATTGGTTTTATAGTTTTAACAAAAAGTGTTTAAGACACACCGTGATGTTTGGGTAAACAAAGATTCCAACATAAAATCACACAATAACAGCTCAACTTAATAGATTCGCTGCCATCTCTCTATTTCCCTCAAGTAACATAGTAAATTTAATATATTTGATTTCTATCCTAAATTTCTATTACTACTAAACCTGTTTATTAAAACTTTAAATCAGTTTCAATTACCATAATCAGATAGTGTTTTACATCAACATATTATCACTTCAAATACCTCTTGCAAATATATTCAAGTTCTTAATCCCTCTCATCCCTTTTTTATCACCAATCTTATTTATTTTTTCTTCCAATAATAACTAGTTTAATTAAAAAAACAATATTATCATATCTTATCAAATCATATTATTATAAACAAACATCTCTTAAGTAATTAAACATTACACATGTATATAGTTTTCTTACTTCTAAATTTAAATCAATATCCTTAACCTTTCAGCCAATAAGTCCATTTTTGTTACTTATAGTAGTCTTAAGACTCAGTCTTAACGCAGTGTACAAAATATATTTTTCATAACTGGCAAGGATTTTTTTTAATTAGGCTAATTTATTAATTTGAATTAATAATCTAAATTAAAAACTTCCCCTGCCAGTCATGAAAAAATATGATTCACGCTAAATCATACTAAACCCATTAATTTATTTGAATTATCTATGCTTGAATTAACAGCTATCTTGAGGGAGACTTTCTCTTAGGCAACCAGGATATCTCAAGTCTCTTGTCCATATTGAGGTCTCTTACAAAAGCTGGATGAAGCCCAAAACATTTGTTTTGCAATGAAGTCCATAACAGCAAGACTACCACAGAAGAGTCCACGCCTAAGTGCTCCCCAGGTGGTCTGACTTCCAGAGTGACTGTGTGACTAGGGCAGGGGTAGGCCACCTTGGCTCTTTTATGACTCGTGGACTTCAACTCCCAGAATTCCTGAGCCAGCCATGCTGAGGGGAAAGGGAGAGGTTTCCGAGCTGAGCCATGCTAGCTCAGGAATTCTGGGAGTTGAAGTCCACGAGTCATAAAAGAGCCAAGGTGGCTTACCCCTGGACTAGGGGATTGGATAAAGGTAAGGAACTTTTGTCGGAGAATGATGAATGCTCTCAATTTTCCTGTTAGCTAAGAAGAATGTAACTGAGCATTTCAATTTGACCTGAACATATTAACAGGGTAAGGCCATCCTAGAGTCACATAAAAGTGTGGTGGGCAGCTCTATAAATCAAATATAGAATAACAAAGTTGGAAGGGACCTTTGAGGTCTTCTAGTCCAACCCCCTGCTCAGACAGGAACCCCTGGACTATTCCTGACAAATGGCTGTCCAGTTCTCGTCTTAAAAACTTCCACTGGTGGAGCACCCACAACTTCTGGAAGCAAGCCATTCCGCTGATTAATTGTTCTCACTGTCATGAGATTTCTTCTTAGTTCTACATTGGATCTTAATAAGTTTCCACCTGTTACTTTTTGTCCTTCCCTTAGGTCAGGGGTGTCAAACTCAATTTCAGTGAGGGCCGCATCAGCATTGTGATTGCCTTTGGGGGGCCGGGTGGGTGTGGCCTACTGGATGGGCAAGGCCAGCTCTACATCGTTCGCATCAAGGGGGTCTGTGGGCGCCTGGGCAGGAATGGGACAGATCTGAGGGTCTCTGGCAGAAGGGGGGAGGACCGGGACAAGCGCCAAGGCATGGTCCATTTCTTCATTCCTCACAAAGGGTGACACCTCCCCAGCATGCACCCAGGGGTGGGGCTGACGCAGCAGGGGCTAGTTCCTCGCTATTTCTAGACTGTCTTGTGGAGCTAAGACTGAATGCGTTTCAGCATAGATGGCCACCACAAAATTGTACATTGACTCCCGGCCGGCCTGGGCCAGGGCCAAGGCAGCAGGGGCCGTTCACTCACTGTTTCCAGGATGGCTTCGCGGGCTACATGAAACCACTTCGCGGGCCACATGTGGCCCCCGGGCCTTGTGTTTGACATGTCTATCTTAGGTGCTTTGGAGAATAGGTTGACCCCCATTATTCTCTGAGATAGCTTTTCAGATATTGGAAGCCTGCTATCAGATTACCCCTAGTCCTTCTCTTCGTTAAACTAGACATACCCAGTTCTTCGATCGTTCATCATATGTTTTAGCCTTCAGTCCCCTAATCATCTCTGTTGCTCTTCTCTGCGCTATTTCTAGAATCTCAACATCTTTTTTGTATCGTGGTGTCTTGGATACTCTGCCACTAATCCAGCTTGGAAGGCAGAGATCTATGAGAATTGGGCATATGCAATGCCCAAGGAAAAACCTCTCTTAGGAAGAACAGGTGAGCTAAAAGGCTGAATAGGTACAAAAAAAAAAAAAAAGAAGTGCAGAAGAAGCTGGAAAAGAATTTTGCTTTCTTTAGTCCTTCACACAAAGCAGGAGATCTCAGTTCTACTCTATCGTTTTGTTTTTTGCTGGAGGAGGAAAAGCTAAAGCCGCACAGACTAAGACAAGTATGCCTTTAATGGGGCCGCTGTGAGTTTTGTTTCTTGCATGAAAATGACAGGAGCCTGTGAGCCCCTATGAAAGCGAAGGGAGGGGAATAGCAGCACAAGGAGGCCAATGATAAATTCAGTCAGAGACAGCAGTGCAAAGGGCCAGCATGAAGAATCAGCGCTCAGCCAGCAGAAGGATGGTGCTCCCCCAAGTGTTCCTCTCACTGCTGTGGCTTGCATCTGGGCAGGTAGGAGATGGAGCTGTCATCTGCCAGCAATCATTTAGCTGTGTAGTGTTATATTGATCAGCTTGGTGGAATATTATTTAGCCTAGCTGAGCATCCCGAGGTTACGGAAAAGCTTGCTGCTAGATCTGTGGCATCGGAAGAGCTACGGATTCATTTTACATCACGAGCACAATGCAAACATTAGGGATAAATTTACACAGTCGGGTTTGCGAAGTACGTTCTCCGCGGTTCCACATACATGGCAGATTCTTTGTCTCCAGTCGTGATTTGGTTAGCCAAGCCCGTAGTCTGAACACTTAGAATAAATGTATTTGAAAAGATACCTAACTTTCCTCCTTGCATTTTCTCCTATGCATGCAGGAAGAGAGAAAAGTGCAAAAAAGGGTGTTCCTTCCCAGCAATGCTGAATTACTGCATCTAGAGCAGGCTCTACTATGGAATAACTTCCTCAATAGCAACTCCGCCTCATTTGATGCAGCCTCTCCTCTGCTCTCTGAATGCTGAATGCAGATACGCTGCCAGTCTCTTCTATGCTTTGCAACGGGCTCTTTGTGCAAGTTGCTGTACCGATGTGCTTTAGTTGACTTCTACCGGCAATCTTGATTCAGATGATTAAATAACAATGCATCCGCATGAGATATGTCGGAGAAATAGAATTACAAAGGCATTTCTAAGTTTAAAATCATTCTTCCCTTTCCCCCATCCTAAGGCTGCAGGTGTCATTGAATATTTCTGTCCTTTTGTCCATCTTCCCATTAAGTCATTGATGCAGTCAATGAGCAGAGATCCCTGCAGGTCAAGCAAAGGGCAGCTGTCGCCCGGCGGGCATTGAAAATAACCTGCCACAATAATCGCAATAAACTGAGGACGATTTACTGAAATAAAACTCCAGTGAAAAAGTGTGAGAGTGCTTAAAGTTCCAAATTTAAGAGATTGCAAGACTTGAGTTCAGCTGAAAGCATTGCTCCCACCCACCTGCCTTGGAATTAGTAAAGATAAAATATTACAGTAATTTCCTGAGTCAAAAATAATAAAAGGTTTTGTGACGTTTCAAAGACCAGAGTCTTCCAAAGACTTAAATCTTTTTACCTTCTTGGTAGCAAGAACCAGCATTTGATAACTTTACGTAACTTTTTTTTAATTTGGTAACTTTATATAACTTTTAATTTTTAATAACTTTTAAGTGCTATCATTTCTTTAATGGGATTTCAGAACATGGAAACTTCACTATCAAATCTAAATGCAAAGCACAATCTCTATGACTGCAGAGGCTCACTTAGAGTTAATTGCAAAGATGTTGCAATGTATTCCAAAAGAAAATGAGCAAAATTCTATGTCCCCACTTCCCCCCAAAAGCCTTCTCTTTGCTTGTTTGGTCTAACTAACTAACATAACCAGTAGAGTGTAAACATTGGTCAAAGTGTTGGGCTTGGACAAGAAAATGCAAATTTAAGCCCCCAACTGACTATAGTTCAACAGGTGGCTTTGGGTCATTCATCTTCTCTTAACTGACCCTATTTCACAGGTTCTTGTGAAGATAAAATTAAACATACTGTCAGGTACGTAGACTTCAGCCTGTTGACAGGAAGAGGCGGGAAAAGGAATAAAAATGCACCAATTAAGCCATCTTTGCATATTGTTTCCCCACTTGTCTTGGGAGCTATCTTTGGACAAAGATCCTATTTAGCCATTAGTGCACACTCCTTTATCCTGCAATGTACCATTCTTGAGAATCTGATCACTAACCCAAACCCTAACTAAAATAATTCTGTATTTTTTGTTGAAGGAGAACTAGCAAACGTACTGTATTCGTTTTCTGATCTATTTTTGTTATTTTGTCCAGATATATTAATACTGCAACTGTGGACAACAAATGTCAGCATTAAGCATTCATCGTGAGAATAGTGTGATTTATTAATCATCTTTCTTCTTCTATAAAGAGAAATGACTTTCTACATTTGACCACTTTTTAGGAGATCTCTACCTACTGTACCTCCATGTTGTACAGATTTTTTTTAATGGTCCAATAGCCAGAGTTTACTTTTATTTACTGATAGTTAGTGAAAGCACACGAATGTGGCAAGCAACCATGCATTATTACGTCTATGCTAATAGTTACAATAAAGCAATCACCCGATATTTTCCTGTATTGGATCATCATCAATAGTACCCACCTGTGGGTAGTGAGTGTAGTGCTGGCAAAAGGTGCAGATTTTAATATCTTAACATACCTCCAAAGCCTTGGATAGACTTCATGAGATTCTAGGAAAGAAGATGGGAAATGTCAGATTGTCTTTGTTATTCCAGAAGAGAAGACAAGTAGTGGGTCTAAATTAAAAGGAAGGAGATTTGAGCTAGACATCGGGAAGAATGTATTATAATAATGGTGAGATTTGTTTGACAATGGCTTTTGCCAAATGGCCATCAATTGGGAGTGCTGTAGTAGATATCATTGGGGTTATGATATGGCATTATGGCATTGAGAAAGGTTGGTCTCGTCAGGCACAAGTTCAAAGTTCAAAGCACTTCCAAGTTTATTTCATGCTACCTATGGAAGGTAGCAGAAGAATCTGATCTACTAACAGTCAAGGCAAATTGATACTAGGATAAGAGTCAATGGAATTCAAGAGGGTCTGGACTCTTGTGGGAACAAGCAACTCCAAACTGATGACGCATTTGACCTCACCCTCAGGTTCAGCCTGGTCATTTCTAATATGTCTAAGTTGATTTCTGTTGTTATTTCTGCCATTTTATGCCTTTGAGTCTTTCTTGATTCTGAGTAACTTCTTCAACTATCCCTGCAGTTTTCTTGGCAGTAATTTGTGCTTGCCTTCTTCCTAGAGAGATGGCCCAGGTCACCCAGCTGGTCTTGTGCTTGAAGTGGGACTTTGGCATTCATTCTCAAAGACTCACAAGATTTCTAGCAGCAACAAAAACGAATAATTTGGTGTTTCTTTGAGATTTTGACCCATGTAAAAGCAGTTAGTTTGCAGATGCATCTTGCCCACAGATACCATCTTCCTGATCCACGTTTCACATGTTGCTGGTTCTCAAAGATACTTGTGATGACAGCTTAGTGATCTGTTAAAGGAAAAGGCTAAGAATGAGTCCTTACAATCTTGTCTGCCTCCATATCTTTACAGACACTTAATCTGCAAAATTCAGTATTCTTTTAACTACATCTTCCTGCTGCTTAATTCTTTTGATGAGAAAGAGCCTACAAGATTCACACTTTTTATTTAAAAATATGTTCTGAAGATTTCCAAACATTGACTATAGGTTCTTAAGAAAGCAAGATCAGAGGGGCCTTCCAGCCAAGTCATAAATCCCTTTCCATCTCTTCAGCTGCCTCCAGACGGACCTTTTAACATGCAGCATGCATGCTTGTTTAGAGCAATTTCACGGAGTGTCCAGATGACACCAACATCCTTACTTTTATCTTTCTTTTGTCCTTTCTTTGCTTGAATGTGAGTAATCCATTTTGGATTGGTCCTTCAGAGGGGAGATCAGCATACAAGATGATATCTTGTACAAGGGTCCAAGTGTCATAGTGCCAACGTCTCTGAGAGCAGAGATGTTATTGCACATACACTCAAGCCACATTGCGGGTGAGGCATGCTATAGACAAGCTCATGATACTCTTTACTGGCCTAACATGCAAGGTGAACTCAAAGACTTTGTTAGCAATTGTCCCACTTGCAATGTATATGCACATTTGCCACAAAAGGAAACCATAGTGTCACATGAGATACCTTCACGTCCTTGGCAGATCGTCAGTACAGATTTGTTCAACTATGCAGGAAAAGAGTAGCTGATATTAGTTGATCATTATTCAGACTTTGGGGAAATTGAACTTCTTCCTGACTTGTCTGTTGAAACCACCAAGATATGACAAATCAGCCAGAGATTTGCCAGAATTTAATATTGGGGAATGAATCCGTATGAAACCGCTGCCTGGAGATTGAACAGGTGGATGGAAAATGGGTATCTGTTTGCAATAGATGGCACCACGCTCCTATCTAGTGGATGTTGATGGAACCCTTTATCATCACAATTGTGTGGATCTGTGTGTGGCTGAGCAGCCTGACTCACAGCCTGACTCTCCATATCCAATGGACAGGCCAGACTCACCTGGTATTACCCAGCCACACTTACGCACTGGCAATAGGGAATGCACAGTATTGATGCCATAGACCCGGGGTAGGCAACTTTGGCTCTTTTATGACTTGTGGACTTCAACTCCCAGAATTCCTGAGCCAGCATGGCTGAGCTTGGAAACCTCTTCTGTCCCCTCAGCATAGCTGGCTCAGGAATTCTGGGAGTTGAAGTCCACAAGTCATAAAAGAGCCAAGGTGGCCTACCCCTGCCATGGACCAATGCTAATGACGGTCCTGAACGAGCCGGCATACCTGACAGCAGACCAGTGCAGAATGTCCCGGTAAGTAGTGCGAAGAGCCCAGCAATCTCAGCGAGGTCGAAGAAACTCTTAGTACAAAGAGGGCCAATCTTCACCCGTAGTAGCAGATGTTCGCAACCGCCCAACAGACTTAACCTATAGGAAGTTCTCATCCAAAATTTCACAATGTCATTTGGTTAACTTGAAAAGGAGAAGATGTTACAAGTGTTATGTTTATCTTATATGCAGCTCTATCATTCATCTCTATTGTATTTGTTTCCTGTGTCACATTGCTACTCTATGATTGGTCTTTATTATTCCTGTGATGCATTTCCTGTTCCTGTGGCTCTCTCTCTCTCTCTCTCTCTCTCTCTCTCTCTCTCTCTCTCTCTCTCAGGCATGTGTGCGCGCACACACACACACACACACACACACACACACACACACACACACACACACACACACACACACACGGCTTTTGCACAGTAATGGCTTGTATTGTATTTACTTATTCCACATGAAACAATGGGTAGCATATATATTTAATAAACGAATGTGTTCCAGAATGATTAGAGAGTTGGATCTTTTAGAATCTTTTAATTCTCTTCATTTTGGAGGTTACAAATGGAGGCACAGGCATGTGTGTGGGCCAATTTCACTCTGACCCTTCCCTGTGGAAGCCCCTGCAATCAAATAACAACATTTTAATTGGTGGTTTTGAGAAATCATGTTGTACAGACTCATCTCTCTCTCTCTCCCTCCCTCCCTTCCTCTCTCTCTCTCTTTCTCTCTCTCTCAGATGTCCTGGAGGCTTTTATACAAGCTGTAGGTCAGGGGTAGGCCACCTTGGCTCTTTTATGACTCGTGGACTTCAACTCCCAGAATTCCTGAGCCAGCTATGCTCAGCTCGGAAACCTCTCCCTTTCCCCTCAGCGTGGCTGGCTCAGGAATTCTGGGAGTTGAAGTCCACGAGTCATAAAAGAGCCAAGGTTGCCTACCTCTGGCCTAGGCCTAGGCCGCTTTATGACTTATGGACTTCAACTCCCAGAATTCCTGAGCCAGCCATGCTGAGGGGAAAGGGAGAGGTTTCCATGCTTAGCCATGCTGGCTCAGGAATTCTGGGCGTTGAAGTCCACGAGTCATAAAAGAGCCAAGGTTGCCTACCCCTGCTCTAGGTGTTCAAAGACATATTTTGGACAGCAACTCACTCTTGTAAATTGCCTCAAAAACAGCTCAAGGAGGGGTTAACATATCAGTTACATCAATACAAAAATTGTACTTGGTGTTCAGGATCCCAGCTGAGTCTCAGCCAGACCCTTCGATGAGGTGAAGCTTGAGCCGTAGTGGGATTTCTAGAGTCAGAAACTCTACATCCTCTGTGCTATATAAAAAGTGCTCTTTTAAGAGAAATTTTGGTCATCAGTTCAATTTTTATGTAAAAAAATAATCCGTTTGCTTTCGTTCTTTCTTCTGCCTTACCCAACCTCAGTCTGTCTTAGGATCCCAGCCCGATCAGAATCAATTGCAGAATGCAGGTAAGAATCTAACTGATGAAGTTTCTATTACTATCAAATAAATATATTATTTCTATATCATTGAAGATCATTTTCCATTAAGTGGCTCTATAATTGTGTCATCCACATGTCTGGGTTTTGTGTGATGTATGATGTGACCAAGACAGTCTTGTATTTGAGACCAAGATTCAGCATCCTGAAATTTCCAATTCCGTCTTCAAAGCAAATAGGAAGCTAGAATGAGGGACCTATTTTAACCCAAAGACCAAACTGACGTCAATGTATCATTCCTCCTCCTCTTTTACCTAAATGATTACTAGAAACTTGCCAAACCTCATTGCTCTCCACTGACCCCTCTTTATATAAAATAAACACCCATTTATATAAAGTATTCAGATCAAGTCCATAGTGCCTAATGCAGTGGTGGCGAACCTATGGCACGGGTGCCAGAGGCGGCACTCGGAGCCCTCTCTGTGGGCACGCGCACCATCGCCCCAGTCCTATCTTTGCCATGAAAACCCCATGGACAGTACTAAAAGGCAAAAAGATCCAGTAGATTTGTTATTAATGTTTGATTAATAACAAAAGAGAAAAGACAGCACACATCATCACACGTGTGGCAACTGAATATCAATTTGACCGGCCTAGAAACTTTTTCAAAATAATTCTTAAAAGGTTTGAACTTTTGAAACATATTGAAACTGTGGAGTCCTGAGCTTGGTGGTTTTCTTGCAGATACTTCATTACCCAACTGGGTAACATCTTCAGTGCTAGAAGGGATTGGAGTTGGCTCCTATTTTTATATACTAGTACAGTGGTGGCGAACCTATGGCACGGGTGCCAGAGGTGGCACTCAGAGCCCTCTCTGTGGGCACGCGCGCCGTCGTCCCAGTCCTAGGCCTTCAGCTGGGTTTTATAAAACCTTTTCACTTTAGGCCTCCGCCATCGTGTGCCAAAAAAAAAAAAAAGTTTCAATCAGTCAATTTCAACTTCTCGCAGGAAAAAAAAGATCTTGCAAAGTTGGAATTGATTGATTGAACTTTTTAGTCCCACCCAGTCTGCCGTTATCACTGCAGCCACGCCCTCCCAATTGGCCACACCCAGCCAATGGACCACACCCACCCGGCACTTGACGATGCATAAGTGGGTTTTGGGTTGCAGTTTGGGCACTCAGTCTCTTAAAGGTTCGCCATCACTGGCCTAATGTCTTAGAAATACATGCACTTGTCCAGTGACAAAATGCAACATATCCTAAATGACAATTCTGCAGCAATATCCTGTCATGGCTTTTCCATGTCAGGAGAGTCATTTGCAAAGACCTTGTTGCTTTTAGTCTTCCAGATCAGGTTTAACCAGAAGAAGGAAGGGAGGCAGAAGAGAGAGAGAAAGACTGCAGGTTCCTCTGCTTTACCTAATAAAATCCTATCACAAAAAAAGATGGCTGTTTTCTGGCTCAGCACTACTTTCAGAGGAAAACAAAGGATAATAAATAACTTACCATTAGAGATGCTATGCAAGCTGATAATCAAACTAAACATGAACATTCTCTTCCGCTTTCAGTATTTGCTCTCTGTGACATGGAGCCTTCTGGATACTATAATGGAAGCCTCACCACAACAGTCTCTGGGTCAGTTTGCTTAAACTGGTCAGATTTCCCTGATTACATCCAGCAGCATCCAAATCGGGGACTAGGAAACCACAACTACTGCAGGAATCCAGATGGGGGACCCACCCCTTGGTGCTTCTACCAACTCACTTCAGGAGCAACTGGCTGGGCAAACTGTGATTGTAGCCAGGGTAAGCATCACAAGTGAAATTTGGGGTGGTGTTAATGACTGTAAAAGAAGGGCTTAAAGGAAAAAAAATGTTGTTGTTAGCTGCGAAGTCGTGTCCGACCCATTGCGACCCCATGGACAACGTTCCTCTAGGCCAGTGTTTCTCAACCTTGACAATTTTAAGGCATGTGAACTTCAACTCCCAGAATTCCACAGCCAGCATTGCTGGCTGTGGAATTCTGGGAGTTGAAGTCCACATGCCTTAAAATTGTCAAGGTTGAGAAACACTGCTCTAGGCCTTCCTGTCCTCTACCATCTTCCAGAGTCCATTTAAACTCACGCCTACTGCTTCAGTGACTCCATCCAGTTATCTCATTCTCTGTCGTCCCCTTCTTCTCTTGCCCTCAATCTTTCCCAGCATTAGGCTCTTCTCCAGTGAGTCCTTCCTTCTCATTAGGTGGCCAAAGTACTTGAGTTTCAACTTCAGGATCTGGCCTTCTAAAGAACAGACAGGGTTGATCTCCTCTAGGACTGACCGGTTTGATCGCCTTGCAATCCAGGGGACTCGCAGGAGTCTTCTCCAGCATCATAGGTCAAAGGCCTCAAAAATGTTAAGAATGTTTAAAAAAATAGAAGGAGCAACTTGATTTAAACCAGGCTTGCATCCAAATTAAGAATTCAAGTTTTCTGGAATGGAGATTAGAATACCAGAAATCTAAACAGAAAATATTTAGTGTTATACAGAAAATGGACTTAGTATTTAATTCACTCTATCTCCTCCTCCTTACTGAATTTTCTCTGGAAAGGAAACAGTGGGAGAAAGTGGAAAGAGGAAAGAAATAAAATAGCATTTAGATCTCTCATAAACCCTAAGAAAGTTGGGTGACCAGGAGCATTTTTGGGGAAGAACAGTGTTCAAAAAAGGGAAGATGACATTCACAACAGGGTGACTGAAGCCATTCCCCTGTTTTATATGAGTCACACATGGAAATGTTCCTGTGGATAATTGCCATAAAAAATTGTCATAAAATGGGCTGGTCACATAGCAAGAAGATTTTGTCTACCTATCTTACAAAGGACCTGGGGTAGGCAGACCTGGATGTTTAATGGTATTACAGATCTCGTTGCAGGATGGAAGCAGTTCCTAGTAAGGCTGCCTTTTGCAATTGATCAAGGGCGAATTTGTCAATGCCAATGGTGTTCAAGTGGTGCTCCAGGTGTTTTGGGATTGCACCCAAGGCGCCTATGACTATTGGTACTACCCTTGCTTGCTTTTGCCACAGTCTTTCTATTTCTATTTGTAGGTCTTTGTATTTTGTTATCTTCTCCAGTTCTTTCTCGTCTATTCTGCTGTCTCCAGGCACTGTCACGTCCACTATCCAGACTTTTTTGTCTTTCTTATCGACAATTGTTAAGTCCGGGTTGTTATGTTGCAGGTGCTTGTCTCATTATTATTATTATTATTATTATTATTATTATTATATGCAGAGAAATCTCGTGGAATCTGAACATCTCACACAAAGAGTAAAGCAATTCTTTCATTTACCCCCAAAACCAATCCCCCCTAACCAGTCCACCGGCAGACAATGTCATGCTGTAGGGATGTTAAGAGAACACTGAGATGGTAGGTAGATAACAGGTCACTCTCAGAGCAGGGAACCAGGCTGGAACTGGCTGGGAAGGAGTCTCTATATTCTTCGAAGACAATCCTCCTCCCTAATTCCCAAGCGGTTACAGCAAAAGCGAAAGCATGCAAAGAACGGCAGAAACCTTCCCCCCCCCTCCAACAGAATGGCGGGACACCAGTATTGTGGACCTGACAACCACTCTCTTTCCAGTGCAACCTTTTCATTTCATTCATCAAAAAGGTTGAATGACATGGGATACAAATATAATAAATAAACATGGAAAAGCCAAGTACAAACAAGACTTCGGTCTAATGAAGAATTCTCAAGTTGTGATTTATTACTGATAGAAACAAGAAACTAGCAATCATTTTCCTTTGCAGCAGTCAACGGACGTTCCTTTTCTCATATGTCAGAGAAAACATTGATAAACATCTGCGATAAACCTGTATCCTCCCAAGCCCGGTGGAATTTCCTCCCTACTCCATGGCAGCTGAAGAAAGAGGCCTGAGTCCTTTGGGAAGGACATTATGCAACCTTTTTGCACATTCTGTTGATCTGATTCCTTTGGTCTCTTTGCTCTGACAGATTCAGTGCGACTGACGGAAAGTGGCAGGGTGGAAGTGTACTACAATGGGCTGTGGGGGATGATCTGTGATGATGACTGGACCAACCTGGATGCCAGTGTGGTATGCCAACAACTGGGGCACAGGTAAGGAACATGTCATTGGATTGGGCCACCTTTGTTTTTCTCAAGAGAAAAATTGAGAAACTAAAAATATAGTAGAAGTCAACTTTTATACATATACATATATATATATATATATATATATATATATATATATATATATACATATACATATACATACATATACATATATATATATATATATTTGTCCTTAATAGTATTAAAAACACGAATTCCGGGTATACACATAATGTGAACTAAAATAAGGTGATCACCAGGATAAAATCATAAACACAAATGTTTAATCTACAAAACCTAGATTAAATATTTGTGTTTATGATTTTATCCTGGTTTTATTTTATATATATATTTAAAATTTGGATTGCTAACAAAGAATTAAGGGAGAATGGAATAACTATTTCAAGCTAATTAGCTCTCATCAGCCAAACATACCCTTCTGGGTTGCTTGCACTTTAGGCGCTGTGTTAACCTCTAGGCCACAAGCTCTTTCTCACTTTGTCAGCTGTGTCAGGGAGGGAAGAGACAGAGGAGGAGAATTACCTTCTCTTCCTCTAATTCCCCCCCCCTCCTCGTACACAGAACACCATCTGTTATCCCACCATTGATTCCCAAATAACAGACGGTGGGAAAACAGACTGGTGTGTGTACGAGGAGGGGGGGGGGGATTGGAGGAAGAGAAGTGGATAATGGAATAACAGCCTTGAAAAACACCAAGGAAACAGCCAATGCGTGCCCCCTAGAAGTTAAACAATTAAGGAAGTTGGATGGACCGATGACTAGGTGCAGAACCGGCCAGTACTATAAAAAGGGACTCCCATTGACCTACTCTTGTGCTCTGATGATGTCGGTAGTGCTGACCGACGAAAGCTCAGCATTTTGTTAAACAGTTTTTAGTTTGATATTATCCTGGTGTTCACGTTTATTTGTTTTACTATATGGCTTTACCCAGGATTCGAATTTTTAACGAAATTGTATGTATGTATGTATGTATGTATGTATGTATGTGTATATATATATATAAGAAAGCTGTATCTTAACATAGCCTATTATTGTCTGTGGAGTCACTGCACTTTCTGCTTTTGAATAGTGAAACTGGCACCACCCTAAGACAGAGTCCTTCCAGTCCGGAGCTGTTACCCTTCCATTTTCAGTCTGCAAACTGCCGTGGTGATGAGAAGATGCTGTCCCAGTGCAGTTATCAGGAAATATTCAGAGCTTGTATCCAGGGACCTGCAGGGGCCACTTGCGGCTCATCTCAAGGTAAACTTGAGGATAAGCACATGGATGATATTCCTATTCCATTTCTTTTAGCAAAGCAGAAAGCCAATAATCCTGGAAATTTTGCTGCATCAAAGCAAAATACAAAATAACATTGCTTGGTAAAGGGGCATTGTCAACCCTTTGAGATGATTCTTCAGGGATTCTGAAAGGGAATCAAAGCAAAGCAAGCTTGGATTTCTTTTTTTCTTTTTTGTTTGAAAAAGTTTTATTGATTTTCTAATTTCACATTTAAATATTTGAAAAGCAACGTGGCGGCTGAGTTGATCAATAATTCAATAACAGATATTATTCAAATATCTTTAGTACAGATCTCAAATTATTACATTAAATATTTCTTCTCTTTTCCCCTTGGTATTTACTGTCTCATATTTGAATTAATACAATTCTTATTATATCAATTAAATAAAAATAACTTTCTTACATTTATCAATAGTTTTTTGTTTATACATATCCTAGTTGTTTCAACATTCAATCTTTTTAGACAATCAATGTCCTGATTAATTTTTCCCAATTTTTAATTTCTCATTAATATTTACATTTAACGTTTAGTATGTATAATTTCCAAGTTTTAAATAATCCCAATTCCCTTTATCGCAATTCATCACTAGATCTAATGTTCAGGATACACGTCTTATCATTTGAATTATGAGATAGTAGATATTAAGAGAAGAAGAGAGGAAGTATTAAATGTTGAAATAAGAGAAATTTTGGTTACTAAATTTAAGATATTTGGAAATTATCAGAAAATAAGAATATTATATTGTATTATTAATTGATTAATGAAAGATGGTGAGAATGCAAGCTTGGATTTCTTTTCACACTTTGTTATCCAAGACCAAGCTTGTATTTTACTAATGGTTTCCACCTGCCTTCTCCAAGATCAGCTCTGTACTGCTCTACAGACATTTGTGAGAGAGACAGGTTAAGTTGGCATCTGAGATAAGTTGATCAAAGCCCCCTCCCCTTTAATGCAAGTCACAATGCATGTAAGGGGGCAGGGCTTCATAATAGGGATACACCCACCATTTTGACCATGCTTGCCTGCTCCTGCACATTGATCCTGATCGTAAAGCGCTGTGATGAAAAAAACAATGAAAGAAATGAATCTGCCTGTCTGAAAAACAATATCATCGTTCCTTGCTGTCACTGGAGACACAGCACAGTTTTACGTTTCCATGATCATTTTGTGTACTGTTCTGGATCTCAACCATAGTATTTTTCGGATTAAAAAAAATCATAGGGTATAACATATTCAAGACAAGCTTTATTTATTTGTTTGTTTGTTTATTAAATTTATATGCCATCTATCGCGTTATCTAAAGCAACCCTGAGCAGCTTACAATAAAATCATAAATAAAAAAATTAAAATTAACAGGAGAAAATAAAAAAAAACGTAGAAAACAAAGTTTTGAAACTTTTCGTAGGAGCTCTGGTCCAAAAGTTGATAGCTTCCAAGAAAGCTGAGATAAATTGTACACGAGATATACAGCATGATGAATTCTAGATGTTTAATTGCTGATAAGCAATTCCAGACTAGACAGACACACATTTTTCACTCAGAATCTTCCGCCATTTTGTTTAGGTGAATGGGGTGTTTGTACAGAACACTGTACAGAATCTAGGTAATTTAGGTAAATAAAATATTTGTTTAGTAATGGTGTGCTACTCAGAAGGAATGAGTACATTGACCTGATGAAGAATATATGAGTATATAAGGAATGGTTGCTGGAATTGGGTATGTCTAGTTCAGGGGTAGGCAACCTTGGCTCTTTTATGACTCGTGGACTTCAACTCCCAGAATTCCTGAGCCAGCATGGCTCAGCTTGGAAACCTCTCCCTTTCCCCTCAGCATGGCTGGCTCAGGAATTCTGAGAGTTGAAGTCCACGAGTCATAAAAGAGCCAAGGTTGCCTGCCCCTGACCTAGTTTAATGAAGAGAAGGACTAGGGGTGACATGATAGCCGTGTTCCAGTATCTCAGGGGCTGCCACAAAGAAGAGGGAGTCAAGCTATTCTCCAAAGCGCCTGAAGGCAGGACAAGAAGCAACAGATGGAAACTAATCAAGGAGAGAAGCAACCTAGAACTAAGGAGAAACTTCCTGACAATGAGAACAATTAACCAGTGGAACAACCTGCCTCCAGAAGCGGTGAATGCTCCAACACTGGAAGTTTTTAAGAAGAGACTGGACAACCATTTGTCTGAAATTATATAGGGTTTCCTGCCTGAGCAGGGGGTTGGACTACATGACCTCCAAGGTCCCTTCCAACATTATTATTATTATTATTATTATTATTATTATTATTATTATTATTATTATTAATAATAATATTGTACCCTCCTATCCCCTAAAATGTTGATAGTAGATAAACTGGTGTATATTCAAAGAAATACAATTTATGTTGTCAAGAAAAAGATTTATGGTAGTAGCCGAAGGGATTTATTTTGTGTCATCATTGGGATTATTCTGGATTGTGTTCCTTGATTATTCTTGTTCTTTTTGATAAGCAGCTACAGGATCTCCACTTCGCCTGGTAGGAGGCAAAAAAGACTTTGAGGGCCGAGTGGAAATTTACCACGATGGCTACTGGGGCACCATCTGTGATGATCAGTGGGATGACAAGGATGCTGAGGTGGTTTGCAGATACCTGGATCTCAGGTAACTTCTTTGAATGAGGACGCTTAAGAGGGCAAGACTATGATCTCTTATATCTTGTTCAAAGCAGTGTTTTCTTTCCTGTTCATCAGTTCTTATGCTGTGTGTTTGTGTTTTTCTCGTCCTCCCAGTGGAATCTCAAGAGCCGTGTCTTGGGCTCACTTCGGGAAGGGCTTGGGCCCAATCCTGCTGGATGAAGTTGAATGCTCAGGCAACGAGCTTTCACTAGACCAGTGCAAGAAGAGTGATTGGGGGAAACACAACTGTGACCATGTTGAAGATGCTGGGGTCATTTGTGACCCCTTTGTAGGTAACTACTCTGCCAAATATATAGCTGGTTTGAAGGCTGCCTTTATGACCTCCTTTTCTGAAAATGGTGTAGGTCAGGGGTAGGCCACCTTGGCTCTTTTATGACTCGTGGACTTCAACTCCCAGAATTCCTGAGCCAGCCACGCTGAGGGGAAAGGGAGAGGTTTCCAAGCGGAGCCATGCTGGCTCAGGAATTCTGGGAGTTGAAGTCCACGAATCATAAAAGAGCCAAGGTTGCCTACCCCTGATATAGAAGGAAAGTTTTAGGATTTTTTGCTATTTTTTTGTTGTTGTTGTTTCCATCTCTTGCCACATAGCAGAAGGAACAATCCGATTGGTAGGAGGCCTCCACCCAAGTGAAGGAAGAGTAGAGATCTACCACAATGGAGGATGGGGATGTATATGTGATGATGGCTGGAAGGCAGGAATCAATGCTCAGGTTGCTTGCAGACAATTGGGCTTCAGGTAAGTAAGTAGCGTCTATTGTCAATTGCCAAAATGTCACTGTTTGCAAATCAATTTCAACTGTGCCTCCTGTTTCAACGGTCACAAATGTCTTGATTGTAACAGGATGCAATATCTGAATTGTGCCAAAGTGTTCTGCACATCAGTGTCTCTACTTAATGTGTATACATAAAAGCGGAAGTCTGTGCTTCCCAGTGTTAGAAAAAAAGAGGAAAAGATTGGGGAAAAAAGGAGAGATTACTAAAGGAGGAACGTTAAAAGAGATCCAGTTTGGCCTAGTGACGAAAGTCCCAAGCTAGAAATCAGGAGATTGTGAGTTCTAGTCCTACCTTAGGAATGAAAGCTGGCTGGGTGACTTGGATTAATCACTTTGCAGGGTTGTTGTTCTTGTAGAGAAAATAGACGGAGGGAAGAGTATTAGGGATATCCACCCCTTTGAGTTATTTATAAAAATAATAAAGGGAGAAAATTAAATAAATAAATGATTCCGTTATATTTAGTTCAAGCAGTTCCACCTAGAACAGTGGTGGCGAACCTATGGCACGTGTGCCAGAGGCGGCACTCGGAGCCCTCTCTGTGGGCATATGTGCCGCTGCCCCAGCCTTACCTCCTCCTGTGACCCCCTCCTCACCAGTAGACCCCCTGGAGGAGAGTCGCCCCTGAGCGTGGCCCATGCGGAGCAGCGCAGTCAAGGACAGGGCAGCCAGGCAGCGTAGACAAGACTCTGCCCTCACGCCCCATCGCGCACAGTTGATGCTGCAGGACGCGGACAGAGGGCATGGCTTCAATGGCGCTGCTGGGCTGCCTGGGCAATCTGCGGTGGGCCCTGGAGGTGGTGAGTGGCCCTATGGGCAGGCGGGGTAGGGGCGGGGCAGGGGTGGAGCGGGGGCGGGGCCAATTTTTGGGCACTTGGTCTCTAAAAGGTTCGCCATCACTGACCTAGAAGTTCCACTGGTGTATTAAAATGAATTAAAAATAAAGCGCTGTTTATAGCTATTATATTGTACGTGCGAGTAAGGGGTTGGACTAAAAGCCCTCCGATGTCCCTTCCAACTCTGATATTCTATTATAATGTTCCTCTACCAGCTCATATATACAGTATGTGTTTGAAGGATTTTTTTGTAACATCTTCTAATGCAGTGTTCTACAACCCTGGTAGTTTTAAGACGTGTAGACGTCGATTCCCAGAATTCTCCAGCCATTAGGCTAGCTAGGGAATTTGGGAATCGAAGCCCACACATCTTAAAGCTGTGAGGAACACCTTTCTGATGTTTTGAGAATGAACTCACGCAAAGCAGCACCTTTGCTTTACAAATAGGTTTCTTCTTTAAACTGGGTTTATGCACTTCTTCGCAAAGAATAAAGAGTCCTTGTTGATTAGAGTGATTAGACTCTGAAGAAAGTTCTGAGCACAAAGGGTTACCGGACTGTTTTCTTGCTTTCTTTCTTCAGTGGTCCTGCCAGGCTGGCATCAAACGGCGAATTTGCGCCAGGCCAAGGTTTCATCTTGCTGGATGATGTGGCTTGCACAGGCACGGAGTCATATCTGATGGACTGTCCCCACAGTAACTGGGGCCAACATGACTGCTCACATGAAGAAGATGTGGGAATTCGCTGTTCCCTGGTTAGCAACAGGATCACTGAAGATAAAACTGGTAGGGTGCTAAAATGGCACACCCCAAAATTATTATTCGTTGCCCCTGATATTTTTGTCTTTAGTGGTGATAACGGGCGTTCTGCAGATTTATTTCTTTGTCTGACCTCGGAACAAAATGGAGGGATGGAGTTTAATTTTAATATTCATTAGGCAAAGAACTTTGAATTTTCTGTCTCTTCCTGTCTGTCGTTTCAGGCAACTTTTCCAACCCTGGCCCATGGCAAGGTTTTCTCCAGCGTAAAATTGGAAGTGTCTTAGCGATGTTTCGACAAAGTCCCATTCATCATCTTCAGGCTGGTGTTTTCGGTTTCGTGCTTCTAGGAGCACGAAACCGAAAACACCAGCCTGAAGATGACGAATGGGACTTCGTTGAAACGTCACCAAGACACTTCCAATTTTACATGGGAGAAAACCCGAATAAGCAAAGACCTACATACAAACACCCACGAAAACCTCAGAAAACACACACACGCACATATATATATTTGCTGCAAAAATTAGATATGTAAGCATATGTCCCCGTTTATACACCTCTGGGGCAGATGGAAGAATTGCATGCAGTTTGGACACGACAGAAAATGGTAGTTAGCGAGTCAAAGGATTTTGTCCTCCTTTCCAATATGTTTTTGGCCTTTAAAAATGTGTTAATCCCTTTAAAAAAAACTACTGTAAGCTGGAAGGAATTAGTATTTCAGAGTAACTTCCAGATGTTTTTCCTTCCCCAGCAGCCTCACATTCTCTCCCCCCCTCCACCACCATCACTAAGAACAACAAACTTGTTGGTTAAGTTGTCCCAGTTCTTGTCTTCCTTCTAAATTGTGGTGTATTACAGAATGGCTATCTTGTCTTGGCCCTCTCCATCTTGGCAGTGTTAACCGAGTCTATGTTATTTCCAAGTTATTCATCAGCTTACTTCAATACTAGCTCTTTCGTCTGGATCTCTTAAAGTATGGCTTTAACTGACAGGGCTTCTGGTGCGGCTGGTGGATGGGGACCACGCCAACGAAGGCCACGTAGAGATTCTTCTGAACGGAGAGTGGGGCAGGATTTGTGCTGAAGGCTGGACAGAGAGAGCCGCAGCTGTGGTTTGCAGGCAGCTGGGCTACAGGTAACTGGACAGCAAGATTCTCATGAGGAAAAAGTGGCTTTATGTGAAGTCAATTTCTGAGGAATGAGGGCCAAATCTGGTCCTAGATTCTGCCTTGGCTTACCTTTTCCACTAAGCAACCGAGTCAGAAGATCATTTAAAAGCAATTTATTAGAATACTCTGATAAAGTGGGGTCTTCCTATTGTTGGAATTCCTATTTCGTACCTTAAAACCCTCATCTGTCCCACACACCATGGCTCCTGTCTTGCCTAGTTTTATAATGTGGCCCTCGTCAGGCTTCACTCTAATTGAGAACAGGCAAGTGTCGCTCTCAATCTGATGGCAAATGAGAGTTGTTGCCAGGTATATATGTAGGTATTAGGGCAGACGTTGGAACTATTTAAAGGGCTGGAAATTATCCTTGCCCTTCTTCTTTTTTTTTTTTTTTGCAGAAATCACAACAAGATTTGATTTAATGTGCAAGTACAGTTGTGTGTATCTTGGTTGCTATTCTCTCTGACCGCAGTTCTATATTTTTACTTGAGTTCCTTTTTGACTAGCTATAGGAATGTACCCTACTGTGTGCGTATCACAATTTGCTCTCTCTTTCCTTAACAAAAGGTGATCAGGCTACTTGAAGGTTTATAAAGATGCTATTTTCTTTGTTTGCACAGGGATTTCCAACTTTTGGAGGTGTAGGGGGGGGGCTGATAAAGTCTTGTTGGGAAGGAGAGGCTTCAAGCCCGGTGTACTGTGCCTTGTGCCTTGTGCCAGGCTGGCTCAGATGTAATTGGTGCCTTTCCCCAGGCATGGCTTTTGTATATGAAGAAAAGGCAGATGCCTACCACACCCCAGGAGGAGGAAAATTTGTTCTTTTGGCAGATCTCTCACTTGCCTTGAATTTAACAGCCCAGTTACGTCCAAACCCCAAAACTCGTCTCTTCCTTTCTCTTCCTTGATCTTTTTGCGTTGGCCTTTGGTTTTCCTGATGCATTTCACGGCAAGCCTTCGTCTTCACCTTTGAGATTCTTTTTCTCTCCATTCTCCCTTTCTCCGTTGCCTTTGTCCTGTTACTTCTACCAAGCGCCCTGGACCTGCTGCTCTCCTAACTGCCATTCAGCCTGAATAGGTGACCTCTTTAAGAATCTTTTGCCAGCCACTGCCTGGGCCACTCACATCAGCTGCTGGGCAGAACATCTGGCAGCCTCCAGCAATCTTTTCCAGTTAGTCTAAGGCAGTGGTTCTCAACCTGTGGGTCGGGACCCCATTTGGGGTCGAACGACCATTTCACGGGGGTCGCCAAACAACGCAGTCCGCCATTTTTTCCCCCTTTTCCTTAGCTGTGCTACTCCCTTTTATTCTATTGGCTTTTGAAAGCCAATAGAATAGACTCTCTTGAATAGAGTCTAATTCTATTGGCTTTCAAAAGCCAATAGGAATTGTCCAGGCTGTCTCTGCCCTGCTGAGCCCGCCAAAAGTCCCATTCTGCAAATGGTGCTGCACCAGTTGAATAGTCCTCGACTTACGACCGGTTGAGTAGTCCTCGACTTACAACTGGTTGGGAGTTGCGGCATTAAAAAGGTTGAGAACCACTGGTTTAAATGGACTCCAGAAGATGGTAGAGGACAGGAAGGCCTGGAGGAGCGTTGTCCATGGGGTCGCGATAATCAGACACGACTTCGCAACTAACAACAACAAAATAAAATAATAAAGGCAACCAATTGTATTCACACTGAGTTTCACTGCCACTGTGCTCTTATCTCTTGAAATCAATGATTTATTTCCAACTCTTATCTGCAGCACTGTGAGAATCCAAGATGATTTTTTTTTCTGGCAACCTGTCATTAAAAGCTTTTTTGTGCTCTCAAAAGACCTCAAGGTTCCCCCCCTCCCGGAACAATTACAAGATTGTCCTTACCAAATTTAGCCAGAAAGTTGATCAGTGTGTCTGTCTCACAGTTCCTATAAAGGTCAGCCAGCTGTGTGCAGCAGTTCAGGGAGAGATTGTGAATGCGCAGGCGCCTCTGTCCTGCACAACTGGTATACAATACAGCACACTACAAGAGAGAGATTTATAAACAAGAGCTATTAAATTTTGAACATCGAAGACTCTCTTGAATAGAGCCTAATTCTATTGGCTTTCAAAAGCCAATAGGAATTGTCCAGGCTGTCTCTGCCCTGCTGAGCCCGCCAAAAGTCCCATTCTGCAAACGGTGCTGCACCAGTTGAGTAGTCCTCGACTTACGACCGGTTGAGTAGTCCTCGACTTATGACCGGTTGGGGGTCGCGGCATTAAAAAAGTTGAGAACCACTGGTCTAAGGCAATGATTTCTTGGCTTCAGCAAGTGTGGACTTCAGATTTCTCTTATCTCATTACCTTGGCTGCCTTCTTTCCCCTGTTCCGCAAGTTTATTCTCACAGCCATTACAGCAAAACACCATGCTGGCCAATCTCCCTGGTCTCCCATGTCTTTCCAAATGTCTCCTAGGCCTCTCGATGACTGGAGATGCCTGTGGGTTTTTTCTTCTCCCAGTCCTGCCCAGAACAAGTACGGGTAGTCCTCGACTTAACGATCATAACTGAGCCCAAAGTTTCTGTGGCTAAGTAAGGCAACTGTCCACAAATATGTTATGCGCTCCTGACCACTTTCCTTCGTGACCAGAGGCAAGCTCGCCTGATCAATAACCAGCCAAGACACAGTGAAGGCCTTTTGTTTCGTTTATTGCAAGAAGCGGGGCGAGAAGCTGTCAAAGCTTGTTTCTCTTCAAAGTTTCAACCCAAAATATTCCCTTCTTTATACAAATATATATCCCTCCTCTTTCCCCATTGGCTGAGGTACTATGAGGTTACACTCTTCCAATATGCAGATTCTGGGGTTTTGCTTGATAAAAAATACAGGAGACCAGAAGTTGCCTTTAAGCTTTTAAATTTTTATTCAGCTAAATGAGAGCAGCCCCGAATGACAAGAAATTTTTGTGTTTATTCTTTCTGATTACATAAGCAACCCATCCAGCAAAGCTGACACACATAAGATAAAGATTTCACCCAGTAAGTCTGGCACACTGTAGATAAGAAGGGAGAAAGCAGAAGTAGCTAAACATGTCCCCTTTTGGGTGTTTCCCTAAAGATATCGTATGTTCTTGGGTGTGTTAGGACATTTTCTTTGCTGTCCTTTCATGACCCTGCATCCAGGACTTTGCAAGTGCCCAAAGAAAGCAGGGCCATCTGCACATATTTTATTTATTTATTTTATTTATTTATGAGACTTATATACCGCTTTCAGTGCAAGCACTCTCTAAGCGGTGTACACCAGTAAGCAATGTATATATATATATATTTACATTGCCCCCAACAATCTGGGTCCTCATTTTACCTACCCCGGAAGGATGGAAGGCTGAGTCAACCTTGAGCCGGTGAGATTTGAACCGCTGACCTGCTGAACACAGTCAGCTAAAGTGGCCTGCAGTACTGCACTCTAACTGCTGCGCCACCTCGGCTCATTCACAATTGATACTTCCTATACTGTCTCCTAATTCCGGGTCAACACTTCCTGACTGCCTCCTACATATTTCCTGCTACATACTAAATCATACATCACATGTACATTAAAAATAGGAGATAATTTATGCAAGGTGTGTCAAATAATATTAATTGGCTAATTACACACGCTCAGTTGTCTATTTTGAGTTCTGGGCCCTTTTTTATGGATTCTTAGAACAATAGATTTTTTCCTATTTTTCAGTTCAGTTTGCCTTTCCTGTTCAGTTATCTTTCCTGTTATCCCATTCATTTAATTTTCCCTGGCTAGCCATTTCTTCTTGCAGATGTTCTTACAGTTTGTATTCTTCCTTTTTCCCATTCTGAAGACCCAGCTAATTTTTACCTACCTGTCTATCTTACATCCTGCCTTTATACTACATTTCTCGCTCACATCTATTGTAGTTTCTTTCATGCTTGTTTCTCCACTACATAGCAGATTCAGTTTTAAATTTGGCCACCTAATGAGAAGGAAGGACTCACTGGAGAAGAGCCTAATGCTGGGAAAGATGGAGGGCAATAGAAGAAGGGGACGACAGAGAATGAGGTGGATGGATGGAGTCACTGAAGCAGCAGGCATGAGCTTAAATGGACTCCAGAAGATGGTAGAGGACAGGAAGGCCTGGAGGAACGTTGTCTGTGGGGTCGCAATGGGTCAGACGCGACTTCGCAACTAACAACAACAATAACAACATTTACTTCTATCAAATAGATGTTGCCAAGTATCTGAATTTTGATCATGTGACCACAGTCGTAAGTGTGAAGAATGATCACACTTTTTTCAATGCCATTGTAACCTCAAGTAGTCACTAAACAAGTGGTCATAAATTGAGGACTATGTGCAGTCCTATTTTGTTCTACGCAGTGAACAAAACATCCACAGCGTGAGCACAGCTTTCTCAAGCAGTACTTCTGAATAGATTTGTTCTATGCAAGGTTGGGGTTTTTGTAGTCTGAAATCAAAAAGCAAGCGAAGCATTTGGGGTTTCAGTTCTGCCAAACTGTGGCTTATCCAGAATGGATCAGCAGAACCTCTGGTACATGATCTTTATCCCAGACTTGAAATAAAATCTTGTCTGGTTCTATACATGCTCCTAGCCTGTGATGACTTCCTGGTTAATTTAAGCAAAGTCTCTCCTTCCAGTGCTACGGCAGTAACCGTCTATAGGCCTTATTCAGAGACATGGCTTGTACCCCTTCACCTGCATAATGTGGAATGTTCTGGAACGGAGCACACCTTGGGAGAGTGCACCATCCATCAAAGTGGTCAACACAACTGCTGGCGGAAGAAAAGTGCACGTGTGATGTGTGACTACATGGGAAAGGGGAGCCAATTCATAAGGAACGACGGTAAGTCTCTTCACCTTGCCTTCTTGGGCATAAAACTGGGTTTCCAGAAATTCATATTGGGTTGCTGCAACTAACAAGCTAACAGGCATATAAAGGGGCAATTAGGGTAGGAAAGCAATATGTAAAGAAATTATTGAAGAAGATCCTCTCCATATCCTTTGGCTTTGATCTGCAGCTTCTGGAGGCCCCAACTCCCATCTTTTTGTCAACAAAAATCAAGCATGGAAGTTATTTGGCCATGGGATTATTCTCGGTCAAGAAAATGCAACATCCATGTTTCCAGTGTTGTTGAACTTCAGAATTCAGTGGGTTTCAGGACAGGCCATGCCCCACCCGAGGGTCCCACAGTGCTGATGCAGCCCTGGCACTTTGTGATAAATAAGGGGGTTTTGTGTTGCAGTTTGGGCACTCGCTCTCTAAAAGGTTCGCTATCACTGGTATAGGGTCTCCTGCCTGAGCAGGGGGTTGGACTAGAAGACCTCCAAGGTCCCTTGCAACTCTGTTATTCTGTTCTGTTCTGTTCAGATCTCAGAAAAAAAGTCTGGAAATGTTTTCGACCAACCTCTGAAGTATTAGACCAGTCTGAAGAAAGAGTACTAGGCTGGATGACAATAACCAGCTGATATAACTAGACAACTATATCTAATATGGTCACCATTCTAACTTTACCCTTTAAAATTAAGTATCTTTTTATTAAAATGCGGGATATATGAAAGAGTGTAATGTGTAAAGCCTGTTCTGTTTCAATTAAATCCTTCAATGTTTCTACTCTGGATCTACTGGAAGAAAAACCTCTATCCAGGGATCTACTCTTTAAAGGGACATGTTTGTGTGGAGTTCTGGAGAAATTAAACCACTTCCAGAATGCTTTACAAATGCAGCACCTTATTTGTTATAAAGAGAGAGAAAGAGATTTGCATGCCTTATTTGGAATGTGGCATCTGGCAAGCAGAGATATTTACATAGACATTTGTACATATATACTGAAAATGTTGGGAAAGATTGAGGGCAATAGAAGAAGGGGACAACAGAGAATGAGGTGGCTGGATGGAGTCACTGAAGCAGGAGGCGTGAGCTTAAATGGACTCTAGAAGATGGTAGAGGACAGGAAGGCCTGGAGGAACGTTGTCCATGGGGTCGCAATGGGTCAGACGCGACTTTGCAACTAACAACAACAACAACAATTGAAAATGCATTTATTTGGAAAGGAAAGATTGTTTTTAGCTTAAGTTGATAATTCTTGGCTGAAAACTGAAAAAACTGGACATTGCATCTGCTTTATCTGTTTCTTTTTTTTTCTGCTTTTCCTTTGTGGGATCCCATAGTGAAGATTTTCTTCCTTTCAAGGAAATGGTAATGTCGCTATTTCCACTTTTAATCTCTTAGCACCGTAATGGTGCTAAGGAAAATAGAGTTAAGGAAGACTGTATGCTAGTACCATTTTCCCATCATCTAAGGCAGTGGTTTTCAACCTGTGGGTCATGACCCCATTTGGGGTCGAATGACCATTTCACGGGAGTCGCCAAACAGCGCAGTCCGCCATTTTTTTCCCCTTTTCCTTAGCTGTGCTACTCCCTTTTATTCTATTGGCTTTTGAAAGCCAATAGAATAGACTCTCTTGAATAGAGTCTAATTCTATTGGCTTTCAAAAGCCAATAGGAATTGTCCAGGCTGTCTCTGCCCTGCTGAGCCTGCCCAAAGTCCCATTCTGCAAACGGTGCTGCACCAGTTCAGTAGTCCTCGACTTACGACCGGTTGAGTAGTCCTCGACTTACGACCGGCTGGGGGTCGTGGCATTAAAAAGGTTGAGAACCACTGATCTAAGGGCAACAATTGACCAAAGGCTGCATCATATCCAAAGTGGGATTCTTTCACCAGCATTGTGGCAAAAGAATATGAGCATTAATCCTTTTGGCTTTCTTGGCAGCTTCCAATATTGGCCTGTGTGGTCTTCGTTTGACTCAGCACCGCAAAAGAAGAATAATTGGTGGAAACAAATCCTCCAGGTAGCCTGCTTGCTCACTATCACAGAACCCTTATCAACTCATTTTCACCTATTTACTTCTAGCAGCCTTCAAATATTTATTTAACATCCACGAAGCTTCTTCAGCTCTGACTGGATGGTGGGGAATGGAAGGATTTATATACCTTGCAGACCGCTGGTCATTTGCATTCTTTTAGAGTCGTTGAGGCCACTTGGAGTTTTATTTGTGTCCTCAAGGTTACCTGAGTGGTGCAAATGGGGTGTGGAGCCTTCTTGGAACTGCTGAAAGGACTGTGTTGTAGACTGGAGATAGATGATGTCATATCCTTCCCCCTCTGTTGAGAGTAGGGCTGTTCAATTTTGACATAGATGAACTACAAATATAAATCCTTCCATTTCCCCACTATCCAGTCAGAGCCGAAGGAGATTCTTGGATGAGAAGTGAAACATCTTCAAAGAAAAACAAAGTACTTTTTTTTTGTTAATTTTGGAAATGGAAAGTGAACAAGTTAAGGAAACAATGATAAGATGGGCGAAAAACTTTGGTTACAATATAGAAGTAGAAAAGTGCAAAAACTATGGGAGAGAAATTATAAATTAACAATGTCAGCTTCGTATAAAGAAAACTTATATAAAAATGTTCTATAGATGGCACTTGCCATCAGCAAGATTAGCAAAAATGTTTTAAAAAATAGATTTTGAAAATGTAAGCACAACTCAGGCACATACTATCACGTTTGGTGGACATGTCACAAAGCAAAGTCCTATTGGAAAAAGATACATGCTTGGTTAGAAAAAAATATTAGGTGAACATGTTGATTTTAAACCTGAACTTTTTTTTTTTACTAGATATAATGCCCGAAAAGATTAACAAGCAAAGTCTAGATTTGATTTTACACGCCGCTACAGCAGTGAGAATAATCTTTGCGCAATATTGGAAGAATGAAGGACTACCAGCAGAGGAAGAAATAATTAGAAAAATATTGGACTGCGCAGAGATGGATAGATTAACCATGAGACTGAAAGATAAAGAAGATACAGATTACTATCAAATTTGGGACTTATTTTATTGTGGGCTAGAGCAGTGGTTCTCAACCTTTTTAATGCCACGACCCCCAACCGGTCGTAAGTCGAGGACTACTCAACTGGTGCAGCACCGTTTGCAGAATGGGACTTTTGACGGGCTCAGCAGGGCAGAGATAGCCTGGACAATTCCTATTGGCTTTTGAAAGCCAATAGAATTAGACTCTATTCAAGAGAGTCTATTCTATTGGCTTTCAAAAGCGAATAGAATAAAAGGGAGTAGCACAGCTAAGGAAAAGGGGGAAAAAATGGCGGACTGCGTTGTTTGGCTACCCCTGTGAAATGGTCGTTCGACCCCAAATAGGGTCCCGACCCACAGGTTGAGAACCACTGGGCTAGAGGAAAGAACGAAGGATTAGGAATTGAATCCAGACAGCTGGTTGGTTGAAAAATTAACATGTGTAAAAGAAAATCAATAAAATTAAAAAAAGAAAGAAAGAAAGAAGGTCCAGTTGCCTCTTGAAAAAACACCCCCGGGACAATCATGACCTGGATGACTAAGAATCTCCATAGTCATTGCTTTTCTCTTTCAGGGGAAGCTGGCCATGGCAAGTCTCCTTGCGTCTGAAGGGGATTCACAAAAATGCTCGTTTGCTGTGCGGTGCGACACTTATCAGCAGTTGTTGGGTGGTGACAGCAGCACATTGCTTCAAAAGGTGAGGTATAGCCAGCATCCATGCATGACGTTAGTCAGAAAAAATTAAATCCTGGTGTGGGAACGCGTCATAGAAAGCTTCTTAATATCTCCCTAAATTCAACTTGCGGGTAGATGGCTAACCATCCTGGAAATTCATCTCCTGTGATATCCTCCTTTTTATGTGCAGCTTATTCTGCAAGCTTAAATTGTGTCGCTATTTTATACCTTTTTTTTTTTTTTTCAGAAGAAGCGTTATATTTTGCACGTTGTGTTTCGCATTGGTTGTGGCCCAATTAATGAGGCATGTGATGGAGAATGGATCTGCCCGGCTCTTACTGGCTGCTTATGAATGGTGCAAACCAAACTTTCCTCCACTCTTCCCCTCCTGACATGTTAAGAGTCATAGTAGAGACACTATCTGAACTAAGGGGTTCCTCCTGCTTCATCTCCCTGTCCCCCCCCCATGACCGGCCCGAATGCCATACAGGATGCTGTTCTGGCTGATGTAGGAGAGACCCCTTGCTTCAATCAGCATGATGTCCACCCCCAGATGGCATGTCAGCAGATAGCATAGGTCAGGGGTAGGCAATCTTGGCTCTTTTATGACTCGTGGACTTCAACTCCCAGAATTCCTGAGCCAGCAGGGCTAGGAATTCTGGGAGTTGAAGTCCACGAGTCATAAAAGAGCCAAGGTTGCCCACCCCTGCACTAGAGGAAGGATCTTTGTGGTAGTCATCATCAACTTATCACTTATCCTTGATATTTGACTAGGACACGGGTAGGCAACCTTGGCTCTTTTATGACTCGTGGACTTCAACTCCCAGAATTCCTGAGCCAGCCATGCTGAGGGGAAAGGGAGAGGTTTCCAAGCTGAGCCATGCTGGCTCAGGAATTCTGGGAGTTGAAGTCCACGAGTCATAAAAGAGCCAAGATTGCCTACCCCTGGCATAGAGAATTGGAAGGAGACCTAAAGCATCAAAGTCATCCTCTTACCTCCCAGGTTTTTCCTGTGGCATGAAGGAAGATTGCATGGGAAGCCTCCCCTACTATACCTGAAAGCACCTCTACTTCTGGGGCTGATCCACAGTGGTGGGAGAACAAAAATGTCAGCCCTGTGGATCAGGCACTGCAGGTGATCCAGCAGTAAGGAAGAGAAAGCTTCTTCTGGTGTATTGCCCCCTTCCTACCCTGATAGAAAGCAAAATTCATGGCTCCAGATGTTCCAGCCATCTGTCAGAATTTGCCTTCTCCTCAGCCCTAGCCTCCAATAGGGCAAGCAATATCCATGAAGGATTTTCCCATCGGCAGGGAACTCCCCAACCATGGTCTCTTAAGTAAGCCATTAAGACAACACTGCTCGCCAGCCTCATTGCCAACATGGACTAAAACCCAGCTACTCTGACAAGAGACAATTAGGCTGGCATCAGCTGGGTACGCCAATGTGCCAATAATGGCTGGGTGCCCACATCATGCTAAATCATAATAGATGTTCCTAACTGTTCTGTCCCAGCCTACGTGAGTCCTTGTTAAGCTCACAAGGGGAAACCCCTCCTCCAACAAGCAGTCTGGAACTGCAGGAAAAAAACATTTCCCCTTTTATTATTCACAGACCTGAGTCAATGTCCAAGGCAAGCAAACACAGTTCACAGAAACTCGATCCTCAACACAAACAGTTGTCTTCGTCAACCAGCACCTCCCACACCTTCCTTTTTATTATGCAGCCATGACGTGGCTTCCTAATGCCTTCTCCTTTGCCTTTGGAGTCGCCTCATTGCATTCCTCTGTCCTACTCGCTTCTCTTTCCTGCACATTCGTGCATCCACGATTCGTCCCAACTGTTCTTCATCACTTTCCAGCTCAGGCTCCCAGCACAGCTGTGTCTCAGCTTGAGCGTGAGTAGACGGGCCAGGCTCCTCATCCGACTGTAAGTCTTGGAGCTCCTCAGAGCCTTCCTCTGACTCTGATGTCACTCCAGGGCCTTCCTCCTCCTCCTCTGATTCCTCAGACTCAGCTGCCGGGTCCACTGGCTGGTGAGGAATCACAACAATAATAGATCTTGCCGTGATTAGTGCAACAGTCTCTCAAGGACTTCAGGTTGGTTTTATTTCGGGGTGCCTTAGTTATATTTTGGAGGAAGGTGTTTACTTCACCTAAAATGTCTGCCTAAAAAGAGTAACATAATATATGATGATCTATATTTCATGTGTGTAGGATGGCAGAGGAGATGTTTTAATTGACCCCTTACGAAAGGTCTTTTCTAGTTGAAAGAAAGAGGTCTCCTTGAGGTGAAGCATCTTCAGTGAAAACTAACTGGCTCGTGACTCTCTTGTGGGCAGGTTTGGACTAGACGTTCGTCGCTATCTTCTGCGGGTGGGAGACCACCATACTGGTGTGAGAGATGAATCGGAGAGAGAGTTGCCGGTGGAGAAGATCCTCCTTCATAGAAATTATCGGTCGAGCAGTAATGATAATGACATTGCTCTGGTCAGGATGTGGGGCAAAGAGGGCAACTGTCTCTCCTTCAGCCACCATATCTTTCCAGTCTGCCTCCCTGTTGGGAAGCAGAAAGCTGCAGTGGACCGAAAGTCTTGCATTATATCAGGCTGGGGAGATACAGGTGAGTGGTGGGCTGCCTCATAACTTCCGCATAGGACAACAAAGGATAAATGGAGAAGTTTGTCCTCCTCCCTATTTGCAACCTTGGAAAAACTTTGAGGGCGTTTACCGCCTCGTACAGAGTGAGAGTTTCAAGTCCACCATAAATAATCAGCGGAAAACAAAAACGGTGATGTTTTTGTCCAATTAACTTGAAATTAAAATACATTGCTTTTAAAATTTATTTATTTATTTATGAGACTTATATACCGCTTTAAGTGCAAGCACTCTCTAAGCGGTGTACACCAGTAAGCAATGTATATATATATTTACATTGCCCCCAACAATCTGGGTCCTCATTTTACCTACCCCGGAAGGATGGAAGGCTGAGTCAACCTTGAGCCAGTGAGATTTGAACCGCTGACCTGCTGAACACAGTCAGCTAAAGTGGCCTGCAGTACTGCACTCGAACTGCTGCGCCACCGTCGGTTACGTATAAAACATTTCAATTTAAAGAAGCTTCCCTAATTAATAACCGCCGCGGTGTGAGCCTGTAAACCCGTTGAAGACTTCATTGGTAGAAAGGGGAGGCGTGAAATATGACATGATGATGTATCGTATAGTTCTGATTTATATGATAGACGAGCGTATATATTTTACACCCAGTTGAGTTTCTAAAAAGAATGCCAATAGGAAATCAGGTGAGGGAGATGGTTGGTTTAAAATAAATAAAAACAAACAAATAAATCCCATTATAAATAAAAGGCCCACTGCTATACTCAGAAACACTTCTAGTTTCGATAGTGATGTCGTTATATTTCAAACAAGAAAGTATGACAGATCAGTCTTCAGCCAAAGCAGCAGAAGGCAAGATAAGAAGTAATGGATGGAAACTAATCAAGGAGAGAAGCAATCTGAAACTAAGGAGAAACCTCCCGACAGTGAGGACAATGAACCAATGGAACAGCTGCCTTCAGAAGTTGTGGGTGCTCCATCACTGGAGGTTTTTAAGAAGAGATTGGACAGCCATTTGTCTGAAACGGTAGAGCAGTGTTTCCCAAACTTGACAATTTTAAGGCATGTGGACTTCAACTCCCAGAATTCCACAGCCAGCAACGCTGGCTGTGGAATTCTGGGAGTTGAAGTCCTCATGCCTTAAAACTGTCAAGTTTGGGAAACACTGCGGTAGAGGGTCTCCTTTTTGAGCATGGGGTTGGACTGGAAGACCGCTAAGGTCCCTTCCAACTATTACTCTGATGATCTCCACGTGTGTTGTACTACATTTGCCATCAACTTAGAATCACAGAATCACGGAGTTGGAAGTGACCTTGAAGGGCTTTTAGTCCAACCCCCGCTGAGCAGGAGACTGGAAGACTGCTACCCTAGTAATAATGGTAGCACTTAGACTTATATATGGCTCCATAGTGCTTTCCTGAGCGATTTACAAATGTCAGCATATTGCCCCCAATAATCTGGGTCCTCATTTTACCAATCTTGGAAAAATGGAAGGTTGAAATCAATCCCGAGCCGGTCAGGATTGAACTCCTGGCTATAGGCAGAGAAAGCCTGCAATTCTATATTCTAACCACTGCGCCACCATGTCTCCTATTGCAGGGTTTTTCAACCAGTGGTATGGGTACCACCTGTGGTACATTGGCACTTGGCAGGTAGTACGCGACCATCCTAAAAAAGTGGTAACGGAAGAGGGGAATGAGCTGAACTGGTGGCAGCACCGCACAAGTCTGAGCGAGAGATGGCTGGAGCTGCAGGGCTGTCAGGGCTCAGCGGAAGCGCCAGGATCAGTGCCAGGCTCCAGCTGATCAGTGCTTCTTCAGGGCTGTCAGGGCTCAGTGGAAGCACCAGGATCAGCGCCAGGATCCAGCTGGAGCTCGGCGCTGATCCTGGTGCTTCTGCTGAGCCCTGAAGAAGCAGCAATCAGCTGGAAAGCGGCATTGATCCTGGCACTTCTGCTGAGCCCAGAAGAAGCACCGATCAGCTGGAATGTTGCAGCATCTCCAGGGTCTTGTGATTTACATTCAGATGCTTGGCAACTGCTTCATATTTATGATGGTCACAGTGTCCCAGGGTCATGTGAAGTGACCAAAACCTGCTGCAACCACCCAGCAGACGGGGGGAATAAAAACCAAACACCCCCCACCCCACTCCCCCCGCTGCCAATCCTCAACAGAAATGCTCATAACAATGAAAACCTTGGAGAGGAGGAAGAGCGTGGCTGGATGGGCGGGAAGGTGTCTTGCTCGGCTGTGGCTTGGGGGGCACTTTTTTCAGTGCCATTGTAACTTCAAACAGTCACTAAGCGAACTGTTGTAAGTCGAGGACTACCTGTATTTTATCACTTTTTTCTTTTCTTTTTTTTGTCATCAAGTTTTTGACACCTTGCTAGGCGACTGGTGGTACTCAGATGTTGCCATATCCTAAAAGTGGTACAATGGGTGAAAAGGTTGAAAAGCCTTGTCCTATTGTATCACTCCTAATCCTTCTCTTCATTAGACTAAAAATACCTACTATGGAAGATATTTTGTGAAAGTACACCTGGCAAAATGAAGAGGTGATACCCACCCAGTTGGAGCCTATAAGCCCTAGCCTTGCTGTTCCTCGGCGTGTCTTTCCAGTAGTTGGATGTTAAGGAGGGATATTTAGAACATAGAATAATGGGGTTTGAAGGAAGCTTGGGGGGTCTTCTAGTCCAACCCCCTGCACATGGCAGGAGACCCTATACCAGTGGTTCTCAACCTTTTTAATGCCGCAACTCCCAACCGGTCGTAAGTTGAGGACTACCCAACCGGTCATAAGTCAGGACTACCAAACTGGTCATAAATAGAGGAATTTCCCTGCCCAGAAGTGCTGCGCATGCGTGGTGCCGCCCCCTGCGCCAACCGAGGTGTAGCTGGCAAGCGGTAGAGACGGAGCAGGCCGACCACCGGCTGGGCCATCGGCTGGCCCAGCCCAAGGGAGGTAAAGCACCCGCCGGGCCCCACGTGCGCCAGTAACCCTCTCTGCGCCCGCCGGCCTCCCACCTCCCACCCCTGGCCCTCTTTTACTTACATTTTTAGTAGTTGCTCAGCAGGGAGGGGTGGAAACTTCCAGACAGCTCGCCTTTGCTGCAGACAACTTGCAGCACCGTTTGCCGAATTGGACTCTTGGCGGGCTCAGCAGGGCAGAGACAGCCTGGACAATTCCTATTGGCTTTTGAAAGCCAATAGAATTAGACTCTATTCAAGAGAGTCTATTCTATTGGCTTTCAAAAGCCAATAGAATAAAAGGGAGTAGCACAGCTAAGGAAAAGGGGGAAAAAAAATGGCGGACTGCATTGTTTGGCGACCCTCGTGAAATGGTCGTTCGACCCCAAATGGGGTCCCGACCCACAGGTTGAGAACCACTGCCCTATACCATTCCAGACAATGGCTATCCAGTCTCTTCTTTAAAAAACCCAGTGATGGAACATCCACAACTTCTGAAGGCAAGCCATTTCACTGGTTAACTTTTCTCACGGTGAGAACTATTAAATTTCTCCTTAGTTCTAGCCTGAATCTTTCCTTGATAGGTTTTCATCTGTTACTTCTTGTCCTGCACTCAGGTACTCTGGAGAACGGCTTGACTTCCTCTCCTCTCTGTGACAGCCCCTTAATATTAGAAGACTGCTATCATGTCACCCCTATTCATATTTGTATGCTCTCTGTGACTTTCCCTTAAGCAGCAACTACTAAAGTAAGAGAAAGAAGGAGTGGGGGGAAGCATTTACTGTTTGAAGGCAGTAAATCCTTCTGTGAGCTGAATGATTATCTTTTGTGAATGAATGTGTGAAACAAAAAGTCATTATTTCCCCTTCTTTGCTCTTATTTTTTCTCTTTTTGTTTACTATTCTACCCTGGAACCACAAGCTGATTTCTTGTACTTAAATGTTATCTCAACATTAACCACAAGAGGGGAGAACAAAAGGCTAATCTCTATCAGTAGGCTATTTTTTTCTTATTACATCTTCTCTTTTTCTTTTGATTTCAACATTGCTTAGTCCACTTGTAAAGAATAAATAGTATCTGCTACTTTTTATATAGACCTTGTTTTTACACATAGATAGATAGATAGATAGACAGACAGACAGACAGACACACATACATACATATACACAGACACATTTTATACATATATGTTTTTCCATTTATTATGATTTTTATATGTATTCTTACAAGTGACACATCTCCACCCAACACATGTTGGTGCTTCCAAAAACACCCCCTTTAATTCCTGGCCTTGTTTAGTTTAGCTACAAATTGATTCTTATTTTCTTGATAGATTGACGTTTTAAATATATTATTTTACACATTTTAAAATTGTTTGAAATGTAGATCCCATTCTAAAATTTATTCTTAATTATCTTTGTTCGTTTTTTTTTAACGTTAAAAAAGTGGGATAAAATATTTTAAACAAGTAAGTTTTGTTATGACAAAAACAAACTTTTAAATCAGAATGTATTGTTTAAAAAAGCAGGAGTCCAAGATAGCTCACAACAAAATGAACTTTGTTAAAAAAAAAAAAGCACTATGAACAATAATTAAAAGCCGTATCTCATAAAGTTATAATCCTAACCTCGCAATGAATGTTTTTCTACCTTGTTGTTCCCTGTAATGAGTTGCATGAATATTAATTATTCTTTCAGGAAGGTCATACTCAAGGATGTTACTCCAGGGAACCGTGCCTCTTCTACCAAGAAAAGTGTGTAAATCTCGTTATGGAAAGAAATTTACTAATCGGATGCTCTGTGCTGGAAACCTATCTGAAGACAACCGGGTAGACAGCTGTCAAGGGGACAGTGGAGGACCATTAGTGTGTCAAAGACCAAATACACAATGGGTAATTCTAGGGATTACTTCTTGGGGATATGGGTGTGGGCAAAAAGATTCCCCTGGTGTTTACACAAAGGTCAGCAAATTTGTGCCTTGGATCAAGAAAGTGACCAACATATAAGAGGACAGTCAGCCCAAAGATGGATTCATGGTGCTTTATGAAGTGGGACTTACAATGCAAGGAGCCATAGCTTTCATTTTTATTTATGGCAGTACTGAAGAGTTTTTCCAATATTAGCCATACATTTTTCAAGACACGTGGACGAAAATGTCATAGAAATTACTGTAAACTCTGCTATGATTCAGTTTATGAACATATAATATTGCTAGAAGCAAATTTTCTTAAAATCTGTATAAAGCTTACAAGACAAGATTTGCTTTCATCATATCACCTATGACTGCATTATGTTGTTTGCTCCTACTTTTCAGTCTAATCACTTAGGACGGGTCCATCCTAAGTGTCTTTCTGTGATTGTTAAGCCCCTGAGTGCTCCTGCCTGTCTTGTGTGATTGTTTCTTTCACAAGCATCTCTTGCCTTCATTCCCCAACGCCATCCACACATTGCATTACAGGCTGTGAAAGCGCCAGGTCTCTACTTTAGCCCCAGCTCGGCCACCTCCGAGGAGTGTCACTGTGCAGGGCAGCCAAAGGAGGGAGATAGGTGGGCAGGGAGTTGTGGTCACAAATGTGAGCAGGCTGCCAAGCACCCAGATTTTGATGACGTAATTGCAGGATTGTGGCAACAGTCGTAACTTCAGGGGCTGGGCATAAGTACTATTCCAGTGATGGCGAACCTTTTAGAGAACAATGCCCAAACTGCAAACCAAAACCCACTTATGCATTGTTGGGTGCCGGGTGGGTGTGGCCCATTGGGTGGGTGTGGCCCATTGGGTGGGCGTGGCTGCGGTGGTAACAGCAGACTGGGTGGGACTAAAAAGTTCAATCAGTCAATTCCAACTTTGCAAGATCTTTTTTTCCCCGTGAGAAGTTGAAATTGACTATTGAACTTTTTTTTTTTTTTTTTTTTTTGCACACAGTGGCGGAGGCTTAAAGCGAAAAGGTTTTATAAAACCCAGATGAAGGCTAGGACTGGGGTGACGGCGCGCATGCCCACAGAGAGCACTCTGAGTGCCGCCTCTGGCACTTGTGCCATAGGTTCGCCACCACTGTACTATTCATTCAGCACCGCTGTAACTTCAAATAGGCAATGAATGAATGATAACTAAGTGAGGACGACCTGTACCCGTTTCTCTCACAGTTTCTTCCTTGATTGATTTTTCTTAAATTGTTCCTGAAATCTGGACGTTCCTGAGGTATTTCTGACATCCGTATCCTAAACTTTTGGTTCTGTTTTGCTAAAAGACGGTTTTCTTGAACTCAGCTCCCGAATATATCTACTTTGATACATTTACATTCTTCATGGGCTTGAAACACAAGTCATTGCAGGGTACTAAAATAATAGAAATGCCATTTCCCATTCCTATTTAGTCAATAATGTTATGTGGCCAATCATTTCATATAGAGGACGCTGGGTGATTAATAAGGGAAACGGAACCAAAATTGTAAATAACCTAAATAGCATCAAATATCAGCAGAGAACACTCACAACATCCCATGCTCAATGTAGCAAAGAAATGGGCTCACTCATACTATCAAGGTCCCGGGGTTGATGGAAAGTCCAGCAGGCACAGAGCAAGTTTGATCTCTGGAGTGATGATGTTCCGAGGTATCATGGCAAAAAAGGGTTCCCTCCTAGATCCTACCAGATGGTCTTCACACCACCAAAGAAAGACCATCCTGTAGTATGCCATCTATTGTTGTCTGTACTGGATGTCATCATGTTTGTAGGTAGAACAACAGAGCATAAAGCCTACTCCCTTTCTAAGGAGACGTCCATGCAACCTTATTAGCTTTGTCTTTACCTGGAGGTGAAGGTGTTTCTCCTAAGAAAAACATGTGGGCTAATAGATCTGCAGCGTGCCTTTTGACCCTCATTATGAAACTCTTGTATATTTGTAAATAAAACAAATATAACAAAACATATGTTTCCATGGAACATTCATAGGAAATCCAGGCTTTTTTCTTGGAGTATTGGCGTATTTATTATTACACCAATGCTGAGGAATTAATAATATATACTCTCAAAGAAACTGGATACTATATTGGGATTTCGGATGTGATTTATTCCTATTAACTTGGGAACAACTCCCATTAAACACTGAAATATTTATATCTCAGCAAGCATGTGTAAGATTGCACTATTAATTATCTCAGAGCTTTCCAGAAAAAAGAACGCGTGCTTCTTATTTCCTGAAGGCTCTGGAAAATATATTTGTTAATTACTGAAAGCCACACTTATACATTCAGTTTCAAAGTAAAGATGTGATCAGAAATTTTATTTAGCAACTGCCAGTTGATCAAACCAATTTAGGTTGGGATTCATATGTAATAAATTATTACTTAAGTAATTCAAGCATTAATTCATGGGAGAATTATACAATTTGTTGTATTCTGAATAATTTTTGCTAACACAGAGTTTGGTTTGCCCAGGCCATTTGATTCAACCAAAGAAGGCATGCAGAAAGAAATATTAAGTTATGAATTAACTTTTCAAAATAAGTATTTCAGAAGTTGGTGCTTGTGTGAAAGGAAAGTAAATAAGTTTTATTTAGAAAATAACATTGTGAAAGGGAAGACTGAGTTATTTAAATCTCTTGACAGCTAAGTACCAATAGTGAGAGTCTATTGGGTGAGAGTCTAACTGGGTGAGAGTCAAGAGAAAGATAGTCAAGAAAGAGAGAAACAAGTGCAGAATTGTCTGCTAATTATCTCTATAAATATCATCCCTAGAGATTGATAGAACAGAACAGAACAGAATAGAATAGAACAAAACAGAATAACTTTATTGTCACTTTGAATGTACACTAATCGGCATACATTAAAATGAAATTTCATTGGATACAGCTCTCAAAGGGTCACCACCTCCGATATACACAACCTAAATATGTCAAAAATAAATAAATAAATAAATACAGAATAATGCATATACCCACATATATTCTATGACACAGAGGAACAACAGTCCAGTTTGGGTTATGTATACATATGCATGGCGAGAAATACAAATCTTGTGAGTTTACCAGACGGATAGCATAAGTAACAAAGCTATTATAGAATCGGGAAGTCCTGCTAGAAATACTTCAAAGCCTCCTCCCAGAGGGGAGCAACAGAAAGAGACCGTAAAGTAGGTGTGTGGGGTCTCTAACAATGCTTTGAGCTCTAAGCACATAGTGCTTATAAGCAGCATCCTGACTACCAGGCAGTGAGGTTCCTATGATCCTCTCGGCTGTCCTTATCACTCTCTTTATGGACTTTCTATCTGAGGCACTGCTGCCACCAAACCCGACAGTGATGCAGTTTGTTAAAATGCTTTCAATCGTGCCTCTGTAAAAAGTGGCCAGGACAGAAGGAGAAAGATGTGCTCTCCTCATCCGATGCAGGAAATGTAGACACTGGTTTGCACGCTTCACTAAGGATGACGCGTGGAGAGACCAATTCAGATTGTTAGTTATCTGCACCCCCAGATACTTAATACTGCTCACCACCTCTGTAGCTGCATCCTTGATACTGACTGGAGGATGATTATACTGGCTTTTTCTAAAATCTACAACGATCGCCTTTGTTTTATCAACATTTAGAACCAGGTTACTTTTATGGCACCACATCTTCACTGTCGACCCACCACTGCCGTGTCGTCCACATACTTCACAATATGTTTCATAGCAGATTTGGCACAGTAGTCATGGGTCATCAAGGTCAACAGTAGCGGACTCGGGACACAGCCCTGTGGGGAACCTGTATTCAAGGAGATGGAGTTGGAATTTTTCTTTCCAACTCACACAGCCTGGGACCTATCTATAAGGAAATCAAGTATCCAATTACATAAAGGAGTATTAAAACCTAATAGGCCCAGTTTGTCCACCAGATGCTGAGGGATGATTGTGTTGAATGCTGAACTAAAATCCACCAACAGCATTTGCACATGAGTGTTCTTCCCCTCCAGGTGTGCCCAGCTGAGACGAAGCACACAGGAAAGTGCATCTTCTACAGTTCTTCCGATAGGCAAACTGTAATGAATCAAAGGTAGGGGGGAAGGCATGAGACCATGTAGTCCAGTGGTTCTCAACCTGTGGGTCGGGACCCCATTTGGGGTTGAACGATCATTTCACGGGGGTCGCCAAACAACGCAGTCCGCCATTTCCCCCCCCTTTTCCTTAGCTGTGCTACTCCCTTTTATTCTATTGGCTTTTGAAAGCCAATAGAATAGACTCTCTTGAATAGAGTCTAATTCTATTGGCTTTCAAAAGCCAATAGGAACTATCCAGGCTGTCTCTGCCCTGCTGAGCCCGCCAAAAGTCCCATTCTGCAAATGGTGCTGCACCAGTTGAGTAGTCCTCGACTTACGACCGGTTGGGGATCGCGGCATTAAAAAGCTTGAGAACCACTGCTGTAGTCCTTTACCAATCTCTCAAAAGATTTCATCACAATGGAAGTGAGGGCAACTGGATGGTAATCATTAAGGCATGTGATTTTAGGATGTGATACACAGCAATCACTCATCTGTTCAGACTCAGTAATCATTTTAAAATTAATAGAGCCTTTCTAAAGGCATGGATTAGGTTTTGCTAGTTGTGCTTAGTTCCCAATTTATCTCTAAAACACTACATGCTGTTCCTCAGTTGTTCAGTTGCTTCTTTCGGTTGTGTTTGACCAAACACAAACTCCCTTTTCAAATGAAAAAAAAACAAAAACTTCTAATATTTGGGGTTGGATTCTATATTTTCAAATCAGTGACTGTTTAAATATTTGTATGTGAAAATGTAGCTGTTGATATGTTTAGTATTTAAAATATCTTGCACATAAAGTACCCTTTTCTTCTCACACAGTTTAATGATATTAATCCTCATGGGTCTCTGAAACAATATGGCCACAGGTTTTCTTGGCAAATCTTTGACTAGTGTAATATAACAAAGAATCATTTGCTTGCATTCTCCATAAACTGTCCCCTTTTATTCAATTAAATTCAGCATACTGTTTTCTCTCCTCACCTCACACATACAGAGGCTCACAAAAGACAAGGCACTCTAATTATCTAATTGTTTGTTCTGTGTTATTACTGTAAGGTGTAATTACAGCTGCCAATGTTAATTACTACCATTTTTTTCTCTTGGCTTACAACGTGCTTTCCAGACCTATCTACATGAAAAAGAAAGATAAAAACCCCACTTCTAAATACTGGAGAAGTATAGAGCTAGTTGGTAATATCCTCTCTAGGTACTGAACTACAGTGGTTAACTTTTGAAATGAGCAGTATTATGGGCCTTTTTTATACATAGACATACCCCAATTAATTAAAAAAAAGAGAGAGAAGTATTTTTTAAAAAATAAGGAATGAAAAAACTAACAGCCAAAATAACATGTATAATCATAATACAGAGATCTTGTAAAAAGAGAATATCTGGTAAAATCCATCCATTTCAAAATGTTATATTATTTTTTAAAAAACAAAGTTTTAAGTAATCGTTTTGCAGCCATACTCAAAACAATATAAAATAAAAATGAACAATTTACCATGTACAAAAAGGGGAAAAAATTACACAATAAGAACACACCCAACTAGAACAAACCGATATAATTACACCTATATCCCAAGTTGGCCTTGTTGAAAGAAAAACCATCAGGGTCCAGCCCAAGCCTGGCATAAACAAAAGGAGACTGCTTTAGGAAAGGGTCTTGTTTATTGAGTTGCAGAACCAGACAAAAATATGGCTC